AATGGAATCTCGCGTACACACAGCAATGCCTCTAACAACACAATCGGCGGAGGCAATAGACGGGCACGGGCGGACAGCGATGTCTCGCAGGACTCTACTTTCCCTGACAACCGTGGCTCTATGGCTTTGGACTCACTTGCCAACGAGTTAGACGCTTTGCGTAGTCACTGGGAAAGCACCAACCGCAATTACCGACTAAGCAGCCAGCTGGATCTGGAGCGGACTCCCACCAAGGATAATAGTGATGGACCCGCACTAATGAGTGATAGCCTGGCAGAATGGAGGAGAAGGCTGGACGATGATGACCGGGCTGGGTTTGATGTGCAAACCAAGCCATTGAACACTGGAGCTGCACACCCCGAGCACTCTAACGTGATCTAAAAATCTTGCCCTCCGTTGTTCTACGACCATGTGCCCTGAGATATGTCAATTTGCACCGTCTGAGCGTTCCGCACGTGTATTTGCAACACTTGTTCCTTCCTGTTTCTGTGTCTTCTACGCTCTTTTTTTTTCTATGTATGATTGGTACTTTCGACCTTCTGTGCTTCTCTACGCTGACGGTGTGTGTTTTTCTGGTTCTGATTTGCCATTGCGCTCATTTGTTCCCCCCCTTTTCTCGTTTTCCACTTTGTTTTTACTCCCCCCCCCCCCCCCGGCTGCCCTTTTTATACCCCGGTTTTCCGATGTTCATTGGACTCTGGCTGTACCAGTAGCATATTCCACGCGGATTCCTTGTTCATCCATAGTCAAAAATCGTTTTAGTTGCCCTGTGGAGGCTCTTTTCTTTCATTGATATGATCATGACAAGGGTATCCTGGAGTTCTGTAAATTCGACATACCTGGGTGAGAACGATGACCTGTCATCAGCCCGATTCGATAGGTACAAGCTTACTCCGCCGCGATGCTATCTTACCATATGATGTAGAACTACTCTGCGGTATAAAACTTGATTTTTTTTTTATCACAGCAACTGATTGCAAGTGTGATCTTGCCACGTTTCCCCGTAATAGACTGAGACAATTTAGATAAATTGCCCTATTGAGGAAAATCGCGCATACTAGAATATCTGGTATTGTTAATTCAGGATCTATGAGCAAGAACACAGTACAGATATCATGTCCCACGAGAGGCAATGTGATTGTATGTTTCAAATGATAATTATATACCTAGATTGAGTATAACTGCAATGTTGAAAGTCTACCTAATACTATGTTTGATGCCTGTCCACGTAGTTGTCATTGATCATCGGTCAGCTGAGGGATTGCATTGCCACCATTGAGAAAAGGTATAGAGAATTTGTTTTCTTTCTTTTTTTATGAGTTTAATAAGTAAAGATGAAGTCTTATATGTAGTCTCATATCATTTTATAAAAGTTTATATATGAAATATAGTAAAATGTATGTACAAAGTATACCAATAGAATATAAATTGCAGCCCAATACCAATCTTACGATACCACGCCCAATGACAGTAAATATGGGAACCTCCCGAGGGCGTGACTACCGTCCCCTGCATAATTAAAGGGAAAAAATACTAGCCCTTCTACCCGCCTCACCGACTTACTCTCTCTCTTGCCCCCTCTCCTCCCTTTCTTCTCAGGGCTCTCAAAGTATCATCTTTTTGCTTCCAAGGCCTTTTGCCCTTGATATCTCTATCTCTTTGAAATCCCCGGATCCTCCCGGCTCATCGTCTTTGATCCGTTATCTCCAGGTATGTCTAGATCGAGTCTGCTTTTTTAGCTTTGACTTTCAGTTTCCTATTACATTTCCTTTGCCTACTATTCCATTGCATCATTCATTTGAAACTGTGTTGGTGTTTTCTGTTTCTGTTTCTGTGTCTGTTTCTCTTTCCTTTTCCTTGATCTGGCCCAGCCTTCCCAAGTTGCCTGAGGCTCGGTGGTGTCAACCCCTCTCACTGATTTCCTGTTTCTTTCCCTCTCTCTACTCTACCTCTTTTTTTTACACCCCTTTATACTCTATCGATCTCAGCTTTGCATATCATTTCTGCTTCAACAGGATTCGAAATCTAATATTCTCAATCTTCTAGCCCCCAAATCCTTCCTCACAGCTAAGCGCTGTACCCCCATCGGTTCAAGATGACGACCATGGTCAGTGTTAGCCACCCCCCATTTCTTTTTTTTAGCTTTCTTTTTCACTCGGAATAATACTTCGAAGTGACTTGAATATTATGCTTGGATCATACCATGACTTTCTGATTGCCAACAAGACGGCCGGACCACGCGTTTTACTGACATGGCCTCCAGGATTTGCGAGTCGGTAACAAGTACCGCATTGGCCGTAAGATCGGCAGCGGTAGTTTCGGTGATATCTATCTCGGTATGGATACAACCAGTCTAGCTTTACCCTGCACAGCAACTCATAACTTCTAGGAACGAACATCATCTCCGGTGAGGAGATTGCCATCAAGCTCGAGAGTGTCAAGGCCAAGCACCCCCAGCTGGAATATGAAGCCCGTGTCTACAAGTCGCTCGCCGGTGGTGTCGGTATTCCCTTCGTCCGTTGGTTCGGTACCGAATGTGATTACAATGCTATGGTCATCGATCTGCTGGGACCCAGTCTGGAGGATCTTTTCAACTTCTGCAACCGCAAGTTCTCGTTGAAGACCGTCCTACTCCTCGCTGATCAGCTCATTTCTCGCATCGAATACATCCACGCCAAGTCGTTCATCCACCGTGACATTAAGCCCGACAACTTCCTCATGGGCATTGGAAAGCGTGGCAACCAGGTCAACGTTATTGATTTCGGTCTTGCCAAGAAATACCGTGACCCCAAGACTCACTTCCACATCCCTTACCGTGAGAACAAGAACCTCACTGGAACTGCCCGTTACGCCAGTATCAACACCCATCTTGGTGTTGAGCAGTCTCGTCGTGATGACATGGAATCTCTGGGTTATGTCATGCTCTACTTCTGCCGTGGCTCTCTTCCCTGGCAGGGCCTGAAGGCTGCTACCAAGAAGCAGAAGTACGACCGCATTATGGAGAAGAAGATGACCACCCCCACTGAGGTTCTGTGCCGTGGTTTCCCCAACGAATTCGCCATTTACCTGAACTACACCCGTTCGCTCCGCTTCGACGACAAGCCCGATTACTCTTACCTGCGCAAGATATTCCGCGATCTCTTCGTCCGCGAGTCCTTCCAGTACGACTACGTCTTCGACTGGACCGTCTACAAGTACCAGAAGAACGCCGCCATGATTGTGGACGCTTCCAAGAAGGATAAGGATGCTGAAGATCAGCAGCGCCGCCAGGCTCTGCCTGCTGCTGGCCAGATGGGAGCAACCAGTGCCGCCAAGCCAGGTGCCATCTCCAGCCAGCGCCGTAAGGTCGTCGAACGCGGTGCCCTCGACACTCCGGACACCAACCGTGCCGTGGGAGGTAGTGACAGGATGTGAGTACATGAAACCTGGTTCCGAGTAGGGACCCCTTCTTTCTTAACTCCTACGTTGAGTGATTTGCTTTTCGTGACGCTGGCGTGGAGGACCCTTATGTTCTGAATCTGACTAATCGCATAGTCTTCGGCGTTAGGCTACGTTCTGCCTCGAAAGGTGCTGCTTTGGGTTATGGACCTTCTGGTGGCCGTTCGAAGCGGGACGAAGGAGCGGAGGCCCAGTGGTACTAATCGTGTTTACATGACGGTGAGGCTACGTTTCGAATGTGCCTCCTGTCTGTTCACATTCTTGTCTACTAAGAAACCCGGGACCCGTTCATGTCGCCCTAGAGCGGACCATGTCGCACTCAGCCTTCTCGGATATTTCTTTGTTTTTTTTTCTTGGATCTCTATTCATTCTGCACTCCCCGACAGCCCTCCTATCCCGTTTTCGATCAGATTTCGATCTCAGCCGTTTCGATTCACCTCTGTTTATCGCCTGCTCGCCTCCAGACCCATGAAACCTTCGCCGATTGGGTGGTCAATCTTGCGCTGAGCCTGCGAAAACATTGTCGACTATTTTCTGTCTTTTCGGATTTTTTGTACCCGTTCTGCGGGACAACCGATTACACGTCTCGAAACGCTTCTGATATTATGGCTTATTTTTACGTCTTCGCCCTTTGGTTTCTCTTTATAACCTGGCATCTTCGGTCAGAATGACCAGAGGGCAAGACTAAAGGAGATACAAACGACGGCGTCAACCCGCAATTCTTTTTTTCGTCGGATTGTTTAATCGCTGGTACTGGAGATCCTTGAATGCATCCTCGGATGCGCTGCCCATCATTGCTTACCCCTTTTTTCTTTACTCATGACGTGCTCATTCTATGCCCTTGATTTTTCCCTGATTTTTCTCTTTTTTTTTGCGTTTGCCTGGCGATGATTAATTTGTGAACTATCGACGCTCAATGGGGACGAGGTGTGGCCTTCAATCTGGCCAAGGGAAGTTACGGGGACAGCTTTCGGGAGTATTGCTCAGACTTTCTGGATTTCTGTTCAAGCTTGCAGAAATCACTGTTACAGATGGTCTCTAATGCAATCCCGCTGGCAGGAAGGAAGCTTGTGTGGTTGGCGACGGACATTGGTTAGGGTCGCTTCCGGGGTGGTATGCGTCGATTTGTGTCAAGTTATTTCTCTTAGCTCTCTCTCTACACTGCACTTTCAATTTGCTTACTCTCATCCTAACTGGAATGCTATTCAACCGGCAGCCAGACCTGGAACTCCTGCCGAATATCCGTACTTCCCGGTCCCAAAAATAACTAGTAGTAGAAAAACGGTGAGATCATCGGAAGTCTGGCCCATCCATGCACCGAAAACTCCTGAAATAGATACATTTTTCGAGATCTGATTCTATTTGATTTGTAACCCTTGGGATGTATACTTAAGTCAATGGTAGAATGTCATGACATGGAATTCTGTAGATCGTACACGGAACGCCCAAGTGTGGTTACATGAAACTTCAGATAATAGATTTCCCTCAAAAAGTTTTCCCACCTTCACCTCCTAACTTTCCGTCAAGCCCTGAAGACCTTGGAAACCATCTAAGATTCCGTAATGGATTACCCTTTCTACGATCCCCGATCACAGCCCTCGGGCTACTCGCTCTATGAGCAGCCTACCCCCGACCAACCCCATGTGCAAGCAGATACATTCGTCCCTCTGGTGAGTTCTTTGCCACCCCGTTCAAGACTTGTCGCTAATCGACCAGAATAATTACCAAAACTTCCCTGGCTTTGACCCCTCATTCCCCGTCAACCCCTCCTTTGTTCCACAGCCCCATTCACCGCCAGAATCGGTCAAACACTCTGCTTCCAGCAGCGATGGTACCCATACTCAGCATACACGCCTCACCTCATTCGACGGGGATGAAACTCAATTCGCAGACCCAACCTTAGGAAGGAGTAGCAGTGAGGAAAAGGAGTCAGCGCCCGCGCAAAGCAAGCGCAAGGCACAAAATCGAGCAGCGTATGTTGATATACCAAACCAACGTGGCCTAACACATCCATCTCTACAAAGCAAACACTAACAAGTTACATTCGCTACACAGTCAACGAGCATTCCGAGAGCGCAAGGAGCAGCATGTCCGCGACCTCGAAGACAAAGTTAGTAACCTCAAACAAGCATCCGACACTTTACAAGCCGACAACGAGCGCCTCAAGCGCGAGCTAGCGAGGTACACAACTGAGAATGAAATCCTGCGCGCGACATCACAACACCCCAACCATGGAAATGCCAGCGCAAACGCCAATCCAGAGCCCACTGTCACGGGCCCCATGAAGTACACCCCTACAGACTTCCATGATACCTTCATGCCCGAAGGCCCTGACACGCATCGAAGCCCGCAACACCGTCTCCTTGTGTGTCCGACCACGGGCGAGAAGCTGCTGGATGCGCGTGCGACGTGGGACCTTATTCAGAAACATGAGCTGTATGAGCGCGGTCAGCTTGATATCGGGGATATCACAGAGCGGTTGAAGGGTATGTCGCAGTGTGATGGACAGGGCCCTGCTTTTAAAGAGGGCCAGGTTCGGAAGGCTATTGAGGAGAGTGCGGCTGCTGGTCGTGATGAGTTGATCTGATGATTTTCTCCGCGGTGCCCTTTTTTTTTTCTTCTAGGGGCATTACTGATATGATTATGATTTGATGCTGGCGTTAGGATTGATAGGATGAACAGCGATTATCCAGCGATTATACCATCTGATGAGCTATTAACTTGGTATATATGTGGTTTGATTGCGATTAGGAGCGTTTGGGCTATTTATACTTTGGCTTTTGGTTTGTTTATTTGCATCTTGCAATCACTGCATACGTAGTTTGCAATTTGAGTTGGATTTGATATTGGGCATCGATATTTCCTAGATAGCCATCATTATGAACCCTAGACTGGTCATCTATAAGCCCTTACCCCAACTAAAAGTAGATATAGCACATTTATGAGGCAATTCGATTCTAATCGAGTCTGACATGCGCTGTATGTCTTACAGCATTGATCTATTCAGTCGACATGAAAAGGGGGTCATCATATTTTTGGATATTTTCATAATATACACAGAAGCCAGTTCATAATATTTGCAGTAATTTTCAATCGCAAGGAAATCAATCCCAGTCATCATCCCAGTCTTCAACGTTCAGGTTATCATCTTTTTTGTAGTCGTCCTCGTTATCACGCTTCTTCAGACGAACATCACCCTCCTTCAAAGCACCAATCTCCACGAGCAAACGCTCAATATCTAGGCATTCGATTAGTGTATAATCCATGTTTGGTTCTTGCCTTAAGCGGAACTTACCTTCAATCTTGGTCCGGGGACCCTTCAACTGCTGGAGCGTAATAAGCTGCTTCTTAATCTCGGTATCCTTGTATACCAAGATCGTGGGCGTGTTCTTCTCCGGATACCCTTCAATACACATGTCGGCGCGAATCTCGCAGAACTTGATATCGCCGAATTTGGCAGCAAGCTCCCGCCAGAGCTCCGTCAACACGCGCGATTCAACGTTTCCGCCCATAGATGTGAGGTTGACCAGTACAAAAGCACTGTTCGATGCTTCTGTCACCTCACGGGCATAATCGACTTTCTGAAGAGGGAAGACCTGGTTGAAGAGGCTAGTTTGTTGGAGGGTGGAGAGCTCGGCGAGTCGTTTTTGACTGTTTGATTGGTATTGTGAGCAAGAGGAGTCGCTTTTGGGCATATAAAAATTAGATAACAGGCTTACCGATAGCTCTGGAGAAACTCTTCATCTTCTTCGTCCTCCAGTGCGTCCAGCTCGTCAAGGTCCTTGTCCTCAAGTCGGTTCTCGTGCGCTCTGTGCTGTGCAGCGATCAGAGCCTCTTGGATCAGAGGTTCGGGATCTTTGGGCTTTTCGGGAATAATGCCATGTTGGCGGAGGATATCGTTCCTGTACAATATTCAATAATTGGTTAGCACTGTATTTACCTTATACCTTGCCGGCGGTGGGGTGTATGTGCAAGTAATAGGCTTACCACTCGGTATCCTCGTTAGGGTTGACTTCAACCTGCATGGTGAATTGAAATGATCAAATATGTATAGATCAGGTTCAATTCAAGCGATTTATGGAGAAAATGAGGGGAGTTGGAGCGATAAATGCGTTGCCTTCAATCATGATGCCACCTGTTTGCAGTGTTTGATTCGGGCCAAACAACACAGAAGGCCACCTTCAACTTGTCGCTAATAGCCAAGTTCTGAGCTTTGAGGTTCGAGATTCATTACCACCTCATTTACCTCAATCATATTCTTGTATTTTTCTCCGATTTATCTTCTTTAAACCCTCAATTCCTGGGTGGCTATGCAAATGCTTTAGTCGCCTTCACCGCCCTACCCTGCTTCTGTGTACTCGACCCGTGTCCCAATTGCACCAACTCCACCTTTCTAATACGACAGCAACCACTCATTGCTGGTGCGATACCAGCTGCTGGGAAAAATGAGTTACATGAAGAAAAACGAAGATGAGGACCAGGTCATGATCAAGCTTGATCGGACCTCCGTTTTCCAAGATGGTATGCAGTCAACAATACCCCCTGGCGCCTCCATGCGCTGCACATATTCAATGCTAACTAGATTATTCTCCTAGCACGCCTATTCAATTCCTCTCCTATCTCGCCGCGAACATGCCGAACGTTGCTCACCAAGATTGCTGTCCTCTTGTTCACCGGGGAACAGTTCCCTACGAATGAAGCTACCACCCTCTTCTTCGGAATCTCCAAGCTCTTCCAGAACAAAGACCCGTCATTGCGGCAGATGGTGTATCTGATCTTGAAGGAACTGGCCAGCACCGCCGAAGATGTGATCATGTCGACAAGTATCATTATGAAGGACACTGCAATGGGAAGCGATGTTTTGTACCGGGCCAATGCCATCAGAGCGCTCTGCCGCATTATTGATGTAGGTCGTCGGTCGGGAGTACTTGAATGGTTGAGGGGATTTGCTGACAATTGCCAAAGGGTTCCACAGTGCAGGGTATCGAGCGACTTATCAAGACCGCCATTGTTGACAAGACCCCATCGGTGTCCTCCGCGGCTTTGGTCTCTTCCTACCACCTCCTCCCCATTGCGCGCGACGTTGTCCGGAGATGGCAGAGTGAAACACAGGAAGCGGCCTCGTCATCGAAATCATCGACCGGATTCCTTGGTTTCTCCTCCAGTTCACAGAGCCACGCCATTTCTAACTCGAATTTCATGACACAGTACCATGCCATCGGCCTTTTGTATCAAATGCGCTCGCACGATCGTATGTCTTTGGTCAAGATGGTACAGCAGTACGGTGCCGCAGGTGTGGTCAAGAGCCCAGCTGCTCTGGTTTTGTTGGTACGCCTGGCGGCCAAATTGGCTGAGGAGGACCAGGGTCTCCGGAAACCCATGATGCAGATGTTGGATGGCTGGCTCCGCCACAAGCATGAGATGGTCAACTTCGAGGCAGCCAAGGCTATTTGCGATATGCGCGATGTCACCGATGCCGAGGCAACGCAGGCAGTTCACGTTCTCCAGCTCTTCCTGTCCTCCCCCCGGTCAATCACCAAGTTTGCGGCCATCCGTATCCTACACAGCTTCGCCTCTTTCAAGCCACACGTCGTCAATGTCTGCAACCCCGATATCGAGTCACTCATCTCCAACTCGAACCGCTCTATTGCCACATTCGCCATTACGACACTGCTTAAGACCGGCAACGAAGCCAGCGTTGATCGTTTGATGAAGCAAATCTCGGGCTTTATGGCCGATATCACCGACGAGTTCAAGGTCACTATTGTCGAGGCTATTCGCACTTTGTGTTTGAAGTTCCCCAGCAAGCAGGCTGGTATGCTCGTTTTCCTGAGTGGTATTCTGCGGGACGAGGGTGGATACGAGTTCAAGCGCACTGTTGTTGAGAGCATGTTCGATTTGATCAAGTTTGTCCCTGAAAGCAAGGAAGATGCGCTTGCCCACCTTTGCGAGTTCATCGAGGACTGCGAGTTCACCAAGCTCTCGGTTAGAATCCTGCACCTGCTCGGTTCTGAGGGCCCTAAGACTTCTCATCCCACCAAATATATCCGCTATATCTACAACCGCGTTGTATTGGAGAACGCCATCGTACGCGCTGCTGCTGTCACCGCTTTGGCCAAGTTTGGTGTTGGCCAGAAGGACCCCGAAGTCAAGTCTAGTGTTCATGTTCTGCTTACCCGTTGTCTTGATGACACCGACGACGAGGTACGAGACCGTGCTGCGCTTAACCTGCGTCTGATGGGCGAAGACGATGAGTCGGCGAGCGCTTTCATTAAGAACGGTAAGGTCTTGTCCATGGCTGGCAATAGGAAATTTACTAATGGTTCTAGACTCAATGTATTCCCTTTCCACGTTTGAACACCAGCTTGTCATGTACGTGACATCTGGTGACAAGGAGACTTTCGCTACTGCCTTCGATGTTGCCACCATCCCAGTTGTCTCACACGAGCAGGCCCTGGCTGAAGAGCGCACCAAAAAGCTTACCTCGGCCACTCCCACTCTCAAGGCCCCTTCGACCGGTCCCCCGAAGGGCAAGGCAGCCGGCGGTATGGCCGAAGCGGCCAGCGCCTCTGCTACCCAGAAATATGCAGAGCAACTTATGGAGTACCCCGATATCAAGGCCTACGGCGTTTTGCTCAAGTCCTCTTCACCTGTCGAGCTTTCCGAGAGTGAGACCGAATATGTCGTTACGGCTGTCAAGCACATCTTCAAGGAACACATCGTGGTGCAATATGATATTAAGAACACACTTCCCGATACCCTTCTCGAGAATGTTACCGTGGTTGCCACACCAGAGGAAGAGGACGTATTGGAAGACGACTTCGTCATTCCTGCCCCCAAACTGCCCACAAACGAGCCTGGTGTTGTCTACGTTGCTTTCAAGAAGCTCGCCGGCGAGAACAGCGTCCCCATCACCTCCTTCACAAATATCCTCAAGTTCACCAGCAAAGAAATCGATCCCGCGAGCGGCGAGCCAGAGGACACTGGCTACGACGACGAGTACCAGGTCGAGGACCTCGAGCTGACAGGCAGCGACTATATCATCCCTACATTCGCTGGCAGCTTCGACCACGTCTGGGAACAAACTGGTGCCAACGGCGAGGAGGAAAGCGAAACCCTACAGCTCAGCAACATGAAGGGTATCAGCGGTACGTACAAGTCCAATATATATTCTCTATCTCATGTAAATACTAATACTTTTCCCAACAGATGCCACAGAGCAACTGATTGCAGCGCTATCTCTGCAGCCCCTCGAGGGCACCGACGTGGCCCTCAACAACATTACACACACGCTCAAGTTGTTCGGCAAGACCGTCTCCGGCGGTCGTGTCGCTTCTATCATCAAGATGGCCTACTCCAGCAAGGGCGGTGTCATTGCCAAGATCACCGTCCGGGCGGAAGAGGAGGGCGTTGCTGCGACTGTCATTGCTTCTGTGTCTTAATCTCTTCCTTTGCTTTTCTACTTGTTGTTACGTGCTTAATCCTGGTTGGGGGGACATGAGCGTGTATGTTTTTCATGTGTGTTGGTTCGTTAGATTGCGTCGTCCACCCCTCAAAACTTGTCAATGCAACTTTTCATCCAAATATCATATCATATTTATGTCTATGTACCCTTGGAATTTCTGGTGTTTCTTCGTAGTGCAGTAGTCATTGAGATATAGACATTTGAGCTCGTCCACTTGATTCTTAGGGCTGCCTAGCCGTTGTTTAATCAAAATATGTATGTAGACAACAAACTGCCGACTCGCAAGGTTCCGACGTCGACGAGTTGCGCTTTATATTTATATTAGTCACAGTATGATGTCACTACTAAAACAAAAAATGGTATAGATGGGTGAAAAAAAGTGACGTATTTTGTTTTTATATGCTTGTAATGTTATGAGATAGGGTCACACAGTACAAAATCAAGGACGCAGACGCTGAGGGTCACGGGGGAACAGCGAAGCCAAACGAACATTAGGCAAGCCAAGGAAGAACATAACAATACGGTTGAGACCGAGACCACCACCAGCGTGAGGGGGGCAGCCCTGGCGGAAAGCATTGAGGTAATCCTCGAAGCCCTCTTGGTTAGGCTCGAGACCCTTAGCACGCATAGACTCCTCCAACTCCTTGATATCGTTGATACGCTGGGCACCGGACATGATCTCCTCGCCACGCATGAAGAAATCGTACGAGTTAGAGAAGCGTTTGTCGGCGGGATCAGCCTTGGTGTAGAAGGGACGGACAGCCATGGGGAACTTGTCGAGGACGTAGAAATCGGTATCGTACTTCTCGCGGATGATCTGGCCGAGCTGCTTCTCCATGGCGGTGGAGAAGTCGTTCTCGAAGCGCTCTTGCTCGGAGACATCGACGCCAGCTTCCTTGAGCAGGGCAACTCCGTCCATGTAGTTCATGCGCAGGGCCTTGCCGTCCTTGGGAAGCTTGAAGTCGCCGGCCTTGGGGTAGGACTTCTGGATAGTGGCGATCTGGGATGCGTAGCGCTCCTTGAGCTGGGTGAGGATGAAGACGAGGAGATCTTCGGCGAAATCCAGAACCTCGTGGTAGTGGCTGCGGAAGGTCTTCTCGAAATCGAGACCGGAGAACTATAGGCCATGTTAGAATAATCTGTTTTTCCTGTTTCAGTATGCATATCAGTAGGTCATACCTCGGTCAAGTGGCGGTGGGTGTTGCTGTGCTCCGCACGGAATACAGGGCCAATCTCGAAGACGTTCTCCATATCACCAGCGATACACATCTGCTTGTAGAGCTGGGGGCTCTGGGCCAAGTAGGCATTGCGCTTGAAGTACTTCACCTCGAAGACACCGCTGCCACCTTCCGTGGCGGAACCGACCAGCTTAGGTGTGGAGATCCATCGGGAGCCACTCTTAATCATGTACTCAGCGAAGAGCTGGGAAACACCGCTGGAAATCCAGGTGATAGCCTGGCTGGTCTCGGTCTGCAGATCGAGGACCCGGTTGTCGAGACGGGTCTTGAGGGTGACGATGGGAGTACCCTCGGAGTCAACCTGGTCATCTTCCTCGGTGTTCTCTGGAGGTGGGCGCTCAGCATCCTTGACTTGCATGGGGAGCATCTGTGCAGCCTCGGAGATCATGTAGACCTTGCTGATGTGGATCTCGAGGTGGCTGATGGAGGCAGACGAAATCGGGATCTCGGGCTTCTTCACAGTACCGGTGACCTGGATAATCGAGTTGACGTTCAAGCCGCCGGTGAACTTGATCATCTGTCGCGAGATGGGCTCCGCGGCCGCGATGACGGCCTGCACCTTTTGTCCCTGCTGGCGCAGCATCAAGAATGCAAGCTTAGCACTCTGCACACGCGCATTGTCCACACGTGCCACAACTGTCACTTCCTTCTCGTAGTGTTCTTCTGAGAGTTCGCTGAATCGTGTAGCCGGGATGAGCTTTTCGTTCTCTGGGAGGGGGCCGTATAGATCCTTGGCCGTGTCGTTGGCCTCCTGGGCGGCGGCCTGGGCCTTTTCTTGCGCCGCACGGGCCGCAGCCTTCTCAGCCTTGATCTTATCCTTTGCGGCCTTCTTTAGGGCGTTCTTGCTGGCGCTCTTGGTCTCACCTTCTGCGGCGGGAGCGGAGGCATCCTGGGGGGCCTCGGGCTTAGGACGGTGGGGCAATTCGGAGTCGGCCATGGTGCTGCGAGGAAAATTAGAGGGGAGCAAATTGTTGGGTTGGGGGCGGTAGATCCTACCTCAATGATTTTGTATCCTGAGAAATTTGCAGGACTTAGTGCAGCAGGCTGATTGTAAGTAGAGCTACAGAGAAAAGTGTTCCGTTGACTCACCCCGCCGAATAATCAAGCCCTAAGAGGGGTAGGCGGTGTGGGGGCTCGACGCAGATCTAATCTCTACCAGCTGGACTGTATACATGCATGTAAATCAGTTATGCGTACACTTATTATGGTGTGATGGCTTCAATAAAATGCGTTAAACATGCTTATGTGGCTTGGCGCTGGTATATATCTAGAATAAACACGCATAAATATACAATTGGCGCCGTATTCACGCTGGTCTTTCTATCGACATAGAATGTCCAGCATCCCTCGACAACTACGCAGCAGGCCAGCTCGAGCTCTTCAGTGCCCATTGAACACCTTTTTGCACATCATCAGCAATTGTCCGAGGAGCCCAAGCAGGCTCTCCGCCGCTGTACACTCCAGTGCGGACAAGGATCGAGTGCCAGCTACTTCCAATTTCACTACGATAGGAGTTGGCTCCTCGAATATCCGACTCTGGATTATCACCAACCATGTATACTCTTTCCAAGGGCGTGAAATCTGCAGAGCTTCCAAAGGTTTTCAGTCGGTTCCGAAGCAATTGACGCTCCGCAAACTCGTAGGTGAATTGATAAGGTTTGCCGATTACGGTCTTCTTCAACTCAATACCCTTGCTTGGGCCACCTGTAGTCGCAGCCCAAACTCCCTCAAGCGCTTCTCGGAATCCGCCCTGGCCAAGACGGGGCAAGGGGTAGGCCGCAGCCCACCACAGATCTGGGTTAGAGAAGTACAGATGGGGCTGGCCATCTTGCTGGTATCCATGGTTGGGAAGATCGATTCGGCCGTTCTTTTCGGACAAAGTGCCCATACGGCCTTGCGACGAGAGGAGAAGGTCCATAATAACCTGAGTGTCCAATGCCCAATCACGAGGGTCATTGAACACAAAGACGGCGTCGATCTTCAAACTTTTCGATGGATGATTGAAGTCAATAGGGGTCGGAAGCGGTCGAGCAAATGTTTTATAATAGTCGCTGAAGTTCTTTGAAAACGGCCAGACAGCGGGGTTGGCCATGAGAATATCCGCCGGGGTGACGACATTCTTAAAACCGTACCTGGTACCATTGCTTAGCATATACCATTCAGCAACAGGAAATGATCCTTGACATACTGTTCTGCTACGCGCCGACAGCTATCCCCATCGCCTCCGGCCACTAAAACACACTTGTGTTCCAGAGCGTCCGACTCGTCCGATCCCTTGACCAGCTCAGCAAAGGGCGAGTGACTCTGTACAATATCCGTAGCATCCAAGGGGACTCCTAGTTTCTCGCTAATCTCTGCGACCCGCTCTGTCTCATGTTTACCGCCGCCGTTGGTGAGCAGAATAAAGGGTATGCCTTGTTCCTTCAGGAGAGCCAGCGAGTCGGCGGCGCCGGGTATAGGTTTCGATGCGCGGAGGAGGACGCCATCGATGCTGTGGCATGTGAGAAAAAAAAATCGAGTGGATTGTGTCCGCTGGTCAAAACTCACTCAAATGCAAATGCGAAGTTGGGGACAGGTCGAGAAGTAGCTGTTTGGATAGCTCGGTGGGTGGATTTACGAGAAGCGAGAGATTGGCGCTGCAGTAGGCCAAATGACCGCCAAATGGTTTGCGATCTCATTGTGGTAGTGGTCCTGGGGAATGTGTACGAAAGGAAATGTACGTCATTGCAGGGATCCCGTGTCGGCCAGATCTTCCCTTCGAAGTTCCCCACTCTTCACCTACCCCTTTTGATTTGATGCTTAAAAAAAGGGACTAGGATTTTCAATCAAATATGGAGTACGGAGTACAATTCTCTTAAAACATATATCATCTTCTCCGGTCCAACTAATAGTTTTGCTTCATCAATTCCATTTATGGATTGTGCTATTGTACATTGCTCAGAGAATAGCTGCTGGGACAATAATATGACCTGGAAAAAGGCTGATGTATAGTGAGAGACGTGTAGGTATGCAGAACTGCATAACAATGCATGGGCGCTTAGCAAGCTGGCTCCCTATCCATGACATCGAGACCCAAGTCAAAAAGAGAATCGAGTTCCTCCTCAGGACATTTATCAATGTTCTTCCAAATGCACTTGTCAATTTTGGCATGTGATGCTTCAGGTAGGATTCCAAGACACCCAGGGCTGATACCAAGATAGCACACTCGAGACATATTTACTGTCAAGGCCCTGCACATATCATCTGGATCAATAACCGTAGAAAAATTCTCATCATATGGTGCCGTGAGCTCTAGCTCACGAATGGACACAAAGGAACAAGCTACATGAGGCGTAGGAAGAATGAGTAGATCGTAAAGCAGATCAATGGGTATTCGGAGAGACTTCAGGGCAATGAGACTTGATAAGATATCAGATGGTCCTTCCTCAAACATCTCACGATTGGAACGGTGGATCGTCAATTGACGAAGCGTAGTGCGAAGCTGCTCGTTGATAAGAATATCTTCCAAGACGGAAGCGTCCAGTTCCTCGCAACCACAAAATGTCAGTGCGTCCAAGTTGGGGGGCCACCTGAAAGAAGGCATTTTCGCGACATCAAATTGCCCGCCAACCTGGAGGTATTCCAGATTGGGTGGCCAATCTTCACTGGAACCATCATCTGTGATAAACATTGAAGATGAAAGCTTAAGAGATTGCAGTTTTTCTAGACCGCTAATGGCCTTCTTGAGAGCAGAAAGCGGAATTGGCTCAGCTACCAAGTCAAGGCAAAGATACGAAAGCTCCTTGCACTTGGATAAAGGCGCAAGGCTGTTGATCCTAGAGAAAGGAGTTGGTTTAGTATTAGATGGAATGTTGTGGTGGTCAATATGTACTTACGAGAAAGAGATCCTTGGAGCAACAAATGTCAGTAGATTCTTCTTCACTCGACCTAGAAGTCGTGCCGTTAGGCTATTGGAGCTGTGATGTACCAACTGCTCGAGGTTCAGGACCCGAACGAGCGAGCCCAAGTCCACTTTTCGCTCTCGGGAGCGAATTGATGGGCACACAGTGTTGGTGAAAAGCGTGAAACTATTCCCCTCGCCAAGTTGAGGTCGATAGTAGAGAAATTCAATGCCAGCAGAGTACCACTGGCGAGAGACCGAACAGAACCTTTGAAGTGTGACTTGAAAACTGGGGGTATCATGATTAAAACAATCATGTAAAATGAATTCAGCAATGTGTATCAAGACCTCTGTAGGGAGGTGAACATATCGGCGAGAAGTCATGACTTCGGAGGAATCGATCAGTTTTGACATTTTGCAAGTCAAACAAACGGAAAGTTCCTAAATAGACATCGCAAAATATGAATGTGTGTGTGAAGTGTTCTGTGTGATTTTTCGTGACAATCAGGGACGAAGAGGCAACACAGAGACCGAACCACTTCCGAGAGAGGCAGAGACAGAGGTCATCTCAAGTGAAGTGTGATGTTAGGCAAATTTTCCTTCACTTGATTGAGAAGGGGAACAGAAAAGACTGTTAGGCGAGGCCAGTAAAGAAAGGCCCCAAGGAAAATCAGTGGAGCGTAAATGATGAAAAAAACATGAGGGATGAGAGTCAATAATTGAAGATGTAAAGATAGGCCGATGACGATCCTTATCTTTTTTTGCCGGCAGATGCAAGTTCCCCCGCCTTAAATAAACATTATTTTATACCGCCTTTGGCTTGCCTGTATACAGTTCTAATGTTATATCTAGGATTATGATGGAAGAAAACTGGAAATATGGTAATAAACCTTTGAATAAATATATCTTACCGTATGCGCCTCTTGTCAGATTCAAAAAACAAGTTGTCAAGTCATATTGTTGCAAGAACCATTGAGAGCTGCTGTCTGTGTATGGCCCAAGCTCCTTCAATCCTGAAGGACTACCTAGATACCTACCACCTTCATCTCCCCATGCCTGACAAGAGAAAAGCCACAATGTCACCCCGCCCCTTAAAACGTCTTCGGGTATCTTATGATGAGGATGAAGATGGCGAATCTTCTGGGCCGTCTTATGAGCGTCCCCGTCATAATCCCCTCTATGGCCAAAAGAGCGCATTCCCGGGATTGGATGATGGAGGCGATGAATTGCTGTACGATGATCCGGGGGATGGATTGGAATATCTACGCATGGTTCGGTATGTTTGGCTTTGTCTAAAAAGCTTTTGCTTTGCCCCCTCCTCTCTCTAAACGACGTCGAGACTTTCGCACTCAAGTTTGGACTAATTTTTGCTCGATAGATCCGAAGCAAACTCGCTACCTGTGCTATTTTCCGTGCCCACTCAGACCACAGACCCTTCAAATTTAGTATCGACCACGCAGCCTGATCTAAAGCCACTTGATCCAAATAATCCTCCTTTGCCAACAGGCTTTTATGAGGACGAAGCCTATATTGCTCCTGTGGGCGATCTAAACGAAAATACCGCCGCACATTCCCCTTCGAAGCTCGATGAACTCTATCCCGAACCACAAAAATCCTACAACAATCTTCTCCGACATCGATTTCTCCTCTTGCGATCGACCCTACGATGCAGTCCACCCGCTGGTGCTATTGACACCCTCGACAATGACCACCCTATCAGTCTCCCCCGAAAGGCCGGATCTGCGCACAAAATATGGCGCCGACTTTTGGTCACAGTTGAACCACGCATGGTTCAACTAGCAAGCATGGACATGGACAGTGTGTTAGAAGTGCTGGAGATACTAGCGCGGATGATATCCGATGTTGTACGGGGGGACGACACCAAGCGCGTACGACGCATTGGAGTCTGGGCTTGGGGCTTATTGGGGAAGTGCCGTGAGGTTGGGCAGCTTTCTACCCGAGAGGTGGGAATTGTTCGAAATCTGGGCAAACGAGCTGCAACGATTTTGCGCAAGGTACAAGAGCTAGAGAACGACGAGTATGATGAAGAGGAGGAGGAGGTCGATTCTTCTGTAGTAGACGCACCGAAAGAGGAAATCCGGCAGGGTAATCTTATCGATGATGAGAAAGATACCAATGAAAAATCTCAGCAGGAATCTATCGTCCGGGATGAGGAAGCGACCAAGCAGGAAACTCAGCCGGAACCTACAGCCCAAGGAGAGGAAGAGACAAAGGAAGTAACTCAGTCGGAGCTTACAGTTCAGAATGAGGAGGAAAGCAAGCAAGAAGAATTGCCGGCGACTGCGGAAGCACAAGACTGGGGCATGCCTTATGTATCGCTTGAAGAATCCGAGTTAAAGGCAGCCAAGGCGCGCTTGCAAGCTCAGGTTCAGAACAATTCCGATTCAGTCGAGACGCCTGCCAACTGTGATGATGATGATGATGATGAAGAAGACGACGATTGGTCGATACAGACTCATGCCCTGCTCGACATGATCATTACGGTGGTTGGTGAGTTCTTTGGCCAGCGGGATCTGTTGAAGGAACGAGAGGTTTGGGGTTAGATGGATTTGACTTGCATGTATGAGATACCCATTGTTACTTAATATTAATTCCGTGTCAAAAAGTGTCAATGTCTCGTGTTCTATACGTAGTGCCTGATCATCTACTCCGTATATCATCCCAATATATTGGGTGCTTAGGAGGCTGGTCTGAGCTTCTAAGTTTTGCGTCATGCGGTCCCCGGGGAGCAACCTCAACACCTCATCTCTTTGTTTTCCCCAACTTTTGAGAATAATGATATTTTCATTCCAATTCTGATGAAAATGGCGCCAACTGTTGAAATAGCGATCCCGACCACCACCCTCTCAAACACCTCCCCGCCACACACCGTCTACCATATCACCCTCCGCCTCCCGCTCCGCTCCTTCACGGTCCCCAAACGCTACTCGGACTTCTCAACCTTCCACAGCACCCTCATCTCACAAACGAATGCCCCTCCACCAGCTCCCCTACCTGCGAAAACCTGGTTTTCGAAAACCATCTCAAATGAAAGATTGCGTGAAGACCGCCGCCGCGGCCTAGAGGAGTACCTTCGCGCGATCAACGAGTCCGAAGATGGGCGCTGGCGTACCTCACCCGCGTGGCGTGCATTCCTCAATCTTCCCACTGCGGTTGCATCAACGGGTAATGGATCAACAAACACCTCCACCCGACTCCACGCTGCCATCACAGACCCAGCCGCTACAAACGCACCTATCACAGACCCGACGCTATGGCTCGACTACTATCGCGACATGAAGAACCACCTCCATGACGCGCGACTACAGTTATCTCGCAGAGACCAAGAGACAACCCCACAGAAGCAACACGAGAGCTCTGCACAGGCGAAGGGTAGTCTTGTCCGTGCGGGGACAATGATCACCACTCTGGACGAGGGACTAAAGAATCTAGGACGTGGAGATAAGAGCACCGAGTCACAGGCATCGCCAAGTCTCGGTGGAGGTGAAATTCGCCGAAGAAAAGACCTTCTCATTAATGCACGCAAGGAAAAAGACGGCCTGGAGGATCTCTTGCATGCTATGGCAACTAAGAGCCGGCTTGATCATACTGTCGCATCTATCCAAGATAAAGGAGCTTTGATGAATGCTGGGAGCCTCACTGGAGACGCGGCTAGTGGGCGTAAGACGTCGGCGCGGGCAGGCAGGGTCCTTGGCAAAGAGACGGAGCGAACTCGAGAGCTTGACAACGAGGGTGTGCTGCAGTTGCAGAGACAGATGATGCAGAGCCAGGACGATAATGTGGACGAATTGAGGAAGATCATTATTCGACAGAAAGAACTCGGCACACGGATTAATGAGGAGCTCGAGGTGCAGAACGATATGCTAAGGTTGGCGGATGAAGAGGCTGATATGTTAGTCCACACCCTTTTCTCACTTTTCCCACTTGTTTTGATATATTTTACTGACGAGGTGTCTAGATTGAAATCTAAGATAGATATCGGAAGGAAGAGGATCGGAAAGATATCTTGATTTGACTGCATGTTTTCTATTCAGCGTAGAGCACTTCTTCTATCTATACCTTTGAGCGGGTTCAGCATTATTCAAGCGAATCTATTTGCAAATATATATGTAGCATCTTGGTACTATAAAGCAATCTTCTTACTTGCACGGATGCCTTTTTGTCCAGTAATAATCCTCTAGAATGGGTAGAAGTTGCGGGTTCCCATTCTCGGTCGCTTCAATCCGGGCTCGGTCAAGCCTATCCTTCAACTCCCCCAAGGGAATTTCTTTCCGATCAATTGCGTCAAGCATCAGCTTGAGTACTGCTTTGTTGCCCAGTCTCATACATGCTAGGAATGGGTCATCATGATGTCCATCTCGGCCTGCCAAACTATTGCGCACGAATTGAACCATTCTCCTGGGCAGACAGGCATCCGAGGTCCTAGTGTTGGGACTGGGGATTGACCGTCTACTCATGAATGGTGAGTCGGAATGAGTGTGGGCATCGCTTGTCTCTGTCACGAGTACACACCAGTGGCCATGCTCCGCGAAGGGATCTGCACCTCTCTCTAGCAAGAGTCGTACCCCTGTTTGATCGGAAAACCACTCCTTTTTGGCATCGATATGCATGATGATCCGGTACAATGGAGTCATGCCAGGATAACACCGTTCCTCGATATCAGCACCATGTGCTAGGAGCAGATCAACAATGGCTGCAGCATTAATGCCACCGTCAGCGGGAGGCGCATATGTTGCAATCACCAGCAAAGATAGGTGAGTGTAGAGTGAAGGTATTTTGGGGTCAACTCCTTGTGCGAGTAGTCGCTTCACCACTCCAGTCATCCCAGATTGGACAGCGTGCACTAATCCTTCTTGCGCCTCGTTGCTCTCAGGGTCAATTTTCAATATCCCCTGATCCAAGACTAGTTCCGCCATTTCTTCTCCTCCCAAGAATGCCTCTTCTATCAATTTCTTGGGACTCAGATTCTTTAGAAAATTGGGCCACTGGTGGTTCTTGGGCCTCTTTGGCTGCCTGGGCAATGGAGGCATTTCTAATGCAATGCCTCTCTTCATCAATATCTGTACCGCATCCACTGCACCGAAGGACAATGCTCTCGTGATAGCGTTTTCGCCAGAATAGGGATTGAAAGTGCCATCAGCATATAATGGAGTTCTCGTTGGATCAGCTCCTCGATCAAGCAACATGCGAAACACGTCTGCAGATACCATCGCAGCCTCGGCCAAAGCTGTTTCTCCACGGCTACTTATGCAATTTACGTCGGCCCCGTGGTCAATCAAAAGCTCTGCAATTTGCACATTGCCCAATTGGATTGCCAAGGAAAGTGCGCCTTCATCCCTGCTTTCTCCCTGGTATTCCTGTATATTGGCGCCGTGCTCGATGAGGAGTCTGGTAATTCCAATATGGCTGTTGTCAATGGCTTGGAGTATAGGCCTATCATACCGCGTCTCACAGCGACGATAGGTCCCATTCGCAGAAAAGCCATGCTCCAGCACACGCTGCACAATATCATCCCACCCATAGCCAATTGCTATATATAGAACCTCGGCTTGTGCTTCATCATCTTCGTGATCTATCATGTTCCCAAAGTCGACGAAGGTTCGAAAAAACTCAGCGAACGCAGCCTGCTTCTGCCTCTCAAGCGATCTCCAATTTCCATCTCCGACTATCGACGATAACAGGTAACATTTTTTCTCCAGATTCTTGGGGTGTATGTCCGCTCCACGTGCCAGCAGAATATAGAGAGTTTGTAGTTGGCCATGTATAGCTACATAATAGAGTGTACTCAGCCAACCTTGAGCCATATCAGGATCGGGATCCGCTCCACGGTCTAAGAGCACCTCCACAATCTCCACATAGCCATTGCCAGCCGCACAGGAAAGAGCCGTTGAACCGCAGTATCTCGTATTAGGGTCTTCTCCCCGATCCAGGAGCAAATTGACAGTTTCAAGGTGACCATTTCTAGCGGCACACATAAGAGGTGGCTCCTCTGCAGGAGAGGATTCAGCCCCTCTATCCAGCAAGTATTCAACCAATTTTGTATTACCTTGAAGGACTGCAGAATAGAGGGGTGGCTTATGCCAGTATAAGCTTCGTTCGTCGTTCAAAACGTAGCCAGCCTCGATGAGAACTTGCACGACGGCTAGATGTCCGTTGTCTACTGCCCCAAATACAAGATCGAAGCATGTTTCACCGCAGTCGTTGTGGTCATGTTCAAAGGTGATGTTATAGTCAAGCAAAAGCCTGACAATGGCCACGTTACCACGCACTGCCGCTAAGTATAGTGGACTTAAAACTGTTGAGGCGGCCTTGGATATCTGATCCTCACACAGCTTGCAGCTCTGCTTTTGTATGAATATACTAGGATCTTTGTTCTGTTCCAGTATCAGGCCCACGATATTTTCATGGCCGTTGTCTATTGCTGCAACAAGCGATCGTCTCAGGTTGTAATGACAGGAGTGTGTGGAAGCTCCAGCATCAAATGCTCGGCGGATAGTCACTTCGGAGCTATGCTTTGCTGCCCATACAAGCGGAAACCCATGTAATAAGCGATTGCCATCTTGATATAGCATTGGGTTCAACAGCAGATGTAACCGCCAACATGTTTGCGTCAATGAGTTGAGATAACGGGGTTCCTTGAGGAAGCTGACAATTATGTGGATAAGCTCAACTGGAAGACTTGAAAGAGACATGGAGAGTGGTATGTTGAGTATAGGAATCCAGGGAAAAGACCTCGAGCGGAGCACAAGGGTTAATTATATAGAAAATCAATGCAGGACAAACAAATGATGTGCCTAAATATTTTGAAGGTGGGGTGAATGACAGTGATTTGGCTGCCCCTCAATGCATTAATCCCTGTCTCGAAAGACTTCCCCCGAAATGTACTGCGTATCATTATATCATGTAACATAATTTTCGGAGATACTAGTGGTGAGATATGTATTTGAAGAGAAAGAAGACCAAAAGAATGACATCTTGCTCAATTAGGTAGGTACATATTAGTTTCCCGTACCCGCATAAAACACGGGTAGATGCAGAAGGTTTTGGATCGTAGCAATCAATGGGATTTGCAAGGTTGTCTCTGATATTCTATAGTGGCCTCAGTGTATGTAGCCCTAATAGTCCAAGGTGATACAAAGTAAACTTGGCATCTTCTCGATATATATTCATCAAGGAAAAGAGAGATGTATGTTATTACTATATAAAGAGATATCAATATAAAGCTCCTCGATATTAGCCCGCTGTTCTTGTGTTAGATACAGCTTGCTGCCTGTTTCTTGCGCACGAGTTTATGAGAAGAGCGATGATTAGACCATAGAGGCCCTATACACGTATGAGCTTCTGATCCTGTGTATTTCCAGAAGGTATGGTCTCCTTCTTATCAAAGACTTCAGCGAATGTGAGTGTCAGAATTATGCCGACAGTCTTGGCTGCTGACCAATTCAACAACGATGTCAATAGGTAGTGACACTAAAATCATAATCAAAGAATCATCTTAGCTAAATCTCTGGACTTATCTACTACGTAACTTATGTATCCAGATGTTAACCTTGGAAGCCGACAAGGCTGATGGAGAGACCCGTACAAAGCTGGAGCAAGCCTATATATAAGCGAAGATTATGCTTAGATTCTGCTTCGGATTCTGCTTCAGATCATTTACGACAAGAACAGCAACGGCTAAGCCATAGATCCCGATAATACCAGTTATTGCAACCGGAACTAGGTCTATTGAACCACGCCCAAATTAGCATCATATTCTTAAGTAATAGAAATCGCTCACCTCTAACAGGAAAATTCTTCTATAAACTATTCCGGCATGCGGACGTGACCTATACTTTCCAACCAAGTCGAATCGCCAGACAGCCGTCGATTAAACGCCGGCGGTCATAATAGTTCCGCAGGTAGCACCGAAGCAAGACAACTGCGCAGACACAGCCCATAGAGCTACTAAATAGCTAAGGGTCTCAAAGTTAGCTACTTGAATCGGGGCGGTAGGTCTAGACATAGTGAGGTGTGGCCTATCATAAGGTGCGAGGAATCGCCCGATGCTTCGCATCCTACGACAGTACCTTGCATTTTTGTTTTTTATTACGATAACCATCTATCTCTAGAAGATTTATAACGCTCTCAGTATTTTTGCTTCCACAGTATGTACACACATACATTCGCCAATATGGTGGGTGCACATTGACCCTCCATCCAAAATTCTTAGCTAAATTTTTCTAGGTGAACGATCGAAATTCCACATTGTGATAAAGTTTCACCAGGCACTATCTCGCGGGAACAGCCTTTGAGTGTTGAGGGTGAGAAAAGTCTCGCCAAACTACACATGCCAGGGCCTTCATGTTGCTAATTCAGCAGGCGGGAACTTCCGATCCGATGATGCTGGTAGCTCTGAAACGCTTTGGCCGCTCAGTTCTGTGATCCGATTACTCTCACTCATCTCCGAGAGAGGGGGTTGGGAACGTGGAATATATTGGCTGTCTTGAGGGTGCTTCTGCTTCTTTCGGTGACGGAATAAACACCAGGCCAACCCAATCAAGATGATGACGCCAGCTATCCCACCAACTACACCACCGGCAATTGCCCCAGTGTTAGATTGAGAAGTACTAGTATTGCCGTTGTTAGAGGAGGTGGAGGTTGCGGTAATTCCCCCTGACGTCGACGAGGAGAGTGTTGTAGCCGTAGCAGTATCTGTGGCACGGTGCGTCAGATTAAAAGAACAAACAATGGTACACCTTTTTCAGTGTTTGGATCTTTGACGACCACCAGCGCCAAGGCTTACCTGAGCTTGTAGAGGTAGGTAGAGTATATGGGACAGCTTTTCTCATTGCTGTCACTTTCACACCGAGATCATTCACGTCTTCCGCTTTTACACAGCCAGCATACTTGTTGGCGCTGGTATAAAACCCCTGGGTATCATTTGCGCAGCAGAAAGAACCCTTAGTCTGATCGGTAAAGTAGAGATCCGCTGTAGGGTCTGCACAGCGCTCTTTTTCATATAAAGAAGCGCTGCAATCCTCTTTGGTTGGGCAGCATACCCCTGGAGCTGGTTGTTCAGCAGGGCATTCGGTATTTCCTGGACAACATCTTCGAAATGAGACAGAAGATGTGTTCCAGGTCGGACCGCAATCTATCTCACCGTCCGCGCATGTGTCGTTTCGGCGGAGGGAGTAGCCCATGAGATATTCGTTGTCTGTGAACATTTTAACCAAATATTCATCCTATGAGACCTGAGAAAAAGTGAATGGGAAATAGGGGAATGAATTTGTAGTTGATCGGCAGTCACAGCGGGGAATGACGACCTCTTTAAGTGACTGGCGATCTTGTCTTGGAGGAATCAATGCGTTACATCAAATTTATCAGAATGGCCCCTAGTACTTTGGGGGCCATACCACACTAGCGGCTCGAAAGAAATATTGTGATCAAGTAAGTATCACCTAGAAAGTTTCTATAAATACGTACATATGGCTGTTAGCTACGCATAACAAGATTATCTTGGAACCTACAGAATAGCCAAGTTGTGGTTATCACATTGGGCCCTGAACGCCAAGCCTCATTAGTTTCACCATGGATTAGCCATGGCGCTGGTAAGCACTATGCGGATATGATTAGCACCATATCTCTGTAAAGTATGTTTAGGATCTCTGTCTCATAATCTAATTGATCCGAGGCACTCATTGCTATCCGAATGCAGTCAAATTCAATCTGAGATGGCTGAATGACCATCAATTGGCTGTCGCAATCTCCCGGTCATTAGGGTCTATCTAGTAGGCTAGAGGAAGAGCCATAAGGCATACCGGTAAGACGGACAACTTGTTCTTATTCTAGGGTAGCTTGGTTAGTGAAAGAATAACGCATAGTCCTTGACAGAAAATGCACTTGTAGCATAGTTGCATCCAAGTCAGAGCTCAGAGCACGATCATGTTGTGTCTGATTGAAAGTGAGGTACTTGAACTGACATCCAATGTAGCCATTTTCGGCAGCCGATTTACCGTCAATTAGCGTTGTGGTATAATTATGGGCAGTTTCTCTTGAAATTGAATTAGTAGCCAAGACTATTATACGCGGGAAGTGGACCTGAAGCTGCCATCAACCATGGTTGAGTAATGAGATCTAGGTCAATTAAAGTGGCATACAAAGTAGAGGCATTCTGTAAGATGGTCGAGAGTTGAATAGTTCTTGCAGTTGGCCCTAGGGGAAAGCAAAGTCAGAAATACGAGGCAAAATCCACAATAGATTACTGCGCTTTCTACATTATCTCTACTAGGTAATTTCACCGCATATCATTATTAATGGTGGATGCTAAACGGTGATTGAAGCGGAATCTGTTGCCGTGCCGATGTGTGTCTCCCGCAGGTACGCTCGCCCTACAAAGTACAACATACAAAGTAGTCTTCGACCCACAGTCTATAACATAATTTACCATGTATTCATGACAGTTGACCGGAGTTGTCCTCATTGCTCTCGAAGGCGTTTCTTATGACATTCAAACACCTGTGGCAGACGGCACCACCCGAGTCAATAGCCAGTCAGTAGGGTTCACAAACTGGGGAATCCTGTCGACAATGACTATTGGAGCATGATTGACTATGTGAAAAACTACCCTATATGCTGTACTCTGTATATGTACAAAGTACGTTGAACTCCACAGACAATGTGGATCTAAAAAATAGCCATCACATTCGGAGGCGAGGAAACCCCACCCGGCATGTTCAAGGGTACGGATGCCACGAAAAAGCTCCACCGTTGGAGTTCTTGGCAGGTGCATGCCAGCGCCTCAAGATCAAATAGCTCCCCTGTTGTTTATCAATCAGTATTATGGATCTGCGGGATTTGGAGAAAAGCACTCCGGCAACTTACCGATCGGCATTCCCCATCCAGCAAGCACATATTCATGGAGGAAGATGTCAGGGGATTGTGGCGGATAGACCTGTGGGTCTGTCAGTAGATTTCCTTGACTGGCTTGCCGCATGGCGAGAATTTTGGGGAGTATTTTTTTTATTGCTCACCTCCCAACTGATCGCATCACTAGCGATGGCAGCGAATCCGGTGTCCCACAGCCAGCGGAGAACTTCTGTGGTCGCCTCGACGCCAGCATGCTCTGGGCTGGGGTTATCCGCATAAGCTTGTTTTTGGGCGTTTGTCATGGACGTGTCCCATTCCTTGGTCACTCCGACACGAACGAAAAGAATATCACCCTTTTGGAACGTGATGTTGTTCTCTTTGGCAATTTCGAGGATGTCGGCAAACCGCACTTGGTGAGTCGAGAATGTGGTGTATTCAATCCCCTTTTTCTCAGCCCAAGTAGCGTAGTCGATCAAGACCCCACGTCCTATCGAAATTCTGTCAGATAATATCAGGGGATTTAGGTGAAATATATGGATACCTGCAATGCCCTCTCGGGCCCAATGCTGCAGACCAATTCGATCATTTTGGCGATCATTAATTTCTTCACTGGTTGTTCCACCATAAAATACACGCTCAGATTGACCAGGCACTGTTTGAGAAAAATGGCGGAGGCCATCCCACTGGCTACTTTGCTCTGTGAAAAAGTCAATATCCTGTAAAAAAATAAATAGAAGGGAGAAAACCAGAACGCCTTTCAACTCACGTGGGTTCATAGTATAGATATCATCGAATGCCACACCTCCCAAAAGAGGCACAATCTGATGATGACATGGCTGACGGTTGAGATTAGGATAGTCCAACTTCGTCATCTCCCATCCCATCGTCACACGACGACCGCATCTGATCTCGCTGGCGGAAGCTGCGGCGACGACTTCAGGGGTAAGAATTGCTAATTTCCCCAAACCCTCTTCATAACTACCTGGCTTTCCTAGCCAAACCTGTTTCGGATTTGGGAGCTGGTCAAACGGTATGTTAAAGGGAGACTGGGCCATCGTTCTGCTATTCTATTGTCGTTTCTGCTGGTTGGAGTTATGAGCAAAGGGTATGCAGTGTACTTTTGTATGACCCAGAATGCTGTAATCTCTTTTTAAATACGGAGTACGGAGTGGTACTTTGCGTAATGAGCTAGCATGAACAGCAGAGACCTTTCTTTAAGGTGATAGTGGGGGGATATAATTTGTGGACTCATTCGGTTCGGATTAGAATCCGCTAACGACTCCGCAACTGAAGAACCCAGGGCTGAGTACAACATACAACTGAAGCATACATTGTACAACAAACTGGAATCAAATTTGACATAGCTGATCAACAAATGAGTATTGCTTAGCTTCTAACATGTTGGCAGCAGGCAATTTCAGATCCCCGGACTCAAAATCCCTGTGCCGTGATCGGCAAACTAGTCATATTCTGACAAACTCTATGCAGCCACCGAGTTAGTAACGCTACTTGTTGTCAGCTACAAAGATGCTGAATTCTCTCCCTTCAAAACGCTTGTCTCCTTTAATATACACCCTTAATTTATTGAGATTTGTAATACTCACACCATCATGGGTAGGTTCGGGTCCCAAACTAGCTCCTATAATAGGCTAGTTATTGTTTTTGCCGCTATTGGGTCAATGGTAAGCACAATTCTTCACATAGCGGGTATTTCCAAGACTTACACAAATAGACATATGGATATTGCGCTTCGATTATCTCTAGTACAATCGGCCAGCCGGGATGGTACGCCTACTTCAGCTTGCCAGCTGAGGGTGAACCAGGATATGCGACTATAACTACCCCCGCAATCTCGACTGCAAATGGTGTTTTCAGCGCTGGTGGTGCTGTTGGTACACTCTTTATAATGTGGTCGTGTGATTTCTTTGGCCGAAGGGCGAGCATCCAGTTCGGTGCCTTCTTTTCACTGTTCGGAGGAGCGCTTCAGGCCGGCTCTAATTCACTAGCGTATGTCACTTCTAGGTGTATTTAAATTTGGCTGGCGCTGACAACTTTCAGCATGTTCCAGGCTGGCCGCTTTATTTGCGGTCTTGGAATCGGCATCCTTGTAACTGTGTGCCCTATGTATCTTTCCGAGATGTCGAGTGCTCTACGTCGCGGCTGGCTTGTCGGGCACCACGCCATTTTCCTGGTCTTTGGATATATGCTTGCAGGATGGGTAGGTTATGCTTGTTACTATGCAACAGGTCCTCTTCCTGAGTTTGGTTGGAGATTTCCTCTCGCCTTGCAATGTCTACCTGCGTTGGTGTTGCTTATGGGATCTCCCTGGCTCCCGCGCTCTCCTCGCTGGTTGATATCGAAGGGCAAGCTTGATGAGGCGCAGCGTGTTCTTGAGAGGCTCCGCGAATCACCAGACGACCCGAACAACTTAGCTGCGAAGGAGGAGTTCTTCCAGACAAAAGAACAAATTCAACTCGAGGCTGAGAGATTGGCTACTTCCGGCAACGTGTGGAAGGCTGTCTTTACAAGGAAGACATACCGGAAGCGAATGGCTATCGGTTTCCTTACCCAGTGGGGTGCTGAATTTGGCGGGCCTTTGATCATCGTGAGTGTGGTGATACCTAATTGAAAATGTTATTCCACTGACAATGGCTAGAACAATTATGCTGTTCTTCTGTACAAAAACTTGGGCATGGAGGGCGGTATGCCTCTGCTGTTGAGTGCTGTCTGGCTAACAACAGCTGGTGAGGATAAACACCCATAATCCACTATGTAAACCGTTTGCTAACCTAGCTCAGGTGTCATCTACAATCCTCTAGGCGCCTGGCTCCATGACAAAGTCAATTCCCGGCGGGGCATGTACATGATTGGCTTTATTGGTATTATCATCTCTACATCTTGTCTGGCTGCTATGACCGCCCAGTATGCCGGTACAACTAACAAGGTCGGAAATGGATTCGGTATCTTCTTCATGTACCTCTACCTGGCCTTCCAGGGGTGAGTCATATTTCAACATATCAAGATCGCGGAATGCATTGAGCTGACATTCCTGTAGTACTTTCTGTGACACCACCATGTACCTCTATGTTTCGGAGATCTTCCCGACCGAAATCCGTCCAATTGGCATGGGCTTTTCTCTCTTTGGTCAATTTGCTGGTAAGTTATTCGTTACAATGTTGCCTCCAAATTCCAACTGACATATTTAGCCACTCTGATCCTCCTGCAAACTGCCCCCATGGGCTTTGGCAGCGTTGGCTGGAAGTATTATCTTGTCATTATTTGTTGGTCTGCGTTCTTCATTCCGGGTATGTTTTCTCCCCGATCACATCAAGATCGACCGTCAACTAAAATTGCGGTAACAATATTTGTAGTCATCTACTTCTTCTTCCCCGAGACTGCTGGTCTCACCCTCGAGGAAATCGCCCAAAACTTTGGTGAGGAGGTTGCTGTTAACCTCACCGGCGCCACGGACGAGGAAAAAGCTCGGCTCGACCACCAGCTAGCCACGGGTGAGAACATTCAATCACCTATAAGCTTGAGGCTCGAAAAGGAAGCCAAGTCTTTGTCAACAAACGAGGCTGGGAAGAACGTGCCGAAAGCATAGTAAAGACGTATTGAGTATGTTTAGCTCTTGAGTAGAGAGTAGCCTGCCAATAACGAATAACTTTCCGCTTGACGATTCCAAGGTTGGAGCCGTAGTTGACTCTTGTATTATATAGAAATAGGAAAAAAACACCTTGCGCTTCAGAGCTCCATAAATGGCTAGTGGGGGAAGATTGGGATTGGTTAGATTTTAGATTTCGTTAATATTAACCTCAGCTTATAAATCATCAGGAACGAGCCTCGCTTTTCTCAAGATCAAAACTCCTTCAGCTCTTATACTTACAATACAATTGTATACTTGAATCACAATGGGTTCAAGTTCAAAAGTGACTTTATTTCCCTGGGATCCCAATTCGGACATTCATGTGAAATGTCTTGTGTCGCAACGGGTCGAATGCAGTTGGGACCAGGAAAAAGTTGAGATAAAATGGAAGAAGCAACAGCTCAAAGGCGAGAAGTGTATTTATTGGATTGTGAGTTCTATATATTCCTTTTTTTTGTTGTATTCGACGCAAACACGAGTCGATTATGCTTACATTTTGTGAGAAAGGTCCTGCCATCAGATGAGTCACAAGTGATATCGCCAAAGGTAAAGACAACAGCGCACACAGCGCAACCCTTCGCAAAGGAAATAGCTGACATGTGACTTCTAGAAAGATGAAATGCTTCAAGACACAGCCACAACAATCAATGCTGTCTCACGCCAGCCCACAAAAGAATTTTTCATCCCTATTGGCCACATTTCACTGGATTCCAAGAACCCCGATGCAGAGCACATTGAGCTTGACCTGCCAGTCAAGAAAATATTCTGGATCAAGACATTCTACGTCAGGCAGTCCATCCAGGGCCAGGGAATCGGACGAGCTGCAATGGATGAGGTCGAGGCCATGGCAGTCCGAGAGCCACTACTAGCCAAGATATTGATGCTAGATACAGTTCAGAAAGATGATCAGAAGAGAGAAGAATTTGCAAATGCAACATACGGTGGTGTGCCAAAAGTAAGTCTGATTATACAATTTGATGTCCTTGGTCAAACACCTTATCGTCTGCAGACTACGAACGAGGAATGGTATGCTCGTAGAGGCTACCGATTGATCAAGACTGTACAGAACTATTATCAGGTCTTGGATAAGAATGGGAAGATTTGGGATACAAAGACAGTTTTTATGAGAAAGGATATTGCGCGCGCCAGCGACGCACACAGGTAGTATATATATCGTGTCAAAAAGCATTCTAGTAATTGATATCATTTTCAATTGTCTCTCCTAAAATCAATCATGCACCCTAGTAGCATATATAAGACTTAATACATAGATATATATCTTCGAGCTTCGATGACTGTTGAATGATGTACTGATTGTCTCGTTTTCTCATACTTCGAGTTTCCTAAATGTGGTACGCTAAGCCTAATTTGGAAGAAGCAAACTGCAAACCATCGCGGGTATTTTTTTATCCCTTCCTTTTATTTATTCATGTACCTCTATGCGTTGGTGCTCGAGCCATGAGAAACAACGACCGGCGTTCTGCATCGCCTGTAACACGCAAAAATGGCACTTTGCAGTCATGTGAACCCTGTCGGAGATCCAAACAGCGATGTGACCATGACCGGCCTGTTTGTCGCCGATGTATCGCAAAAAGAATCAGCGATAAATGTTTTTATCATCCAGCTCCAATGACTAGGCGGAGACCTTCCGGCCCAGCCAATTCTGCCATAGTTTCCAGTCGACTTACCAGCCAAACAACCTCAAAGTAAGCCTCTCCTGCAACGGTTGATAGACCATGCTAATATGTAGAGACAGTGCTTCCAGCCCGGGCTCAGGTTCGAATGGGCGTTTTCTCACACCGTTGGAACCCCCCGCGGCTCTTCCTGGATATCTGGGCTCGACAAGTTACGCTGCGTTTTTGACTGAGCATCGTAGTGATATTTCGTTCGAGCCTGAGGAGAGCACATATTCCTCTGCGGGGTTAGTAGTGGAGCCTGATCGACTCCAATCCGGGGTTGATGTACTCCGGCTTTTGTACAATCTCACTGTGTGTGATATGCTGATTGCACGATTATATCATCGGCCATGGAACGCCATCGTGCCCAAATTGGTAATGGACGAGCTTTTGCGCTCGGTGCGCCAAATCTTTGACGGGTTCTCCAGTGACCCAACGGCACAACTGCAAGAGTTGGCGAATCAAATATTTCAAAATACCTCCCGCCCGATGCGGACGCATAAGTCTATGTCATTTGAGGAGTATTGTTCCTCTTTTACCGGTCGCAACCTCCGGTGGGAGGCACTTGGCTTCATCTTCACTAACTGTGGAATGCAATTGGTCGTTACGCCAGACAACGACCCTGAAATTATGCAGGGCTCAGATGACCCTCGAACAAGAGACCGGTTACTAGAGCAGATGACTGTGGTAAGTGCAGTATGCCTTGGTTTCTGTGACCAGATATCGTCGGCAAACGAATTGCTGGCAATGTTGCAATTTAACGATGTTATGTTGCGAACACAACAATATGGTGATTCTAGTAAGACTTTCCCTTCTGCATGGTCTCATCTCCTATTGATTCACTGACCACCCACTTGTTAGGCTATCAAGCTTGGCGTAGATTGAGTGACCTGGTATCCACGATATATGCAGCTGGGCTACACTTAGACACTAGTAGCATTGACAATTTTCCATTCTTTCTTCGCCAGTGGGGGAGACGCTGCTTTTTCGCTGCCTTCTACATGGACAAAATGATGGCAACATTTGTTGGACGACCGCCACTGATGAATGGTCGATTCTGCACACTCGCTGCTCCATTGGATTTGAGCGACGAAGTCCTGGCTGCAGGTGGAGATGTTCTCAGCAAGGCTATATCGGAGCTAAACAGCACCGGATGGAATACCCAGGGGGAGTTACACACAGTAACCCCAATTCGCCTACGCTATCAGCTTGCCATCATTCGGGAAGAAACTCTTGAGGTCGTATTGGGAACTCGCGAGCAACACAATCTAATCCAGAAATCCGAGTAAGTATATCTCCCCGTTCAATTCACATGCTGTCTAAGCACTGATATGCTTTTTTAAACAGAGAAATCCAAGCAAAATCGCGCGCCATTTGGGAATCAACTCCGGATCAACTTCGATATGACCGGCGATTGAACGACCCTTCTTGGCATGGGTGGCTTATGATTGTCTATTGCTATCTGGATTATCTATACACTTGCTTTTTGCTTTATCGCGCAGTTGTCAAGCACACTAACACCGGACAAGCGGATCTCTGTGACGTATCTCGTCGGGTGCTAGCCATTGTCATTCAGATCAATACAGTCCGAACACCAATGGTCGACCTAGACAGGCACTTTTCTTGGGTCGTATGTTATCTACAGTTCCTATTCGTGAATGCAAGAGAAACATTTACTAACAAATGCAGGTCCTCACGTATGGTGTTCCTTCCGCCAGCGTCCTTCTCCTTGAACTCCTGCGTCAATCGCATGAGCCCGGTCCACACACTGTAACTCTCCCCCGCGCTGAGTTGATCCGTAACCTCAGCGTGTTTATTTCTTCCCTATCGTGGGTCGCAGTCCCCGGCCACGGGAACTATCATATCTGCAAAGAAGCCGAGAAAAAGCTGTCTCGCATTCTTGATCAGCTGCTCGACCCAGAGCCTGTGCATCAACATGTGGTGGATGATGTTACAACAGGCCTCGACAATTTCCTCAATTGGTCAAACTACAATACAATCTGGGACTTCAATACCGATAATATGCCTCTTGCCGAGGGCTTTGTGCCTTGAACGTCGGTCGTTATATCATGGAGATCATTTAGCGCCAAAATATTCATTCATCACGTCATTATAATAAAACATCCTCCCCCCGATCGGTGGTTGATATCTGGTCATACCATCCACACATACTCGTTGCGGGGAGGTGTGTCGGCGACATAATAGGCACGATGACACAGCGGGCAATTGAAATGGTCTCCCAAGAACCACTTCTCCAAGCATTCCCGATGGAAAACGTGCAAGCACCGCAGTTCACGAATTTCATGCGTGCGGTCTACTTGCTCCAAACAAACGGCGCTGGACAGAATATTAGCCACTACTCTACCGGCGCAGCACAACAATTCCATACCAAACAAATTGTCCATCGACGGCTTCAGGCAGCCCGAGATTCCCTTTCGTGGTCGTCCACCATTTCTCGAGCGTGCAAGTTGGCGAGACCTTATCCAACTTGCGCAATCGTTCGCTGGGATCTTTTCTTGACCTCAGGAATGACTGCCTGTCCCGGCGGTTGATGATTATTGTCAGACTGAAGGGTACAGTTAGGATAAGATGGACCGACATGATTTATGTAGCACCAACGGAGGAAATGTATCGGTGAGAATGGGGAGAATGGAGGAGACACAAGAGATAACATGCAAATAACATGCACATCGAATCTTACATCAAACTAAGCACGATGAGTAGCACCACCCCAAGTCCGATGCCCAAGACAATCGCCATATGGTTCTTCTTCAGTTTCGCGTCTTCTGCCATCCCTCCGAGTCCAGGATTCTTTGTTGCACGAACGGGTAGTCAAAGTCGCGTCGATGAGATGGGCGATGTGGTTACCAAGGTCGAAAGCGAAATAAAAGAGCGCAATCCAAAAATCTTTGATCCCAAATTGCTAGTGATCACAAGCTAGAAGTGGGTGTCACAGCCCGGTCGCCGCACCGGGGGTTCGGGGACTCTGGTCGTAGTATAACACTAGAGTAGACCTTTCCCGAAAAAAAGATACAAAATGAAAAAAGCAAAGGAGCTGAAAGACCAGTCAGAATCCGAGAAATTGAATCGCGAAGTAGAGGTCTGGAAATCTTCAGATGCAAAAGAAATAAGAATTGTAAATGTAATAAGCACAGGGAGTATCAATTGATCTGGGGATGATCTCCATGTCCAAGCGTCAAAGCGGGGAAGAGACGGTTGTGGATCTTTCATCATACGAGATATTATTTCCCTCTTGTTTGGGCATTGAGCATCTCCCTGTATCGAACCAATCAACATCGTGCGAGATGGAAGGGATAGGCCCGGGGGCGGAATGTTGATCGGCTGGATTGTCTTTTGGTTGCACGGTGGGATTTGCAGAGATACCTCCATAGGTAGATGCCTTTTTATTATTTGTCTAGTATTTGTTTAATAGCTTTCGTATTTCTTTCGAGATTGGTCTGGAAATACATCCCGATCGCCAAATATGTGCCAGATGACCTGGTTTAAACTCGGCCAAGACTATTATGCCTCCCTACTTTATCATTGCAAGGGTTGTATTGCGGTTTGATGGACACATTCTTCGAAGATTCTAGCTGGCAGTGTTTCACTCTTTTCTGGTATTCTAGACTCCTACTTTATTTCATCCCAGGGCTATGAAGGTCTAGATCTGATCCAACTGGAATCGTGGATAGGTCTAGACAGCTACTCCATACCGGCCTAGGAATACGATGAGTAGATATGAAAAAAAGGCTAATAAACGCCAGAAAGTTACCTCAGCCCAGACCCAAGGTGCTATATGTTGTACATAGATGGCCAAGTCAGTGAAAGAAAGGCTTTGACCCCTAGATGATAACACAACGAATGTGATCTACTGATCTACAAGATACATAGATATTGATATACAGCTGTAGCAGGCGTTGGTTAACCGTCGCATTCGGTTAGCTCTAATGTATGTATGTACTTATTATTAGCAGACCTGCACCCTCTAAATTTGTGTCTAGCAGGTGCAGACCTGGTGTCATGCATATGTGTTATGTCGCTTCTATGTGTGGCTTGCCCAGCGTGCGTCTACTGTAGAGAAATTTCTTATGCGCACACTCGGCCTGGTAGACTAGGACATGGACATCAAACCGATGACATAGCCAGCAGAAAGCTCCCCCACTGTGATAATCTATTCTGTAGGGGCTCTTTGCAGCTGCTTATAGGGTCACGCCAATCAACCATAGGAATGCTCCTAATTGGATGGCGAATTTGCGATCGAAGCGGTCTATACATACATGTCAACTTTGGAATCTTGTATAACATAGAAAGCCGATTACCGCTGTCGAAAGCATCGGCCTTTTTGCTCTTTATTCTGATATTTTCCGAGGAATTTTGTAAAAACCATACAAAGCAAGATAAAAGATGTGAGGTTGAATGTAGCTAGGTATCTAAGGAAAACACGACCAATGGGACTGTGCCGCTGGGCCCATGGATGACCTGATTTTCCCCAAATTTGACCCGAATTTTTGGATTTCCCAAAAGGGTCAAAGAAGAAGTCAATAGTTAAGATCTGAATATTCCGATCTGCGACTATTATTAAGCACGATATTAGGCTATTACTGACCGTATTTGAAGCTCTTTGCTTCTCTGAGATGGAGTTCTAGTACTTCACCGGTGACCCACTAACTGCACTATTCCATATAGGGGTTACAATCGGGAGTCATGCCATAAATGCCCTCTCGTGGTCCATCTGAGAGCACAAGAGTGATGAGATCTCTCCTTTTTTTTTTTTCAAAGCAGATTAATATCCCTTGGGAAAAAAAAAACACCTGAGAGATCACATTCCACCACGTGCAAGTCTTCCTCGTGGGGTCACGTGAGGGCGCGTAACCACGCGTTGGGCACTCAAGGGCAGATCAGGCGAAATAAGGCAAATAAGGCAAATGGCATGGTTTATCCCTCTGTGATTTAATTCGAGTTGGAGAATTTCAAATATGCCTGTATCGAACGCGAGGACACGCTTCGCGCTTTACGCAGGTAACTGTATGAACTACTGCAACCTCATACCAAGTGTGGGCCCGAAACCATCTCTACAGCTCAACGCGTTAGTATAGACTAATGCAAAATTAGTATTCTGAGGATTCAGCTATATAGTAATTTGGACATTAAACAGGATCAAGATAAAATCAAACAAGAGAAAGGTTGGTGTCTCCAAGTACCAAGTACCTCGGAGGAGCACTTTGTTACTAGCGCGGGCCACGTTCTTTCTACTCCGCGTTCACACCGCGACGCGATTTGATACCGTTTTCTGCATGCCAGCCTCACGGCTTTTCCAACTTCTATTCTCTTGTCTTTTTTTTTCATAATTGATCTGGCGATCTGGTGATCTGGTGTTATTGTTTCTTTCTATTTACCCTCCCAACCCCTCCATGCTCTCTTAAGTATCATGTCTGATCCGGAGCCTTCGGTGGCGATCTCATCCTCGCCCTCTCTCCCGGCCACCGACTCCAATCCTCTTAACTACGCTTTTCTCGTTCATTCGCAAAAAACCCTTACACAGAACCTTCCTCCTCGTGTCGACAATAAACTGCTAGCCCGCCAGAAGCGACGTCGAACTAGGTATGCTATTATGGTTGGCGTTCCATACTATGAACGCGTCAATTAACCCGACGTGAACTATTTTGTAGTCCGGAGGATCACGCAATCCTCGAATCCGAGTACCAGCAAAATCCTAAACCAGACAAAGCAGCCCGCACGAGTATCGTGAACCGTGTATCACTCGGCGAGAAAGAGGTTCAAGTATGTGATGCCAAGAGTTCACACACAAAAACCACTTCTAACTAGCTCACAGATTTGGTTCCAAAATCGCCGCCAGAACGATCGTCGGAAATCTAAACCCCTCCAGCCTCACGAATTACTCGCCCCGCGGTCGGGCATGGTCGATTCGTCGGGTCAGCCTTTGAGTGATGATAACGCGTCGACGGAGCCGGGGTCTTCAAGTGGGGCAGAGCAATTTGACATCAACGATCACCGCGAGGAAATGGCATCAAAACCATGGCACGGAGGACTGTTGCAGTTTTCAGATGATTCTGACCCAGTGATTGAAGATAAAGATGAACATGAACATGAGCTGCCCCAGAGCACCCAAACAAGCGTGGCAACAGAGGCTGCCGAGGAAACCCCGGCCACCTCACAGGAAGAGTTTTCCCAACTGGTGAATGACCACTCAGAGGACTCTGTTCTGCAGGCACCAAAGAGGAAACGTTCAGTGTCAGATATCCAGGGCGAGGGAGAATATGAGCAGCAGGCAGCAACCGCACAAATCACGCAAACCACACCTACCAAGTCACCTCCATCACTACGTTTGTCGATGTCGTTTGATGGAGAGGCTTTGGTGCGCAAAGAGGGGGAGCTAACACCATCTCCGCCCAAGGGTCGCAACGCCTTACGCATCGCGATGTCATCAGATGGAAAAGCAGTAATCCGCGGAGAGAACGAACCATCACCGTCCAAGAACCGCGTGGCGATGTTCTCCGTTCGCCGAACAAAGATGTCAAGCCTGCGACGTAGCAGCAGTGCCGTCTTCCCAGTCACGCCGCGGGCAGGTGTGGCCGAGCAAGATCGGCCTTTCGGTCGCTCTCGTGATTCACGTAATTGGGAATCATTCTGTGACACGGACGCAAGAAGTGCCCTATCAACACCAACTAGTGGCCCTAATGGTTCTCCCGGTCTCTTCCAATCTCGCAGTCAGCGCTCATTACCTCGGAGTGCCTCAGGGCGGCACAGCCTCGCTGCCCACGGCGACCCAAACACGCCAATTTCTCAGTCCATGGGAGAGAAGAGGCGGAAGCTCGCCCGCACTGTTTCATCCCTTGGGCGACTGGAGACAGGCCGAAACAAGGCTAACATGGGCCCATCAAAGCTGTCCAAGCCTCTATTCTCCAAGTCTGGCAAGCAGGATCTGGAACAAGACCCCGGCGACTCTGATAAAGAGAACTGGGTTCCAGGAACACGATCAACAAATGTTCGTCGTCGTAACACTTCACACATCCCACGACCGGTCCTTCGCGATGCTAACCGTAATCGCGGTCTCGGCATCTCGGCCAACGGCAAACGCAACCGACCGCTCCAGGCTGGCTCACAAGGAAAAGCCCCGCCAGAACTCAGTGCAGAAGTCTCAGCTTTCATGGCCGGTGGCTCAGGGGATAGTCAAGAAGATGACTTGGACTGTGTGCAGGGTCTCCTGTCGTTGAGCCAGGGGGCCTGGCGATAAGGGACCTTTGAAGGGATGCATGATTGATACGTTGACATTCCGAAGCGTCATTGCCTGTCATCTTTGCGTTTTATTATTCTTCATTTCCTTTGTGATACTGATTTTCCTTTGTTCGGAGCCCTGATGTATTTTTTTTATTGCTGTCTTCATGATGTGCTTCATGATGTTGCTTCCAAGTGGTCTTCGCCACTGTCACGTGAACCTTGTCCATGATATACTTTCTATTCGGGCCTGTTCTTTTTTTCCCTTTCTTTGCATCTCTTATGCATCTGGATCTACATGGGTCTATATCTTTAGTCTATGGCGCTTTACTCGGTGGACTTATCTGGTCCTCTGGGCCTGTCGTTGATGGGGGGTTTGACTGAACAAATGTGAAAAGCGAAAGCTCTGGAGAAAGATACTAATCCTTGAATGAATCCAACGACCTAAAATACCTTATTTAAGTATGAATGAAAATGTTCAACTTGCTGGATCCATTGTATAATCGATACACATCTACCTGTAGGCATCTCTCTATCATGCCATCTATGTTCCTAAGTTATAGCTCTTCAAACAAATACCATCTAAACTCATAACACCAATGTCTAAATCCTGATCAAACTCCTCCCATAACAACATTGAAGTATACAAACCCCCTCCCCGAATCAAGACACATCCCCAGCAGAAGGCAAAGAATCATCCTTCACCCCCATTCTACCAACCTCTCCCATCCCAAACCCCCGACAAATCACCTCCGCAACCCTCTCCCCACTCCAAAACGCCCCAGTAGTAGTCCCAAGCGCAACAAAAGGCGCCGTATGCTCCCCAGCAAACCAAAGTCCCCTAACCGGTCCAATCCCATCCCCAGACCTAAGAACTTCAATATCCTTATCCGCTTCTTCAAGCCCAACCTGGAAATTACAATACGATCCATTCCCAGCAAACTCATCCTTCTGCCATTGCGTAGCAAGCAAAGCTACTGGCACACAGTCTGGGTTCTCGGCGCTGTACCCGGGAAGTCGGGAGTAGAATGGGTGCAGTGTTTCGATTAGAGATTCTCTGTATTCGGGCGATGAGGGTGCGTGCTGCGAGATGCGATTTATTATCTCTGCACCGCTTTCGCCATATGTGTAGAAGAGCAGGGTTGGGTGCGCGTGTGGTTCTGGGAGTGAAGCGAGTGAAATGAATTCTTGGTTCCATTCTATGTGTGCTGGGTGGGTTGCGTAGGATGGTTTGAGGAATTGGGCGAACACCGTGTTGGGAGTGGCGGTTATTAAGGTGCTGGTGTTGTTGGTGTGCCAGAAGGCGCGCGGGAATGTCACATATACCTTTTCCAGTCGGCCGTAGGAGATGTTGTTTATTGCTTGCTCGAGACGGGGTGGGAGGGCCGGTGTGAATGCTGAGGTGTTTTGTTTGAGCCAGCCCAGTGGGCATGTTATGACTACTTCATCGAAGTCATAGCTTGTTCCTGTGGCTGTCGTTACAGTTACTGTGTGCTGCTGTATTGGTGATTGGTTGTTGCGAGGTGGCGCGTTGATGCTTTTGACAGGTTCGTTGAGGCGGATGTCGGCTTTTGCCACAGCGATTTTTGCGACATGCTCTAGGATGCGTTTGTATGTAGATGCCACGACGAAGTTGCCTGAGTGGATAATGTTAGAAGTCTACTATGTAACCAGGGATGATTTGTTGAATACACATACTCCCATCAACACATTCTTCCAGGCGGAAAAACCTCAAGCTCTGCTTATCGACTTGATCGCCGACATATGCACCCCAGAGTCTACAGGCATCGAGGCAGTGCTGTTTCTCTTCATCTGAGAAGTTGGTTTCCTGGACTCGATCGCAGAAGAAATCGAACAGACTTCGCTCGACTGGGATGCTTTTTCCGTGGTGATTGCTGTATTTGAAGGCCTCTCCTATAGTAGTCCATACAAAGTCCTGGACTTTAGCGCTCACTTCGTCATTGATCGGGTGGCCATCTCGCGAGTAAGAGATATGCCCTCCACCCTCGGGATCATACATGACGGTCTTTGTTTCTTCCGCTATAGTCATGATAGGATTCTCCCCCGCGCCATGAATCCAGTTCGGGCCTCTGGGTTGAACATTAGCTGGTGTATACTTTCCAAATCATACTACATGTACGGAGTAGTATGTACTAGTACTCATGCAGGGGTACGTACAGATCCACCACATGGTCTCCCACTGTTGATTGGTGCACCTAATCGACGAAAAAGTTAAAAAAACGACTTGGCTTCTGCAGAGTTACAAGGAAGACATACCCTCCCACCAATGCGATCTCTTGCTTCTAGGATTGTTACTCGGGCCCCGCTTTGGATGAGGATGTCGGCGCAGCGGAGACCTGAAATGCCTGCGCCGATGATGCCGATGTGCGGAATCGGAGCCATGCCGTGATTCCAAACCCCAATTTGGGATATGTGGTTGATATACTTGGCAAAACGAGTAGACAAGATGAAGATTTGACGACCAAGTGAGGATTTTGGATGTCATTGGGTGTTCGCATGATTGGTTACCGTTATCACCTAGGCTTATCAATGACAGGTGCCAGCCCTGGAGCTACATAATGAGTCTACTCGGCTTACAAGGAATAGATAATTTTGAGGCCCAAGTGCATTGATAAAGCGATTCTGGAAGATATCGCAGATGCCAGGTCCAATAAAGGCACGGCAAAATCAGAAAAAGGACAGAGTTCAGTTATGACCAGCATAATAGATACAAAAGAAGCCATGCGCCTGGTCGAACCTGCTAAGCCGCTAGAAGCGGGAACATAATAAAGACCACCGTCACTGCCGTGAAACTCCATCGCGAAAGCGCTTTTTGAAATGATAAACAGAGCGAAAGAATATGTACGGGTCGGAGGTAATGGAAGGAAGGGTATCAAGGAAAGCCAGAGAACGGAGCAAAGCGCCACTGAGTAAAAAAAAAAGCCCGTAAAGAAATAGTGGAGATCAACTCTCACTATGAAACAACGTAGGAGCACAAGTGGTGCTTGGTTGTAGTAGACGAGGCGCAGAGATCGGGTGGACCTGTATCAGACGGAGAAACACACTTCAGTCTTCCCAGATGGTCTCCAGGTCGAGATCCTGCCGTCGCTCGGCACCACAGACACTCCATCGCTTGCGCTTATCACTCCGGGCTGCATATCCGCCCGATCCCCCGCGCATTGTACTGAATGAGTTTGGCGCATCGGATGCCCCGCGTCGTCGGTTGGCATTGGTTGCGGCATCGGCTGCATCAGCCGCGGCTTTCAATTCCGCGATCCGATCCTCCTCAAGGGCCTCGTTCTCGGCGTCGGGGATGTCAGGGATTGTCTCCAGAGACGAAATGCTGGGGCTTCGGGAGCGTAGGCTGGTCGGGGTTGAGGAGACGGAAATGGAGGAAACGGAGCCAGATTGGCCGGGGTAGGATTCGTTGTATTTGGAGCCCAGAATGGGCGAGGAATGCAAGGAGGGGCTAACGGGAGTCTGGAAAGGAAGTGGTGAAGTCGGACGCAGGCGACCGATGCGGGGGAAAGTCTGCGCCATCAGGACGGGAGATGAGGCTAGCTGTGAAGGCGATCTGGAAATGGTTTCTAATTCTGCGTTCTCGGAAATGGTTTCTGAGATGTTGAGAGAGCCCATGCGAGATTCCATGTAATCGTCAGGGCGCATTTGAAGGGGGTATCGTCTTGCGTCGACTGGTGCCCCGCGACCATTGACGAAGATATAACGACCCTGGGAATCCAGCCCTGGGGAGGAATAAGCGCGCGTCATAGACGGCATGCCCGGAATTCCAGCCAGTGATCGAGAACGGAGATGCGATCGGGCCAAAGGGGATCGTGTCCGAGGTGGTGCCTGTGGTTCAGAAGAAAAAGCGATCATGACGTCCTCCTTTTCTTCGGGGACAACCCCGGGGTTGGTCCCGGGTTCGTTTGGGCGCATATCTTCAGGTCGTGACTCCATATGTGAAGAAATAAGAGAAAAAGGGGTAGGCGTGATTTACCCTTGCATCATGGCATAGAGTAAATGAGGAAACTCTTGGACCTGCCAAGTGGAAAGAAAACGTGCAGGAGTTCCTGAGAAATAAATGGTGAGGTCGAAGATGTGAAAACGGAAAAAAAAAAGAGTTGAAGACCACACAGGAGAAGAGCCAAGGCCCAGATTCTCAACCTTCAACGTGGTGATCGTCGATCTCTTAGAGCCTCTTGGCCTTTTCTCTCTTCAACTCTTTTTTACCTGTTTGTCTAGGGAACGTAGTATCTAGTATGGATCTCAATCCACTTTGGTTTTTTGGCCTTATCCTATCAAATATTCACAACTACATATTTTTAGCTCTTAGCATCTATTGACGTATTGGTCAGAGATATGTCATTAAGCCTATTTACTCGAGGTTGATTTAGTGCAGGAGAAAAGATCCGATTTTGGACTGGTGATTTCATAACTACATATGTAAGTACTATAGTTAAAGTATGGTGATTTTATGTGTTTTTTTTTGAATGTCTTTTTAAATGTCTTTTTAGACGTTCTCTTAGATAATGTTTTTAGATATTTTTTAAAGCTAAGTATCTGTTATAACTTATATAATAATGAGCTATAGAAATGCATGTATGAGAATAATAGTATGGAATATTTAGGCCGACACAACGACTTTTCCACATATAACCAGGGACTAGAGAGAGTGATTGAGTAATACTTATGAGATAGAATCTTCCAACCCACATCGAGATAAGCGTATAAGTTGAATGTTACATATAGAATATGAGAAATTGACGCCGAAAATGACCACTTTTGATGCTAGACACGGCTGCCTTTCCACCTGTAACTTTGGATATCCAGCTGCCCTGTAACACCACTAGCACCGGGCCGCCCAGGACGGCTAGTCATCCTCTAGTCCTACCCAGATGATGTTGACCCTCGACTTCCACAGTTGTTCCCCTCGTTTCCACTGGCGACCAAAAGAACCAGGCGGATTTCTCCAGTAACCACGCTAAGATGTCGGAAATTGCCCTGAGACACTTTGCCTTCGATATCAATCAGCCTCAATACTTGGAGAAAGCCCCTAGATCTGTTCCATACCGTACCCAGTTCTTTTTTCTTTATAATCCTTTGCCATATTGATTTTATTGAATAAAATGGCAAAGGAGTAAAACTGCCTAATATACGAGTACTTCAGACTCTCTGGTACATCGTTTGACCACCCACGGGCTGTGACGAAGCCTCCAGTATCAATGAGCACCAGGTTTATAACGGTCAGCATATAGAGAGTAGACGTGCTATGGCCTGAGCTTCCGTATATATAATCAAATTAGTTCTTGGGAAAGTACTATGCACTATTTGGTCTCCTGCAAGACTCTGACTGTCAAGAACGTCCGCTTATATGGCAAAACGTGTACTAGCGGCTTCAGGAGATATCCACATACAAAACTCACTGTGCTAACTCTGGTTTGAACCTAATCAAACAAATCCAGGCCTCGACATACTTTACCTCAGTTGCATGCTTTTACGTCCAAGTTGTTCAAAGTTTGAATGCGCTCTTTCCCTTGAAGAACTGGCTGGTAAGATGGACACCGAAATGGACAGACCTTGCTCGGGGTTGGGAGATGGTCTAGGGGAGTAGGATAATAGAGATACAAAATGCTAGAATCCTAGTTGAACAAAGAAACACCCACCCTACTACCGCTTGATCTCAGCACCCTTCTCTAATAGTAACAGCACAATCTCCTTGTGACCCTGAGAATCAGACTGAGATACAGCCGCCTGGAGTGCACTGCCGTAATAGCCACCCTGCGCGTTGACCTCAGCACCATTCTCTAATAGCAACTGCACGATCTCCTTGTGGCCCTGAGATACAGCCGCCTGGAGTGCATTGCCGTAATAGCCACCCTGCGCGTTGACATCAGCACTATTCTCTAACAGTAATTGTACGATCTCCTTGTAGCCCTGAGAATCAGACTGAGATACAGCCGCCTGGAGTGCACTGCCGTAATAGCCACCCTGCGCGTTGACCTCAGCACCATTCTCTAATAGCAACTGCACGATCTCCTTGTGGCCCTGAGATATAGCCGCCTGGAGTGTATTGCCGTAATAGCCGCCCTGCGCGTTGACCTCAGCCCCCTTCTCTAATAGCAACTGCGCGATCTCCTTGCGGCCCTGAGAATCAGATTCAGATACGGCCGCCTGGAGTGCATTGCCGTGATAGCCACCCTGCGCGTTGACCTCAGCACCATTCTCTAATAGCAACTGCACGATCTCCTTACGGCCCTGAGAATCAGGCTGAGATACAGCCACCTGGAGTGCACTGCCGTAAACGCCACCCTGCGCGTTGACCTCTGCACCCTTCTCTAATAGTAACTGCGCGATCTCCTTGCGGCCCTGAGATACAGCCGCCTTGAGTGCACCGCCGAGATAGCCAACCTGCGCGTTGATCTCAGCACCATTCTCTAATAACAACAGCACAATCTCCTTGTGGCCCTCAGATGAAGCCGCCTGGAGTGCATTGCCGTAAATGCCACCCTGCGCGTTGACCTCAGCACCATTCTCTAATAGTAACTGCACGATCTCCTTGTAGCCCTCAGATGAAGCCGCATAGAGTGCATTGCGGCAAAATCCACCCTGTGCGTTGACCTCAGCACCATTCTCTAATAGTAACTGCACGATCTCCTTGTAGCCCTCAGATGAAGCCGCCTGGAGTGCATTGCCGTAAAAGCCACTCTGCGCGTTGACCTCAACAGCGTGATTTACTAAACATCGTACTATTCGTTGCAGACCTGCCAGAGATGCGTAGTACAACGGAGTGGCCATATTTTTGTCTTGAAACGGCTCTTCCTCCGTAGGCTGATCTGGGTCAAATAGTTTACCCCATGCTGTATATGCTTGACCTTGTTTCAAAAAAAACTCCGAGACAGCGTCTAAAACATCTTTCTCGGCTTCTGCAGACTGTGTATGGACCAACAGGTATGAAGCGGAGTACTGCGCCAACGGAAAGTTGGCCCTGATTTCCCTGATTGGTCTTTGCTCATCAATATATGACAAAGTTGACAGACATAGCAGTGCCATCTTCGTGTGTGATCGTGTCATGTTGAGCCGCCCTTTCCATTTTCCTTGAGGGGGCTCAACGAGGAACTTCCTCGCCGTCAGGTGTATAAAAAACAGCTTCCTATTGTGGACAGTGATGAAGAGACCACATAGATTCTTCACGGTATTTTCGAATTCAATGGCTGGCCACAAGTTGTCCCTCAGATCATCATAGGAACTGAATCCCTGTTTCTCTAAAGCTATCGTTAAGGCTATATTGGCCTCATCAAGCGTCAGTGGTCGTACCGCAGACAGAACAAGCTGAAGAAGAGTTGCAGCCTGAAAGTCATCCTGACTCCGGTCCAGAATCTTTTCGTATGCGTCTTCAATTTCGGAAGGTAAGCTAGAAAGAAGTGCTTCCACATCGGATCTGCGACTATATTTACTCCGTCTTTGCTTGATAATATCGAACGTGAGATGTAGCCAGAGGTATGTGCGATTCTCCATACTTTTGAGTTTCTTAGAAATCGTTTGGCGGTCACTCTCCTGAAAACCTCGCCCTATTTCAGCCACCTTGGCATCAATGACCAGATTTATATCGTTGCTGATATCGACGGAGTTATCAGCGCCGTCAAAATGTAGATATGTACTTGCATCAGAAAACCTTCCGAAAGATGCCGTTAGGTCATCATAAGGGCGACTCGTGATCAGAAACTTGAGTTTCGACGGTGAAGATGAATCCCGGGACTGAGAATAGAATTCTCTTAAATTGTCAATCAATGGCTCCCAATACTCCTTACACTCATCTAAGGCATCAAGAAGACATACGATTTCCCCAGTCTCTGGTGATGTAGCGCATTGTATAAGAATTCGCCAGAGCTCAGAAAAGTTCGTTGATAGATCTTTCCCGGTTTCTCTGTGACTTAGGATTGCGTGCTGGATTAGGACGCCGGCTGAATCGTGTGTAAACAGTTGATGGAGTATTGCACACAAAGCATTCGTGGCAGACATGCGACGCTCATCTCCGTCTTTAAAAAAGAAGTAGCAAACCATAGATGTCGTGACATTCGTAGAAAGCCTATCTTCATCGATGAGAGCTCGTGATAAGACTGACTTCCCACAACCAGGATCAGCAGATATCCAGAGTAGACTAGACCTCTCGCTGTCACGCCAATTCCGAAGTCTGTGGTCATCGAAGAACCATTCACATGTGCCTGGGACTCTGTTTGGGTTGAAATTCTTGTCATCTTCATAGCCAGAAGCGAGGGTATGAAGGAGATCTCGTTCTTTCTGATCTTCGTAGTTCCTCTGGGTCTGTATTCTGTCTGCTTCCAACGTTTTCCGAATCTCGTCAAGGATGTCCCGTGACTCCCGCATCGTCTGGAGCTGATCATCTCTGGTTTTGCGAATTTCCTCTGCCGCAAGAGGAGGTATGTAGCTACTGCAAGCCTCGCTCAATCTTTCAATTTCTGTCATCATTGATTCCCAATCCACCCCACCAGTCATATTCTCCCATGCACGGGAGAGTTGAGCTTTAGAAAGATGGCATACTGAGCGCGCCTGGTACTCGATCACATGGGAACAGAGCTTGGCCAAAGGCTCCATGAGGTCTTGATACTCTTCTCTATACTCAGAGCGGAGATACTTTTTCTCGCAGATATGCCAGTACATAAGAGTATCGTCAATTTTATTGAAGCCTTTTAGCATCTCCATATTGCCTGTTGTGCCACTCGAGAGTAGCTATCAAAGTCAGTACTAACTCAACAGGAAAAGGGTTGGCGGGGGTTTGAATCACTGGTAGAAGTAATGAAACTCCAGCCCATGCTAACGCTGCATATGGTTGGGTGCTAACCGCGTTTTTGATGACTGGGTCTGCCCAGAGAAAAAACTTGGCCAATTTCTCGGTTTGCTCTCGTATCTTCACATCTTTTCCTAGAAGTGAAAATCGCCACTGCTTCTTCTCTCGATCTTCCAAGAGTAGCTCCACAATCAGCCGGATCGACTCCGGACTTAAGAAAATTGGGTTTGCTGACTTGTCGTGCTGCAATGAGCTTAAGTGCTTCATGTAGTCTTCTATCAGTTTGGGCTCTCGACATTGTAACAAGTTATATGCGCTAGCCCAACAGTCGCCGTCGTCACTTGATGAGATAGGAATAGCTTGCTTGGGCGACTCTTCCGTGGGGTCGGAGAGCGGAGTAAGATTAGGGATCACCGCCGGAGCAGACATGACTTGCCTAGACTGCTTCGTAGCCTGTGTGGTAATTACCGCAAGTGAGGAAGATTCGGCGAGGCTCAGGACCGGGCCAGCATTGGAGGTCACTGAAGCTGGCTGAACCTGTTTGGAAGGCTGTTCAGAAGGTGTCATGTTTGAGGAGGGTTCAACAGGGCTAGATGCTTGTAACTCTGTGGTCGGAGAATGGAGTGCACCATCCCCATTATCTCTACCAGGATTCTTGGTAAATTTCCATTTAGTCGATTTTCGCTTGGTGAAGAAACGCATGGACGATATTGAGAAAGTAGGTCGTAGGGGTCCGAGATCGGAAGCTTGTGGACAGATTTTATCGGGTAATATAATTCAAAGGTTCTACCTCCCACATAGGTAGATATGTATGGAGCAGTGTATGGGCGCTTCCACAGATACGTGTCAACAGTTGAGTTCTCAGATCTGACCACTCGGGCACTAGTCAAGAACCCCACCAGCGCTAATCACACTTGGGGGCTGGGGAAGGGTGTTTTGGGCATACATATAAGAATATTCAATAGTTATCTAATTAGCTATTGGGAATCGATTAATGACCGCAGATTACGCTTAGGGGGCTCCATTCTCGCATACGTAGTCCGTCATTTGCTAATATTTACATGAATTATATCAAGTTTTGAGGGGGGAGCGAAGATGGGTGTTTTATATCGGAGGGCATTGAAGGGAGGTTACGTGACAGATAAAATGGGTTCAATTCGACCAGGTTCGCACATTCTGGCTTTGCTGAGAAGTCATCGAAATAGACACATAAAATCACCGCACGTATTTGATATTTAGTACTTATGAAGTCACTAGTGGGATCGTTCGTTTATCCCATACAAAAGTCATATATTCTGTACACATACTAGGTACCCGGAAGTAACCGAATAGGCTTAATGGCATACCTCTGACCAGTTTTATAGGTGCTAAGAGCTAAGAATAGTTGTGGATACATGAAACGAGAAGCAAAAGCCAAGAGGTTGATGAATAAATGCTCATTATGAGGTGGCCCAACCTTTCCTAGATCGAAAATTCGCTATTAAGCTAGAATCCTGCGGTCGAGATTAACATTGCCTACATAACTTGAATATCTTATATGCATATAGTACACGTAGCGAAGAGAAAATATTAGGCGCTGGTTGAATCGAACAACCCATGGCAAATTGACTTATAAAACCCATCCTATCTGCACTATGTAACATAAGCTTCTATCTCCATAGATTAATACATGGATACAGGAATGTCTTAGCCTTAACGGATAGCTAGACTCCAGATGTCAATAACTCTCCTTCCTATTCCTAGCCGCCCAGTACTTCTATGACTCATTATTACTTCTGTCTATAACACCAAGAAAGAATATCTTGAAAATCATCCTAAAAGACATCTATGCCTACTATACACATAGAAGGTATTCAAGTTTTAGAGATAACAGCACCAAGGGGACAGGTACATAGCATTTGATACAACTCCTGCAAATTACTTATTAGACAGTAGAAAAGGCCAATTCAATGGCATATAAACAAATGAATGTAAAAAAAATGCCAGGGATATCTCAATGGGTGGTTTCTTCCCTGCCCTCCTTACAAATGGAGGCATTCTTGCGGACGTAAGTCTCCCGCACCATATCTCCTTCATGTTTGAACACCACCCACTCGCCCATACCATACTTCTCCGGTGCAACACGTATACCACGACCACCACCACCAACAATGATATTACCAGGACGGTATTTGGGATCCAACTGCATACGCCGGATAGCAGAAACGTGGATTTCAGCGTTATCCGGAACATCCCGCACCTCGCCACGAGGCAGCGGCCAGCTAATCGGCTTCCACGACCCATCAGGCTGTAGATCCATACGACGGAACGGCAACCATTCCATAATGCGCCACGTAATAACCGACATAGAAGGAATACCCTGGTTGAACATCAGGCAGTCATGCAGCAGCCCCTTCGTACTGGAGATATGCAGCGCATGCCAGAAGTCGTGACTCGAAGCCGAGCGCTCCTTCTCATCAGGCATATAGCGGAAAGCATCATCGTCTTCAGTATGATGTTCAACGCACCGACTCGGCCGTAGTGCATTGATCTCTTCCCGAATGGGGCTGTAATCACCGCTGTACTCCTCTAGACACTGGAACTGCTTCATTTTGCGCTCATCCAGCTCGAGTCCCGCCTTTTGCGCTTCCTGTGTCATCCACACGAGCGGCGCGTGGCTAAGTGCCCATGACTCGCCGTCTGCGAGCGTCCACCCGCCGCCAATGTCTGCGTGGCAGCCCGGGAACCAGACCTCGTGGATGTCTTGGTCATCTTCATCGTCGCTTGAATCGGCCTCTACGATGGGAATTTGCACTGAGAGGATATTGGAATGCACGCTGTGGAAGGACTCTTTGCTTCGCACTGAGTGGAGCTCTTCCATTGACGCTTTGGGCACTGCGAGGCTGCGTCGGGGAGAGCGCGCGCGGTATGTGTTGGATTTCATTGTCCCGTTTTCGCTACCGGGGCGGGAGTTTTGGGATGAGGCTATGTGTGGAGCTTGGTGGTGAGAGGCACGGCGCTCACTTTGGTAGTATGTCTCTTCAGTATTCGGTTCCAATTTGGGAATGTTGAATTCAGGCTCGGCGTTCTCTTCTCCCTGCTGTTCTTCCTCGGGATTGTCATTGACCCGAATGGCAGGAACGTTGTCTGGGCTGTCCTTCTCCTCTTGGGGCTTCTCTTTGCGGTCCCCATGGAAGAGGTGCAGATGGTTTTTGGGCAAATGGGGGCGGCGGCGGTTTTTCTTCTCCTTTGGACGCACTCCAGAGATCAGATCTTGGCGAAACTTCGCACGGCGCTCGTCAATACCCACGGCATGGCGAATCACCTTGGCCGAGCTGCGTGCCGTGTAGGGGAACTTGGTGCGCTGCATCCATGCGGACTCAAAGCGTGGCACACTGTTGACGGTGTCAAAGAGCCCCATGAAACGGATACGCGAAATAGGGCGACTGAACGTCTCACGGAAGGCCTTCATGTATGTGAAGAGTTTCCTCTTTTCTTCGCGCTCTTCTTCCGAGTCGCCGGACCGCTGCTGCCACTTGGCGAATGTCTTCCAGGCGAACCGGACTAGCTCCTCATTTCCTGCTTCGAGTAAACCGATATAGTCCAGCATCTCTGCCAGAAATCGCGCGATGTATGAACCACGACTAAAGCCAATGAAGAAGATCTCGTCGCCAGGGGAATAATATCGCATCAGAAACTTGTACCCACCCATGACATGCTCGTCAAAGGAAGACCCGACTGCCGAGTCCTTGGCCTTTTGATAGGCGGATTTGATACGCTGGATTCGGCCATGGCTAGTTAACGACTTTGAGGTCACATATGTGCCAATACCTGGCTGATAGTAATGGTACTGGTGGCTTTTGCTGCGGTCAAGCATCTGTGACTTCTTAGTACCGGCTCAAACGCTTGGCTCGCAGTCCCACTTACGCGAAAGATCTTGAGCACATTGCTATCCGACTCGTCGCCAGCGAACTTATTTCCGGTACCATCAAAGCAAAGCACAAATTGCTTCGGCATACCCAACGGGCCTTGCTGTTCATAATAAGCCATGTTGCCACCGAATGATAATGCCGATCAGGCAAAAAAGAAAAAAAAAAGGTCCAACCTTCAGGCACACCTGCTCAGACCTGAAGGGGGCTATATACAAGAAGGGGGGAAAGGCTCAAGCCTAGGATGACGCTTTGATGCAGCTAGGTACAGCTAGTATTACACGAATCAGCACCATATATTGGACCCAGCAGCGAAGGGGGTTTTGCAGGATAAGAATATTCAACCCGCTAGCCGATCACTGCAGATTTGTGAAAAGAATACGTCAAACTCGAGCGGGCTGACGGGCGGGCCCCCCAGACTTGGCATATTCCCAGCACAAGAGCCCTTCTGTTTTACAGGGAATATTTTCTGTAAATGGTCCATTGACTCGCATCTGTGCAGGTGCAGGTTACATGAAACCCTACTCGATTCTAACGGGGGCGCATTCCACCCAATAGTGACGCGCCGGTAATCATTGCTGGATATGCAAGTTTGTCGCGAACCGGGCTGAACCTGACTTGAGCACTTCTGCACGAGGGAGGCGGATCCTGCGGGCCGGACCTGGGTAGCGTGTCAATTTGTAAGTAATTTCTGTGAGATGGAGCTGAACAAGACTAAAAGAGAGACGTGCAGGTTTTACTTTTCGCTACTTTTTACGCGAGTTATAGTTGACCCCAGTGGGAATCGATGAACTACTGAAGGTTTGAAAGGAGACGATAGTACAGCTGGTGTTCGGGATATTATTGTCGATCATTCCCCACAGAGCCCTTCTGGACACCAATGATTCAGGAGGTGTAAGGGGTGAGAAGGGGGACGTTCCCATTGTTCCGTCGCGTTGGTTCGGTCTTGAGCGAGCGATCAGATCGGGTCTAACCGTCTATAGTAGTTGATGTACAATAATGGTCCTTCACGGCCTAGGGCCGTGACCCACTGATGTTTGCCATTTTTTTCCACTCAAGAAAGTTTCTCGAGGTATGTACGGAGTACTATGATCACGATTGTCATTGCGTATGGAGTACAGAGTAACATCAGTATATCACAACCTTGGAGCTCTCATCACGAGTCATCCCGCGTGGAGTTCCAAGCTGAAAAGGATTGTCAATACCCGAAGGGGAAGGAGAGCGGGTCTTACTTCTCTTCATATCCCGGGAAAAAAAAAAGGAAGCTAAGTGTCCGAATTTACGGCTGAACAAGGGATCTTGGTGAATAACTGAGCTAAAAAGATTCAGGCGATATCAATTTATGCATATAGATAGGTACCTAGGTAATATCCATATTATCCATAGATTATGCGGGAGCGGCCGTATCCCCCGGAGGTCTCGGGCAATAGTCGACCCATAGTTATAACCTATGAGATCTTGCATAGGAAACGTTATGTACATGTTGATGTTGGATTTTGCAAAGGGAGAATTTCTCATTTTCGCGTGGAAATTCCCATCCGAAGAAAACGCCACGAGGATAGTGGAATCAGTCAACGAAAAATAAGACCTTGAAAGTGGATGGCCTGAGATGGATCAGATTCTGAATAATTCGTGACTGGCAGATTCCGACTGCCAATCACAGTCGACATAATGTGGTTCGCGCGAGTGGCCCGTTCGCCATTTAATTGTATAGTAAAGTGGGTGAACAAGTGGGCCTGCGACGATCAAAACAAAGAAAAAAAAGTAGAAAAGATAGTGTGTTTTTTATGGACAACTGCTCTACCACCTTAGGGACCTTCCTTGCATCCCAAGTGCTACATAGTACGGGCATGGAAGAGCACTATCTCATACCCTACATAACCCTAATTGGAGCAAATTATGGAGGGTATGACAAGCAAAAAGCACTCAAAACCTGTTCATTTCCAGCCAGCCACGGAGGGACATTGAAGTGAAAATGAAAGTCCGAGCATTCTTCCCCACTTGGTGTCGATTTAGTTTGATCTTTGAGATCCCCTTATACATTGTTTTGCAATTCTGTGCGGAGTACGGAGGTCGGAATACGAATGTACACCGCTTATAATCCCGTATTACAGCAATCTCTCGGTCATTGGCCCATTCTATGCTCTTCCGAAGCTGATGTACCTACTCCGTACTCCGTATAGATCTGGATCTTGATTTAGCTTTTCTCAGCTTCAGAGTCTAGGTCATGCCATGCCACGCACCTTGGCCATATGCATATATTGAATCAGATGATTCCCAGGATATTCGGGTACTTCATACATACTTACTAGAACAAATATCCCCCTTTCTTAAGTCCCAAAGGTCATAAATGATGATCAGTTACTATATTGAAACACACCATCATTGGACTCCACTGAGCTTGGGAGCTAAACTTGTACCATGCGGGGCTGGGATATTTGTTGAGACCAGGCTCAGGCCCGAGATGAGATCGACCTGCTCTTCATTAAATCAAAAATGTTGTCACTACAGTCAATCAACTAGTGGCGATAGCCAATCCGCCACTTTTTAGACGCTCCACAGTCCTGCAGCTGACTTGCGTCGCCCGCAGAGCTCGTTTTAAAGAGCACCGTCGAGCTTTTGATTTATCTTCCCCCCTGATCTGGCTCTCAGCCACTTTGTGTTTCTTCCTTAATTTAATTTTTTCTTCTTCACTTGTTTGTGTTATCATACTTCACAATGTTGAGGAGATTCTCTACTCAATTCAAGCGGTCCAAGGACTCCAATGGTGACACCGAGCCCAAGAGCACAGACAAGAGTAGCAAGCGCATTTCTAGGGTCTCGCCAACTCGGAGGTCCACCTCTAATCATGAGGAAAACCACGTCGTGAAGCGTGCCGAAGTCGTTGCTGTATTCGAGAAGTATGCGCAATCAATTCACGCTTCGCAGGAGCCTCTGCCCAACCAAACAGGTGACAGCACCTACTTGAAGCACGACAAGTCGTCCGGTCTCATCAATGACATCAAGTCGCTGGGATTCCGTGATGTCGGCACTGTCAAAGACCTGATTGCGAACAAAGCCTCCGGCGAGCTTATTGATGACAAGACATACCTGATGGAACGCATAATCCAATTGGTCGCGGATTTGCCTGGTAACTCCAAGACCCGCACGGAGCTCACCAGTGTATTCCTGGATGAGCTATGGAACTCAATTTCTCACCCGCCTCTCTCGTGAGAAACCCCCAATTGAAACCTGCTGTTTTGTAATTGCGCGCTGACGCTGTGAATAGTTATATGGGAGACGAGTACCAGTACCGCTCGGCCGATGGCTCAAATAACAACCCTACTCTCCCGTGGCTAGGTGCTGCTAATACCGCATACTGCCGTACTATTCCTCCCCTGACCATCCAGCCCAGCGGATTGCCCGACGCTGGTCTGGTTTTTGATACCCTATTTGCTCGTCAGGAATTCACCCCCCACCCCAACAAGGTCTCCAGTGTTTTCTTCGACTGGGCCTCTCTGATTATTCACGGTAAGTCATTACCAGCGCAAGTTACAATTCATGCGCTAACATGGTTCTGTACATAGATATCTTCCAGACGGACTACCGCCAACCACACCTGAACAAGACCTCTTCTTACCTTGACTTGTCCATTTTGTATGGTGATGTCAAGGAACAACAGGATCTGGTCCGTTCCCACCAGGACGGAAAGCTGAAGCCCGATAGCTTCTCCGAGGGTCGTTTGCTAGCCCTTCCTGCTGCTTGTGGTGTTCTGTTGGTTATGCTGAACCGTTTCCATAACCACATTGTTACCCAGCTAGCTGAGATCAATGAGAATGGTCGCTTCAGCAAGCCCGGCGCTGGTCTGTCCGAGGAGGACACCAAGAAGGCCTGGGTCAAGCGTGATGAGGACCTGTTCCAGACCGGCCGTCTTATTACCTGCGGTCTGTACATCAACATCACTCTGTATGATTACCTGCGCACCATTGTCAACTTGAACCGCACCAACTCCACCTGGTGCTTGGACCCTCGTGCTCAGGTTGAGAAGGCCGGTGCCACTCCTTCCGGTCTCGGAAACCAATGCTCTATCGAGTTCAACTTGGCCTACCGTTGGCACTCGGCCATCAGTCAGGGCGACGAGAAGTGGATTGAGCAGATCTACTATGACCTGATGGGCAAGCCTGCCGAGGAGGTCACCATGCCTGAGCTAATGATGGGCATGAAGAAGGTTGATGGTATGCTCGAACCTGATCCCTCTAAGCGTACCTTCGCCCGCCTGCAGCGTAACGCGGATGGATACTTCGATGACGGAGAGCTTGTCAAGATTCTTTCTTATGCTACTGAGGATGTGGCCAGCTCTTTCGGTCCCCGAAACGTACCGAAGGCCCTGCGCTCTATCGAGATCCTCGGTATTGAGGCTTCGCGTAGGTGGAACGTCGGTTCTCTGAACGAGTTCCGTAAGCACTTCGGTCTGAAGGCTTACGAGACTTTCGAGGAAGTCAACTCCAACCCTGAGATCGCTAATACTCTCCGTCACCTCTATGAGCACCCCGATTACATTGAGCTGTACCCCGGTATCGTCACTGAGGAGGCTAAGGAGCCCATGGTCCCTGGTGTCGGTATCGCCCCGACCTACGCCATCTCTCGTGCTGTGCTGTCGGATGCCGTTGCCCTTGTCCGTGGTGATCGCCACTACACTATTGACTATAACCCCCGTAACTTAACCAACTGGGGTTACAACGAGTGCCGCTACGACCTCAACATCAACCAGGGTTGTATCTTCTATAAGCTGGCCACGCGCGCCTTCCCCAACCACTACAAGCCTGACTCCATCTTTGCCCACTACCCTATGACTATCCCCAGCGAGAACCGCAAAATCATGAAGGATCTTGGCCGGGAGCAGGATTACTCCTGGGATAAACCTGCCTTTATGGAGCCTCGTGTCAACCTGACCTCTCATCAGAATGCGAAGCTGTTGCTCGAGAACCAGACGGACTTCCGTCCCAGCTGGGCCCGCTCGATGTCCCAGCTCTTCGGCAAGGGCGAGTTCGATACGAAGCAGCGTGAGGCTGTCAGCAAGGCTCTCAACACCGAGGAGTTCCCCAAGCTCGTCAAGACCTTCTATGAGGACATCACTGAGCGTTTGCTTTCCCAGAAGGGTGGCCGGCTGGGCGAAATCAACCAGATCGATATCACTCGCGATGTCGGCAACCTGACCCACGTCCACTTCGCCTCTACTCTCTTCGGCCTTCCCTTAAAGACCGACCAGAACCCGCAGGGTCTGTTCACCGAGTACGAGATGTACATGATTCTTTCCACCATCTTCTCCGCGCTCTTCTTCGACGTCGACGCTCCTCGCTCGTACTCCCTCAACAGCGCCGCCTCCGCCGTCTCCACCCAGCTTGGCCAGGTCATCGAGGCCACCGTCAAGGCCGACACCAATAACAGTCTCTTCGCCGGCCTCATGGATAACTTCCGTCCCCATGACAACGCCCTCCGTGAGTTCGGAACAGAAGCTGTTCGCCGCATGAAGGAGGCCGGCTCCAGTGCCTCTGACATTACCTGGTCTGCCATCGTCCCGACGATTGTCGGCCTGGTTCCCAGCCAGGGCCAGGTCTTCACCCAGATCATCGAGTTCTACACTGAACCCGAGAACAAGGCCCACCTGGCTGAGATCAACCGTCTCGCTAAGATCGACACCGCTGAATCGGATGAGAAGCTGTACCGCTACTGCCTGGAGGGCATTCGCCTGAACGGCACCTTCGGCGCCTTGCGCGAGGCCAAGGAAGCTGTCACCGTCACGGAGGACGGCAAGGTCTACACCATCCAGCCCGGTCAGCAGGTGTTCGCCTCCTTCGACCAGGCCAACCACGATCCCAGCGTCTTCCCCGAGCCCAACATGGTCAACCTTGACCGCCCTCTTAGCTCATATATCAACCACGGCCAGGGCCCCACCACTGGCTTCGGTGTGCAGATCACCAAGATCGCGCTCATTGCTATGCTGCGTGTCGTTGGTCGTCTGCAGGGCCTCCGTCGTGCTCCCGGTGCCCAGGGCCAGCTTAAGAAAATTCCTCAGGAGGGTGGCTACCATGTTTACCTCCGCAGTGACGGAACCTCTTACTGTCCCTTCCCCATGTCACTTAAGCTGCACTGGGATGGTCCGTTCGAGCAGAAGAAGGTTACATCTTCCTGAGTGTGTCTTTTTTCAAGTTTGTTAGTTGAACCTTCTTGTAACAAACTATGAGCATGCCATGCTGGGTGGAGATAATTAATTTGTAGTCGGCGATGATTATATGCCTTTTTTGTTTTTGTGACTGTTGTTTTCAACGACCTATTTGGTTGCCAGGATATCCAGAGATGGTTGAAGCTTTGTTTATAGCAGTGCACTGTATAGTTCATTATAGTTTACTAATTTCAAATTTCCCCCTTGAATGCAATTCAGTAGAGTAGGTAGAGATAATATCAAAATCGTCATAGTTGTTTGTCTCCACCGCCTTGGTACTATACTGCCACATCTACTATCCTGGGGTCGAGCTATATTTGTTCCAACTCCAAGTCCACAATTACAGCATTCCACAACAGAAACCCCTCTTAGCACCCCTTAAAATGCCTCCAGCAAAGGCAGCAAAGGGAGAGTATATCGAGACCGTAAGCAACCCCCTTCATCTACCTTACCCTCTCAATCCATAGCACCAAATCTCCAACCCACCCCAAAACAAAACAAAAGAACTCCAATCTGACCCACCAAAAAAACAGGACACAGGAAACAAAATCTCCCGCCGGTCCCAAATTCATGGCACACAACACATCATCCTAGGCGGCAAAACGGTAATCCAAGCCGAAGCTGTAATCCGCGGCGACCTATTCCGCACCGCAACACTCCCAACTTCCACGGACCCAAACAACCCATCCGCACCAGCAACGCCAAGCCCCAGCACGCCCAGCGTGGCTATAACAGTCGGGCGATACAGCTACATCTCCAAGAGCGCGATTCTGCGTCCGCCAAGCCGGCTACACCGCGGTGTGCACTCGTTCTACCCGCTCAAGATCGGCGACCATGTTTTTGTCGGCGAGGGTGCTGTTGTTGAGGCTGCATCGCTGGGGAATCATGTTCATGTTGGGAAGGGAGCTGCTGTAGGCAGTATGGCTATTATTAAGGACTATGCTTACGTGCTTGATGGCGCGGTTGTCCCGCCTGGTATGGTTGTGCCGAGCTGGTGTATTGTTGGTGGGAGGCCGGCGAGGATTGTTGGGGAGGTTGGGGAGGGTTATGGTGTTGAGGGGGCGGAGGGGGGTATGGCTAGAGAGAGGTATCGGGTTGTCGGGAGGCCTTGAGAGGTTGGTGGGTTTGTCGTTGGTTTTTCTTTTTGGTTTTGTGATACCCCCCTTTGCTACTTTTTAATGTTATTGGATACAAATTAAGTTTATGTGTCCTATGGCAGATGTCTGATTTTGTCTGTATATACGTACTGCTAATGGATGATTAAAGGAGAAACAAAAAGTACAATTTACAATTAACCCATATACTCCACCTTGACTGCGCGTGTGAGCCGCAGCTCATCCTCGTTTTCCGGGATGCCAATCTCTTCAAACGCCATATCATTGATCCAACGTCCGTGGGGCCGAACAGTCTCGCCACGCGACATCTTGGCAGCGAGATAGAGCCAATCGAGAGCATGGCCCACGGTACTCACTTCGTCACTAACGTGACGGATGCCGTACGCCGACATGCGTTGATACAGAACAGGATCCGTCCAGAGCTCGAACAAGTGCTGCGCCACAGCATCGGTGTCACCAACATCAACCAGGAACCCATTCTTCCCATTCTGCACCTGCAACGGGATGCCGCCAGCACGCGTGGCGATGACTGGTTTTCCTTTGTGGATTGCCTCGGAGACTTTTACCTCGAACCCTTCGGATGTAGATAGTTGCAGTGCGACAGTCGCCTTGGAGAGAATGGCGTTCAGGACTTGGTCGCAGGGCCGCACTCGCATCACGCAGATCAGGTGACGTATATCTGGGACTTTTTTGTCCAGGTAGTTGATTGTCTGGTCATAGATTTGCGTTCCGTCAGGATCATCAACTGATCCGTGTCCACAAATCAGTAGCTTGGGAGGGACGACATCAGGCTCTTCGGTTACTAGTTTGTTGTAGAACTTCTCGTAGGAAACCAACACATCCATGATACCCTTTGATGGGTCGAACCGTGCGATCTGGACGATATATGAATCTGAGGTTTGCGTTAGTTTTCGCCCGAGCAATCTGATGGTCATCGCTAGTGCTGGTTCGTCTACTAACCTTCGGGCCACTGGATAGTTGGCATCTCCACATCGCGACAGTGGGCATTGAAGATGCGGCCGTAGTGCGCGATGTCCCAGTCCCGCATATCTTTATTCAGTCCATCCAGCCTATACTCCAGTCAGTAAGATGAAAAATGGAAGCAGATTATCAGACTTCTCAGCCCTTACCAGTCAGTTGATGCAGGCATATAGCCTACTATATCTGGAGGCACATTCCGTGGCACGAAGGCGCTCACAGGGTGACTGAGGAAACAATCGGCATGTTTGATACAGTTCCAAAGGAAGTCCCAGGCCTCCGCCTGTGGGGAGCCAGGTATCGCAACCAGATCACTTCGGATTTGGATGTGGCTTCGGAAGAGGACCGGCCGATCTGGAGCTAGCTTTTTTGCGATGGGACAGAGGCCTGGCATCTGAGGATCGTCGACGACTATGACATCTGCACCACCCTCTGATGGTGGACGCAAAGGTCCACCTGGTCGGGTCCAGTATCGACTGGCATTATCCTCGATCCAATCCTGCAGGAGTTTCGCGTTCTCTGGTGTCAATCGCTCGCCTTCATGAGCAACACCTTGCAGGATATTGTGGTTCGTTTTGGTTACCCGGAAGACGCCTGGGCGTGGTTTCGGGACATACCTGCGAGTTTTGAGTTAGCGATTTATCTTGTACAATAACACAGATACAGTCATAGACACACCATTTGATGTCAGTGCCCAGACAATGCGAAAATCGCAAGATAGCATGCCGCATCAAAGCCACGCCGCCACCCTGAGGGGTGGCACTGAAAAATGCTATCTTGACCTTGCGCTTTTTCAGGTCAGTGGCGTAGTGTTCCACTGCAGACCAAGTTTTATCCGAGACTGTTGTCTTGAAATCGCTCAGGTCCGCAAGTCGGACATGGTAAGCTGTGTCCACTTCCACTTGCCCGAGGAAGCCCACTTGTAGCAGGGGGGTGTTCTCCGGTCCGAATAGTCTGTATGCACCTGCTCAGACTCAATGGTTCATTTGATAATATCAATCGGAATAACTAACCTGACACCTTTTCGTGCCATGGATTCAGCCTGTTCATCGATGGTCTTTGCATCCCACACACTAGGTGCCAGGTCCAGGTTCTCGACAGCCTGTTCGACACTGATTCTGTCTATCAGTGCTGCGTCCGACATGACCAATGGAACGATGTCGAGCTCCGCCCAAAGGCGAGGGCATAGGCGAGGGCAGTTAGTTGCAACGTGTTCAGGCATTGATATCCCAACGAATTTCTCCATATGGTCCGTGGAATACGCCATCAGCTGGGAAATTATGAAGTCGGTAGCTTCCTCTGCGGTGACTGGGCCATTTTCGAACTCCTCCTCGATGAAGTCTAGTAGATATGTGGTATCGCGGATTGCGATTGCTATGGTTGATGTACAGTGATCTTTGAAGTTGCAGGAGACACCGGCGTAGATAGTCTAATATCCCTGTTAGCATTATCAAGGAGTGGTCTATGCTGCTTGGATATGCTCATACATCTGATGGCGGTCCTAACCAAGCATTGCGCTCGAACTGTAGCGACAGTCGACGCTGTTGTGTGATTGAGGCATGGCGCTCGAACGGATGTCCTTCACCATGCATGATTGGGAATTTCAAAAAAAGAAAATCCACCAAGAATGCAATCAAAAATTAGCTATTTTTTCTCATTATCGCTGCTGATGTTCCCAATTTAAGACACTGGAGAAGCATCACTCCGGCAGTGGTAACCATGGTCCACATATATAGTGTAGTATGTCACACTCTTGTCAGGCAAAACTCAAATGACACTTGCACTTCTGCCACATACACATCTAACAGGTTAATTATCATATTACTTATTGCATAAGGCAGCACATGTAGGTTAGGGGCCTAGATCTCTCTCACTTGAATAGTTAAGTTTAGGGAAACACCTCCCTAGGTTAGATTGAGCTCCTTGTCTGAAATTATGAAGGAAACTAAAATCTATAAAGAGAGGCCTATCTTAAAGATGAATATGTTCTGAGTCTTCTTAAGGACCCTACCTACCGACCTCACCTCTCCATGACTATGCTGAACTTCCCATCCTATACTCCGGGCTTGCCTAAAAGGGAATCCACGGCCGGGGGTCCACCTGTGGGCAGGTGCCAAGAATTATTATCTAAGGGGGGAAATATCACCTCTGTCGACCACATGCTTTGATATATAGTGCTCTCCTGTGAGACACACTTGATGACACCTGCACTTTACTATATATATATACCCAATGCAGTCAGTGTACCGCCTTCCAGATTTGCATCAGAGGCAATAATCGCATGAGTGACTTCATCTGGCCATGACGTAGCCCTGAAAGTTCACAACCACGGTTGGGTCATTTAGTGGCATTGGAGAGGTTGGAGAACAGTTTGATAGATTCAATAAGCACATATACGGGTTTCTATAATATCAATTTAGGATATAAACATAAAACAAGGACCAAGGATGATATATGAAACGAACACGAGTATGAAACTGTCCCGTGTACCTCGTGGAGATACTATGATGAGTAAGCTCAGCCCAAGCCCCTTTTCCAGGTTCCCCCGCCTCAGGAAATTGAATTGAAGATCCTCACGCAACACACACCTTCTTTTCTTTTTTTTTTCGCTCTCTATCTTTGTTTGGCGGTGCTCTCATCTGAATTGAAGTCATTTTGTACGGAAACGTCGGGTGTCTTCCATTCTCTATCCAAAACCCGCAATTCATACGCGGGCTGCAATTGTTGGTATTCCGCAAAACAGCTCCTGAGCAACTCCGACACCGCGTCAAATCCCGCAAAAATGGGCGGACAAGTATCTAAGATGATGGGGAAGATCTTCGGGACCAAGGAAATGCGTATCCTCATGTTAGGTTTGGATGCTGCTGGAAAGACAAGTATGATTCCTGGACCTTGCACGGGACCATGGTCAAGATTAGCTAACACTCCCTCCAGCAATTCTCTACAAACTTAAACTCAGTAACCAGGACGTGACTACCATTCCCACCGTCGGATTCAACGTCGAGAGTGTGACCTACAAGAATGTCAAGTTCAACGTCTGGGATGTCGGTGGTCAGGACAAGATCCGACCCCTCTGGAGACACTATTACTCTGGTACACAAGGATTGATCTTCGTGGTTGACTCTAGCGACACAGCACGTGTGGAGGAGGCTCGCTCAGAACTGCACAAGATCATCAACGATCGTGAAATGAAGGATGCTTTGCTTTTGGTGTTCGCCAACAAGCAAGATATTCCTGGCCGTGCGTATCCCCTATTACTAAAATTCGATACTCTATCCGCTAACCTAATTCTAGACCTGTCACCGGAGGAAGTTACTCAGCAACTTCAATTGACTAAGCTCAAGGACAAGCTGTGGTACGTTGCACCCAGTGTTGCAACAGATGGAACAGGTATTTTCGAGGGTCTTGTAAGTCATATCCCCGATCTATCTACTTGGAAATCCCAATCTAACTGTGCTCTCTCTGGCTAGGCCTGGCTCTCAAACAATGTCAAAACCCAGCCCCAGAAATAAGATGCACCGCTGTGATTTCGAGAGGCGCCCCTATAGCAGCTTCGTTGTACAACATCTCGCATTATCCGACAAGTGTTTTCTCTTTTCTCTTCATGTCCGTGTTTTGATGACAAGACGACGCAGCATTTTGGGCTTTTGTTTCCTTGGTCTTTTCTTTTGTTGGCCTTAGTTATCTCGTTGCTTTTCCGTTTATCTTCACTTCTATGATATCCCCTCTGTTCTTATATGGGCTTGTTGGGTCCAATTTAATACTTTAATTTCATTGTGCTCTCAGCGTTGTTATTGTTTGAATACCCTCGGTCAATTGTGGATGCACTTATACACATAATTGGCTACAGCGGGCAGGGCAGAACAAGTTCTGGCATTGGCTATAGAAAATAGAAACAAATGACATACTTCTGATTAAAGTGCTTGATCAAATTTGCATCTCGTCGTTTCCACGGAGCCGACCTCCGCATTAGATCCTGATGTTCATATAGCCATGGATCAATTCCAGCCCAGTCAGCTGAATTCTCCTGCTACCTCAATATGACGATAGCGGAACTCGTTCCCCCGTGGGCAAATATAAATAGAATGATAGTTTAGAGTTGACACTTGCAAGAATTGATTCTGTTTTGGAAGACTTTTTCTATCTATACAAGACTATCCTATTTGTCTGTGCACATCTATACAAGCCGGGACATCCTCAATCCCTCAAAATATTCAACTACACGACTCCCACACCTGTCACTACCGCTACCACCATCTCCGTTTGCTCCAATAGCAATGCCTCGTTTCAAGGAAGGAGACAAAGTTAGCTACAAACCGGTCGGCGGTATGATGCACCCTTTTCAATAAGATACATATAATATGCATGTCCAAATGAGCTAAGTTCTAAAAAAATACAACAGGCGCGCAATCCAAGACAAATAAAAGCGTTGGAGTCATTCGTGAAACCCTGGGCGGCCGTAGCTCGTCCGACAACGAGACGCGCTATATGATCGAGAACATGCACACCCACAAGAGCTCCTCTGTCAAGGAGGGCAACATTGAGGGACCGGCGGAGTAACAAGTTGTCTCTTCCACTCCGCTGGTGGAAGATGTATATTGATTTAGCATACTAAATTGAGCTGAATTGCTTTGTCTAGAGGATTCTAGTATTCAAGAGTAGTTAAGTTCTTATTTAGAAACTATAGGACGTTCTAAAATCTCATTGCCAAAGGATTGATACTTGGCTATATGAAAGGGGTAGCAGGATGATGGAAAATGTCAGAGAAAGTTGGTTATATTGAGGTCCTCAGATTTCTGTCTTATTCCTACTCATTGGCAATTCGAAATTCGATCATCTTGGTATGAACACATGCATGTACTCTTTAACAGTGCCTGGATGACGTAGAAATGCGATAAAGAGAACCCAAGAGAGATCCCTGCACATTTGATACGTTTGATTGGCTTCGTCATCTGACTATGTCTACCGCTACACAGGCCATTATTTCCGAACCTTAACTAGACTGACTATTTACAGCAGGTTTTGCAGTCGGTATCGTTGAAATTGTTCACATTTATAAGGCAATAGTGTACTGATACCTAATTCTCCCAGACGATGAGCGAATTTCCACCGCCGGGGACTCCCATCAAGACAAGGGGTTTCAGACAAGTGTGCGAGGTCGATGGCCGTACATTCTTCAAGAAGAATGGTGCACAAGAGTGGATCGAGGATAAGTCCAACCCAGAGGACTTGAAGCCACCCGCCGAAAACCCGCATCTCTATCTCTATCTCGTGCAAGAAGAACAAGCCCCCGGAGAACCCAACCATTGGGCACTCTTCCTTGCCGACGAAAACGAGCCTGATTACGGCTATGTTTACCAAGTCACGGGAGATGCACAGGATATGAAATACGAGCCATCGGCTGAAAAGGTCAATGTTGTTGACGCTGGCCTCACATCCAACGTCTATACCCTGGCTGTTGTGACTCAAGAACAGGACAGGGCAGCGAAGCTGGTGAAACAGGCTGCGGAGTCGGAGCTTCCTCCACAAGCGGAGAATCGGAAGGCGGTTACGGAAAACTGCCAGGGGTGGACTGTGCGTGTTATCGAGAAGCTGGTTAAAGAGAAGATTGTAATGCCTCAAAAGCTTGAAGTGGCAAGGTCCTTAATGGAGGCCGTTTGATATCAGGATAGAACCAAAAGGCTACCCAGTGCTGCTCCTCGGGTTTTATGTAAACAGATAGAGACTGTTCTCGTATTACAATGAGAGGGCGAAAAAGGATTTGGACTGAAAAGCAGCTCGTTGAGTATATTCAGGAATAAAGACATCAAGTGCTCATTCAAACAAATATCATAACTTTCGTCCAAGGTATCTAGTAAAAAAGCGCCATGCAAAACCAAAATTTAAAGCCCTGTCACATTTGTTGAAAAGTAACGAGAGGAATGACATTCGTTATCAAAATTTTAAAAAAGCTTAAACACCGGGTTTAAGCCTGGTTGGGCCAGATATCGTTGGCAATATCACGGACCAACTGCAGTTTGTTGATCATGCCGTCCCAGTCGATAGCATTACCCTCACGGTGGGAAGCAAATCCACACTGGGGGCTAACGCCGACCTGGTTAAGTGCAGCATCGAGGGAGATGTTGTTACCCTCGGCGATGAACTTAGCAGCATCAATGACACGCTTCTTCATCTCTTCCTTATCCTCAAGCTTGGCGAACTTGCTAGTGACAACACCCAGAATGACGTTCTTGTGGGTAGGAAGGAACTTGAGGGGCTCGAAACCACCGGCGCGGGGGGTATCGTACTCAAGATAGTAGGTGTGGACGTTCAGCTCCTGGAAGAGCTTGATGGCGATACGGTCGTAGCCGCCCTCAGAGAAGTGACGGCTGCCAACAAAGTTCCCGCGGCAGAGGTGAACACCGACGTGCATATCGGCGGGCAAATTGGCGACGCAGTCGTTGTACTGCTTGATATACTTCTCGAACATGGTGTCGGCGGAGTACACGTTCAGGGAGTCCTCCTTGAAACCAGTGAGGAACTTTTCAGAGCAGAAGTCTGAGCAAGAGGTTAGTTTAGTCAATCGACCTTATATTTGGTTGGATGGGTAGCATCTTACAAGCCAGGTTGGGATCGTCGAATTGGACGTTACGGCAGCCGGCATCATACAGGATCTGAAGCTCGGCCTGGTAGGCCTTGGCGATATCGCCGAAGTAATCCTCGTCGTTAGTGTATACAGACTTGGGGTAAGCCTTGCCCTCACGGTAGCGCAGGTGGTACCAGTTAGGCGCGGCAAGAGTGATCTTCAGGTTTCCGACCTCAGTGGCAGGGACCTGGCTGGCGAGGTACTTGAACTGGTCGATATAGGTGCTACCGACGTGCTTGATCTTGCCGGTACAGATGACGCTCTCACCGGGCTTGTGGCCGGCCTCCAAAAATGCGGCGATATCGGGGGCATAGGGACGGAAGTCATCCACATCGACATCGTTGACCTCCTCGAACCCATCCAAACCGGGGAAGAAGGTCCCCCAGAACACTACATCTGTCAACGCAATTCGCTTAATGGTTCTCCGGATCTCTTACTGTGACGACGGTACTCGCCGTCAGACATAGCGGCATAGCCAAGCTTCTTCTGGGTCTCAACAATGTTCTTAATCTCCTTGTCCTCAGCAGCGGTCAACTGCGACTCGGGGACCTTGCCAGCCTCGAAAGCGAGCTTGGTGTCCAGAAGCTGGTCTGGACGCAGGAGAGAGCCCAAGTGCTCTGCGCGGAAAGGAGGACGCTGGTGAAGTTGAGGAGCCATTGTGAACTATATATTAACTGGAAGGGATAGTGAGCGTTGTTTCTATGAAGATGCGATAGCATTGGAACCTACCGTATGAATGTCCGGGGAAGAAAGAAAGGAAGTTTGGGAACGAAGAAATCAAAAGAGGGGCATTACCATTGCCATCTCTTCCGAGCTCTACAACGTCTTCAGCCCCGTGATGGGGCCCCACAGCAAAATGCTGAGGCTCTCCACATTTTTTGTTGGTTGATCTGGCCGATCTGGCTGAGTTGACCTGCGAGTTTCCCGTTCGTACATATGTAGTTTCCTGATCTCCTTGTTTTGGGTATGAGGTCATTACAGAAGCAATTGCTCATAGAGTAAATAGGACATATTGAAGAGCCTACGCAGAAGAATACAATGCGGGGTCCTTGGCGAGCAGTTTGTGTATTCCCGGAAATCCCCCAGGTGGATGTCTCCTGATGTCGAATCTCTTATAGTGCACGGACCATCCATGGTTTGCCTCTATACATTTTCTGTAGTCTCTTAGACTTTAGTTGTACGCCTATTTATCCTATCCCCTCCAATCCTTTTTCCAACCTCTTTTCTTTTAGCAGAGTTTAACACATACTCTGTATAATAACTCCATTGCAAGAAACCCCTTTGGAAAACTATCCGCTGAGTCACAAATTACAAAGAGTTTAGTGGAGCCCTGGAGCCCGCCACATCGAGTGGAGTGGGGAAGCCGGCACTTCACTTTCATTCCTGGAGCCGACACGCAACTACAACATACTACTACACCCATCTACCTAATGCAACTCTAGGTACACTGTCATATTTGGCAGTACTCTGGATATCCAATTGCCGTTAGTAATGTGGAACGAGGCCTTAGACATGAGCAATTCGCCATGTCTGCGCCTGGATCTCCTTTGGAGCTCCTCCCCAATGAGCTCCTAGACCAGATTATCTCTTACTTAATCACAGAGCCACCGTCATTTGGACATTTAAACCATGTACCCAGTCTGCAACTCACTGAATCTACAACAAAAGACCTTAAACATCTCGAACTGTGCTCACTACGCCTATTTCAACTTGTTCGACCTCAACTGTTCACTCATGTCCGGCTCAACCTTCACAATGAACCGGACTTCCACTCTTTTATGATCAATTCAAATCTATGTCAACATGTGACATCTCTCGTGGTGATTGCGGATGAAACCCCAGACCGTTGGATCGATCCATTCTGGTGGCGCCGAGTCCTCCGCTATCTAGATCCTCTCCGTGTTCTAGTAATAGGGCCGCCCGTCTTCATTGGCAACACTCTAGCTAGTCCCATCAATGATGGACATCACTGGGCATTTGATATGCCCCTGCATATTTTGTTTTTGGAGCGAGAGGGCAAACCTCGCAATCCATCCCAGTTGCCTGACCTGGAAAATTGCACTAGTCTTCTAGCATCACGAACATGGACATCGATGACTTTTAACGAGTCATCTTCCCTGAAAGCATACAACCACTACGAGTACTTCCTTTCCTCTGTCCCATCGGTTCTTGCAGAATGGGGCACAAGTGGTGTACGTGGATCAACCCGTTCGCTTCAACACCCAATCGACCTGCCAAATCTTTTACGCCGTCTCACATACTTTTCCTACACAGCCGTGTTTCCGTTTTACAATCACTCGCAAATTGTGCTGGATGCTATTGTGAGGATGCGTTGTCTGCAGCGCCTTGATGTCCAGTTGGCCCCCCTTCAGGATAATCATATTACCGAGCTTGAACAACGAGGGTCCATGGATCCTAACGACCCATGGATGGAACTGGCAACCTCATACTCTCTGATTGGGTATACTGTGAATAGGTTGCCCTGCTTGAAAGAGTTCAGAAGTGGCGATTTGCATGTGAAGGCCATACGACAGGATCTACTGGCCGTCTTGGGGGATGTCATCGGGGAGGAGGGCTGGGTGCATGACGGGCGTGGAGTGTGGAGGCGAAACTGAATATTTCTTCGCTAGAAATGTACTTTAGCATCTTGTTATCTACCTATTCCCATCATAATACATCATGAAGAGCAACATTAAAACAATATTTCAGGTCAAGCAAAATTGATTGAACAGTGAAGCTTATGGTGAGACTAGGCCAAATCGGGGATATCCACTTCCGCTTTTGTCCCTGCCATCAGCTACTCACTCTTCGCTTCTTCTACGGTGTATACATCCTGATATCAGATCCATAGCAAATCCACAAGGACTTGTATACGAACCATGGCAAACAAACTAAATGTTTACTCGGCGGAGCCTGCATTACCGGTCCTTGCTGATTCGCTACTGCGACCGTCAGGACCAACAGAAAATACAGCTCCTCGTTCTAATCAAACAACCGCAAAAAATGACTGGAACCTCAAAAATGATTGGAAACAGGGCATCCAATCCTCCCAAGAAGCAGTCTTCCGGTGCGGGGTCATCCTCGGCTTCTCCAGGCTGCGAATGAGAAGCAGCGAAAGCAACGAGTATATTGGACAGGTATGACCAGCTCAATACTACTTACTATACATTGTTCATGAGATTGATATTTACCATAGATTCCTCGATACATTCTCACAAACCAACTACGGAGTATCCATCCATCATCTGAACCGAGCGCATTCATTATCCACCCACGAAGCTTCGAGGCTTTTGCCCCAAGGACTCTACTCAATGAACTACAGTCTTCTTCCCATGGCCAACCCGGTCTTTCAAGAGATGATGCAATCCGTAGACTTGACTGTGTGCAGTTACTTCCTGTACACAACTTCCCCAATGCCGCACAGGCTATCGGTAAGGTCTCGGACGCGCTGCACAAGATCCAAGAAAAAAGGGAAAACCAGACAAAAGCGACCGAGGCAAACCCATCCACCCACGACCCCATTATGCTCATCGTTGTGGGCCTTGATACCCTAACCGAAAGTGTAATTCGAGCCTCCAACCCGGCTCGAGGTGCAGCCGTTTTGACAGCTACACTCCGTACCCTAACGCGCTTGTCTCGCGTGCACGCCTCTCATCTCTCGATCATTCTTGTCAATACTAGTGGACTGGGGACGATGAATCCAGAGTGGGATAACAATAAACTGCCGACTGGAAACGCTATTTCCTATGGAGGTAGTGCCGCGAGGCAGCCGCTGGAAGATGGCATCCACTCCATCTTCCATTCGGATATCCCCTCCCTGTTCCCCATCTTGCTCATGAAGACGTTAGACCAAGGCATCGATACCCATCTGTTGCTTTCTGATGTGAAAGGAGCTCAGATAGTCGAAGTGATCAAAGATCGAGTTGGTACGAGTCTAGGCAAATGGGGAATATGGAATGAGCAATGAATAATACAATGTGCTATGATGTCGCTGTCATAAAAAGATGACCTTGATCGATCTCGATGCAATTCTCCATACTCTTACAAAAAACATTCTCAAACATGACAGATCCGCCCCTCGCAAAGCGCCGCTTTGTATGCAATTGGCCCAAAAACTCAGCCAGTATCATCCTGCTATATTAAAATCTGCAAAATACCAACTCCAGCCCATGAGCCTTTTTGTTCACTTCTGTGCAATCAAAAGGTATCAAGCGTTTGTTTTGTGGAATTCGGCTGGCCGTGGATGACTCTTGAGAAAATTTATTCAAGCCTGACTATCCTTCTCGGCCCATCGTCTCATCACACCTCGCTCCACCACAGACCGAGCTTCCTTCTCACACCTGGCGAGGTCCTGCTCTGCCGTTTCCTCCTCAAAGAGAATATCTTGCTGCTGTACTTTGACCCACTGCTTATGTCTCTCGCACCGCTTCTTAGTGCAGACGCCACGCGTCCAAAATGCAATATCGTCATCGCCATCGCCATTCATCGCCGTGTCCCCATCTGCATCGGTACTAGCCGAGGAGCTGACAGCCAAAGCTTCAGCTGTTCCCTCCGCAAGAGCTTTCTTTCCAGCGTCGGAGAGTCGCCATTCATCGAATTCTTCGTCGGACCACGAGAGCCGCGAGTCAAAGCCACAGATATCTTTCCATCCGCCCTTCGGCTCGTGCTGCTTCAGTTTTTCTACTACGCCCTTAGCGCGTGGCTTGAGAAGCGAGAGGAATGTAGTGCGTGCAGCAAGCATCTCCTTGCGATGAAGGAGCTCCTCGCGCTGCTTACGCAGCTTTTCGATCTTCGCAATCTCATCGGGTGAGTATTCCATGCCGTCGGCGTGGACGTCGAATCCCAACCATCTGCCGCTCTGCGGCTTTGATTCGGCCTTGGTTTCAGCCCCGGGCGTTTCTTTCTCGTCTACATGTGGTGGCGGGGAGATGATGCGATCTCCAAGCGTTCGGAATTCATGTGTAGATGCCACTCCCATAATGGCAGCTTTCAGGTCTCCAGATGTAAGAATGCCACCCATGCTACCCAGGTCTTCAAAAAGACCATTCGCCTGACCAGCGCGCTGTTTAAGATGCCGGGTTTGTTGGCGCATAAATTCCCGGCCGTGGTCATCGCAGCAGTACTTGCTTGGGGGCTTCGTTTTGGCGCGCGCTGGTTTCCGGCACTCGACAAGGCGGCACATCGGCTTCCATGTTGTGCATCCTTTCCCTTCACTTGCACAGTTCGGGCCTGGTGTTGGAGGTTAGTTTTGATTAGAATCGACCAATCGCTCAGGGATACTTACAGATATATCGCTCGATCAGATCCGCATCTCGAGGATCGATATTAACGCATTTCCCATGATACCAGTCATCACAGTCGCCGTCACACGCGATCATCCATGTATGATTATCAGGTCGGCGGCAAATACAGAAGATCGCGTTTTCATCAAAGCTGTCGGAGTCATCGTTTTCCTGGGCCGTAGATGGTTTGGGTCCTTTCTTCTTCTTCTTCGACGGCTTTTTCTTCTCCTCGGGAGCTGGTGATCCTGCTATCGAGACAGAATTTTGGTTCTTGGCGGGTGTTTTGCTGGCCCGAGAAATTGGTGTATTGGAACGCCGCCCGTCAACGCTGTCTGCGTCCGGGTCATTCCCCTTGCGCTTCTTGGCGGCAGGTTTCTTTGCAGTTCCTTTTTTGGTAGTGCTTATCGAGGGCTTTTTATTTGCTTGTTTGACGGAATTTGCTGGAGAGGACCGGTCGGACGATGACGCTCTTGAGTTCAGCCCGTGCTTGAGGTTCGCCACTGTTTTAGACGTCGCGTAGTCACCCGTGCCATCGAGACCTAGTGAGTTTGTGTCCAAGTCGTCGCTAGCTGGAAATTTGTCGAGTGTAGAGCTTGTTGGTTCAATTTTGACTGAGGGTAGGGGTGTATCTTGGTTTGCGACCAGCGGAATGCCCTTACTAGGGTCGTAGGCACCATCGTAGAGGTCAGTCCAAGTCACACTCTTTTCGGAACTGGACACGCCATTTTGAAGCGCAGGCCCAAGATCCCTGAAGAGTTGGTGAACCTTCTTAGCTCTGACAGTGCCAAAATACCCGCACTGTCGCCAGCCAGCAAGGCCCACCACCCGATTATCCTGGACAATGATATTGCTCGGAATGAAGTTGTTGTGTATCAAAGATAGTTCCTCCTCCTTGCCTTTTTCTGTGAATAGAATATCTCGTTCGCGGGTCTCGACGGAGGGTGGAATTTGGGAATTGAGTTCGTGGCATACATAGGACGGTTCCTCTGGGGGGGAATCGATTGTTCCGAGCTGTTGAAGGATCTGACGGCACTGGTTTTTGAGCACCTCGATCTGTTCTGTGTCAAGATACCTCCACGCAACTTCCAGCGAGACACCTGCAATGCGAGACTCGATTGTCACGTTCCTTCCCTCAATAGTCCCACAAAAATATACCACTGGCACCGCAACTCCAATCTCCCTGAGCGAGTCCTCTGCTTTGTGTGCGGCTGACAGTTCATTAGCATTCGCAAATGCAAACCTCTCAGCTGCCGCTCCATCGGCCAGTTCACGGTCAACCCGAATAATTATGCTCCCGGCCGCGAATGCCTCCCTCGGCCCTGAGATATTGAGTGAGTGTTCCGGGGTACAATATTGCTGCGCGACCTTCTCCCAGAACGAGTTCACAGCCGGGTCAGACCGATACCAGTTCATATAGCGAGGGGTGAAATCGTCGGCGCGGGGTGTGTAGCGGCCATACTGCGAGCTCTGGGAAAGAAACGGGTCATCGCTAGGAATGCGATCAGGGTTTGTTTCGTAGGGGTTGGTTGTGGACTCTGTGGCCGCGGAGCCGTTCACATGGTTTGCGCCGGCGGCCGCCTCCATCTTCACCATGGCTGTCACGAGTGGAGCGGAAAGGTGTATTGTGCGCAGGTTCGAGATAATAGCTCTGCACTATTTCCCGTTTGTGGTTTCGAGAAATGAAGCTTGCGTGGACTCCTGCGGTGTTCAAATATGCGAGCGAAGATCGCGCGGGCAAAACTAAACCGATACGATTTCTACCGAGACTACCGGAGACATCATGTGGATTGCATCGAGGGTATAGGGTTTTGCAGATGTCTTTCAGAATTTTTCGAAGTCTGCGCGAGCCCCCTTCTGTGTTTGGGAGAGTGCTCTCGGTGGTCCTGTGTTGACCGTTAAATTCTCAGGTTCAAGGTCTGGCGCGATCCCACCGCCGATCGAAGAGGTGAAGTCTGTCCAATGTCTTCGTTGGGAGTTCTTTTTGGCGCTTATAAGACGTATGCGATCTGAAACCCTCTTTTGAACAATCAACTTGTTTGATTCCAGCTTGGTTCAATGTCCAGCGCCTTGCGGTCCAGATCGATCATTGTCGGAGTTGCGGACTGGGCGCGAAGGCGGTGAGTAGGCCCCAGACACGCGACAGCGACTTCCTTGACTTCACTTCTAAGTACTCCATACATAGTTCTTGGAGAGAGCAGGACCTTTGGGTCAATACCTTCGATATTCGATCGTCATTGATCTATTCAATCAAAGATCTCTACAACAAAAAGAAAAAAGAATATTAGTGTCACTCGTCTGACACTTCTTGTCTAGTACTGATATAGGGAAGAGTGTGAGATGACAACGGTCACCTTCTTCGCCTGTAAATAAGGACTAGAAATGTGCAAAGCTGAGATTTGAATACTGTATTTTCTCTGCTACCTTTCAGTCCCAACTTCAAGGGTCATTGGAATATAAATAATGTCCATCATGTACCCCTCCACTCCTCAGGTCTTCCATTGTGTTATTATATATATTCCTTCACTAATGATATTTTACGCATGTCTATTAAATATGTGCCATTGCTATACCTTGGGGCTCACTTCTATTTTCTACCTCCTCTAGAAAGCTTGTAGGTGAATAAATAGTCATACATTCGCCTAGGTAGGTAGCTCTCGCGCTTGATGGCTTTCGCTCATATCATCATGAAGTACCACTACCGCCTATAATGGTAGTTTCCAACCAATTCTAATTGCCCTTATTCATGTCCAGGGAAGGAACAATGATAGCTATCCAGATATGACGGATAATGTTGCTAGAGGCTTGAGTGACCGATGGTGCGCGATGGTGTTTGTCTAACAGTGTATTGTCTACTTTGCACATTTGCTAAATTAGAAACTGGCAGCTAGATTTTAAAGGGATATAGTAAACGAGAGAGTTAAAGAAATACTTATGATTAAGTTTAGCTGCATACAAAAGCCCTGCAATGAATTAAAGTATGATTAGGACGGCAACATACTACTTCATACTTTCACCATGGTTGATGTAGATGCTTACGCATAGTTATGTAAAGTGGGGGACATGTAATGGTGCGTTCCTAGCTAAACGCAATGATTCAGTGTGGTGATAGCTAACAAATTTAAGAAAACAATCGAGCTTTCTCGACGGGGAATATGTTGAGGCCTCAATTTCTTTCTCCGTGGACCAGGCAAGTATATGACTGGCATTTCACCGGGATCTCTTCAATATGCAATATCATTCTAGATATAGATTTCGACACAGATCTACTAAGACTAGAAGGAAGTTACTCCATATAAGTGATCGACTTCCCACTGTTTCAGATAGTATACCCCCACAAGCAGTTTGACGAGCGAGGCATGACACACACATCTATGTGACATATAGAAGTCCAATGGCAACATTGAGAACTGATAACTGTGTCATCCTTATTACAGAACATCACAGTCGACTTGCACAATAGTTGAGGCATTTCGATGGACCGGCCGTTCATCCCAGATCGGGGTTTCTTCCAGTGCTAGGATTTTGGATCAGCAGCAATCGAAGATCCTTTGGTGGCGAGATAGAACCATGGGCCACTATGTGGTGAGACGTTTCAAGTAAAAATAGAACTAGAAGTCTCCCGGATGTCAGGTACAGTAGCCGAATGATCAGCTGGTGACATGCATGGTCATTTAGAGTGTCCAGCCACATCGGGCGAACAGCTGAAGCGAAACTTATCCTAGGATATATGAGAAAGAGGATCCCAAGCGAGGTACAAGAGCTTGCTGATCTAGGAAGGTGATACTAAAGAAGAAAATGATCTTCTTTCAATAGGAGATGCGGGTCTGAGATAGTTCCATTGGCGGCCGAGAAAGCGCTCGTCCTAAATGGACCCGCTACAGACTGTAGATACCTAGGAGACTAGAAACTGTAACTGACCAAGCAGCTAATAGTTGCGAAACTCATTCATGTACCTAGATAAGTAGGTATGGAGTATGTATATAGGTAGAGCTTAAATTAGAAACGAGGCCAAGCCAGTCCCTAGATGCCTAGCTCTAGATATGTTGGAGGTTCACTTTCCTACTATAAGCCTCACTCTCTATTCTCTAGAGATGACTAAAATACCAAGGAACTATTATCCAAAACAGCAATTGACGGCTAACAGATGCCAACCCTAAGGAAGGGGGAAGGCGGCGAACTGGCCGTTGGAAAAAGCCGCCTACCCACAGTATATATCGCTCCTATTAATCCCATTTTCTTACTTAGGTAGGTAGGTTACAAGGTATATTAAATCGAGCTTGTTCAACTAATTGTTCAACTAGGCCAAATTAAATGTACATATACGCTGATAGCGGGTTCAAAATTGACTAAAAAAAAAAAAAAAAGACTCGGCCCCGAATCTTTTCCTTTCAGCCAACCTACCCCAGTCTTTACTCTCAATATCTGGAGCTTTGACCTACTTCTAGTAAAGTCTTCTCCAATTTATCCTGTGTGGGGGCTAGTTTCCCTTTCCTCCCTGTCCCTGCTTGCACATCAATGGCACATGCTAGTTTGCCCGACCAGTTGTTTTGGCCCCCATGGACAGATCATTCAACCGGCTGTTTTGACCAATATATAGAGCGGGATGGAAAATTGAGCTAACCGACGTGCAGATGATGGCTTGCTATTACCATCTGCGCGTTCTACTCCGTGGTTCGGCTAGTTCTTGCACAACTCCTCACCATAGCATCCACTGAGGCGATCATGATCGAAAGGAGTATATGACTCGGTTCTCATACAATGCAACCTTGTTTCAATTGCTCTTTTCTACTTTGAAATGGTTAGATTATCCGATTTTCAGAGTGATTCGGTCATCTTTGCTTGATAGGCAACATATGGTCAGATGAAAATGCGTCACATAAGAATTCCAGTAATCCTTGACGATCATCAGGGGTACATCTTGCTAGATACCTAGTTCAAGACCGGAAGGTAGCCACGCCCCGCGCCATTCAATTTGCTTGTGTGCATTAGTTAATTTTCCTTTTCTCTAAGACATTAAAATTGCAATTGACACTGTGGATATCATATTGTGGGACGTTATTAACAGTGATGCACGATGAAATTCATGAGCGAGGTAGGCACATATGAAGGCACACTAGTATTATAGTACTATGCCCTGTTCTTGTGGATACAGAGTAATGAAACGTGAATCACCTGCATAGATAAAATGAATAAAGCGAAAGAGGTTAGACTTGGGGGAAATTGTGGATATCACCCTGAGGGTCTTTGTTGATTGTAAGATAAAGAAACAACCAAGATCTTTGTCGATAAAGGGAAAATCAGGTAATACATAGATTGCAAGTCTTTGAGGGACATAGGAGATTAAAGACCAGAAAAAAGCCATTGTAAACATTTTGACCATTCTAGGGGTTTTCAACGGGTTTTCCAACGTATAGAAGGCCTCTGTTTCCTCACGTTCCTCACATAATCCACAGAGAACATTTAAGGTTACACCACCAAATAAGCCATAAGGACGAAAACAAAAAGAAGCCGGGAATACGAAGGAAAGACAAAATTCAAGAAAAAAAAAAGAACGGACTTCTTAACTAAGTTGCAAAATGAAATCGGATTCATCAGATTCATCGGATTCTAGACTCCAAGCAAGTGTGTTCATGAACGGCAGGGGCCGTATTGCAGATCCCCATGACGACCTACCGGACATCTGTTGGGTCACAGCGCATTTGCCCGAGAGTATGTCGTGTGATGGACAAAGTGATGAAGAGATTATGAATCTTGTACTTTGCAAGATCCAGATTGGGAATGTCATCATTGGTGATTGTGCACTGCATAGCTTAGGGTTCCATTGTCTGTCATTACCGGTTAAAGGTACACCCCGGGAAAACACCGGTGAAGTCTTGTCTTACGCTGAAACTCTCACGGAATGGTGGCTCAAGCAAATTCGCATGAGTAGGGCCTGTCTTGACCAGTACAGTATTTTTGAAGCCACCACGCGCTCCTTGGAGCACACTAACAGCCTAGAGGATGTACCTCACGGGTGGGGACAAGCGCGCTAACCCGGCAATATGCTGTAGATTACCTCTCATGAATTTGGATTGGCGGATATATAGCAAAAGAATGAATAATTTCTTTTTTTTCCCCTCTGGACGGATATTTCGGAGTATAGCGGATTTTTTACCGGTGATCGACTGAAAAATGCCTAAGAAGGCATGTGGCAAGCGTAAAAAAGGGCAACGTGGGGGCGAGAGTTGGGGATAGTCTCATAGTTTAAATTTTCATCACTTGGAGGATGTAAATGATGTTCAGAACTTCAAGCTTGGTCTTAATAGGGTACTACTAGTAGTTGACGGAGTACTCCATAGTTCCAACGTTGTTTACTCCACTGGAATCATTGGTTAATAGAAGATCGAGTATATTTCTCACCGTATAGATAGCCATTTTTGGAGTATGATCTTTTAATTTCTTACATTATTGCAATGGGCTAAATACCAGTTAACTCTAGCGCAATTAAGCGACATACAATACAATATAGACGAGATGATCAGCAAATCCAGATAATAATAGTAAATATAGCTTCACCGTTGAAAATTGTGAAACTTCCCGGACCCCCTGCAGAGATCTCCCTTTCAGCCCCCACAAAAACAATTTAATTCTTTGCACATGGTGGTCAAACTGTACTCTCTGTATCCACCGATATGCATGCCCCTTGCAGGTTTTCTTTAACAAATCACAACCAGATGGGAAAATCATGCGATGTATGGACTGGAAGGCCAAGACCCTAACAGATGGAGCTCGCCCCGAGGCCCTATGGAGTGTCCTGACACGTGTGGTTCTTTCCTCCATGAGTGCAACATACACATACCAAAAAATTCCAAAGATGTGAAACACCTGTGGCAATTCCTAAAGCAAGGGAACTATATGACGATCGTTTTCAATATGTAACCTACGGCCAACTTAGGGCATACAAACCGGGTAGACACCCGGGTAGATATCCGGGCACACAGAATTAATGACTCGACATAGTGGAGCCTGTATAGGTACTTGCTCCAGAATATGGGCTTGGTATATCAGGCCTAGCTCAATATGGAGGAGACAACATGAGAAGTTGGTCTTGTCACGGGCCCTTTAGTTAGGGGATCATCCTATCAATCCTGAAGCCCACGTTCGGGTCACAATTTCATACAGTCTATACCGGCGCATTTGGCCCCCAAGCTACCAAGAGGTGCATCACTCATACGCACCTATTCGGCTCCTGACTCGCTGCACCGTGGATCTCCACACGTGTCGACCAGAATCCTGGAAGGCCGCTATTCCAGACTAGACTAGTTCGTCAAAAGACGATGCGCGGGTGGAGAAGGCATAGTTATCTGCATCGCAAAGTTACTATACTCCTTTTTACGTTAGATCATGGTTTGAGGAGGGTGCCCCATTGCTACTTGGACGTTCTATTCCTGTATTCTTTTCCTTTTAAGAACGGACGTTCGACTCAGTTTGGACTTGCTCCGTCGATTATATCCATCAAACTTCTCCATACTGTCCTTCCTTTGCCCCACAAGGAGACTAACGCCCCCTGTGATTCGATTACACATATCTATTCTTCCTGTCCTTACATGTCCTTATATGGGCAACCAGAAAGATGTCGACCTTTTCTGACAACACCGCCAGCAATGCCCCGGGCACCTCCAACGTGCGATGGCAATTTATCGACTCTTCGAACAATAGTCGAACCAACTTGACCCAAGTGAAGCGTCATGTTATGCAAGAATACATGCGCCAGAAGAAAAGTGGCACTCGCCAGAGTGAAAGTGAAGAGGAGCAACCACGAGCAAAGCGTGGGAGACCTAAGAAGACTCGAGGTGCAACACGAAGATCGGAGAGGAAAGCAAAATCAGATGGGGATAACAATAACAATCAAACCCGAGCAAGAAGGTCAACGAGAAAGCAAGCTACACGCGAAGAAGACCTTATTGTCCAGGTCAACCGCAATATGTTTGCTTCGGATCACATCTCGTCGGATTCTCCGTTGATTGCATCCGATGATATGCCCTCATTTCCCCCTTTTCGACCATCTTCTGCCCAATCTCATGATGTTCCTCTTCCACTGGATGGCTTTGTCGATGTAAATCCACAGAGTTCTCCGAGCCATGATCTATATTTTAACAATTTCTCATGGCCCTCAATCCCCACGATGCCATATCAATTCATGCAATCACCGAGTACTATGATGAGCGATGCGCCAACCGACTCATTCAACACTCTTCCCATAGAGCTGGATCGAGATGGACAGGGGATATTTGACCCCTATGTGAACGATATGGCGACGGCCTCTTATGGATCCCACTACCGGCCCATCGCTCACAACAGTTATATATCAGTTTTTGTGCCTGAGACAATGAAAGGTACTGCCGAATTCCATAACAGCATTTCTCGTATATGCAGCTAACATTTCGCATAAAGCCGAATCTCAGAACACTCTCCTTAATAATGATCGTGCTGTTTCCATGCTCCAGGAGCACCGCTCTGACAATCTCCATGACGTCTCCGACATTGCAATTATGTCCTGTCTGAGTGCCGCAGCCCTGGAAGGCTCTGATCCCCGACCTGGCCGCAAGGAAATAAGCTGGGTGCACATGCGAGCTGCACGCGAGATGATACAAGCGCGCGGTGGACCCGCTGTATTTGCAAAAACTCGCATCGGCATGATGATCAACTGGCAAAATGATATCTTGCCGGGATATGAAACCCGTGGGCCTAACTTCTTCTATGGATACGACCAACATGCTGCGGCCTCATCGGAATCTTTGGTATCCATACCACAACACACTCCCATTATACGCTCAACACCATCTCCGCTATATTCCGCGTCCTCGGCCTTCTCTGAAGTCTCGCCCAGCCCTGAACCTCGAACAATGCTTCCATCTCACTCAGAAACCATCCCGGTAGAAGAGACAAAATTCCAATGCGAAGAATTTCTCGATTTCCTCCGACGCTGTGAACAACTTGCCCTATACCAACGCGAGAACCCCCAATCATCGTACATTACCCGACACACAGCAGTTCAAGAAACGTCAATCCTTTACCAAATACTCTCAGCACCTGCAGGCACCCGATTCCCCACGCTATCCGACCGAAAACAAATGGTCGCCCGCTTAACAGCACTGATGACACTCAATGCCGCAATGTGGGATTACCGAAACACCCCGGCGCGCGCAGCAATCTTCCTCGACACACTCGAGAAATCTATGGTCGACAGCGAAGTCGGCATGAATGGCTCTCTTGAAGCCATGCTTAAAACTGTGCTTGAATGTACTGACGGCACTTCTGATGGCTGGTCCACCAGTGCCGACAGCTTTGCTTCCACTGCACCAATAGAGGAGCTTCCAGACTTCTCTCAGTACTTTCCAACTGCTACCTCACCCTATGCGCGCCCGTGGTTCGCTGGTCGCATGCTGAAGATTGCAAATCGGTTAAGCTCTTTATCGTGGTACCGTGTTAATGAGTTTTTATTCTCGTGTTTGACACTCCAGATGCAGGAGCCCTCCACGGCTCTCTGGGAAGCCAGTTTACGTCGGGAGATTCTCGATGGGCCAACTACCTATGTTGTGCGCTAATTGACTAAGTGATGTATAAAACTGGCCTGGACCAATATGGCCTGTATTTGTTTGGGTTCTTCTTATGTTTTTATGTTTACTATGTTTCTTATGTTTTTACCCTTTTCTTTTGTACCACTCTTTGAGAGTTCCTTGTATATACCCTCACTATCACTTAACTATAACACATTGTGAATTATTAATGAATTTGGACAATCGTAAACAGATAAGATAAAGACTATGTGTTCTCCATAAAGTCGTGTTTCGCATGATCATGTAGCATTATTCGCTCATTATGTCCCTCATGGTATCGCCAATAACATCGGCACTACCCGCACCCATCAACTTCTCATTTGTCGATGGATAATGACTCGCCGATGTGTGGGCAGCATAGGAGCCATTCTTCTCACCTTCCAAAACAAGATGTAACAACTGCCCCTTCATGGTTGCCTTGCGAGTCAAAGTAAGCTCCACACCTCACTTTCAGGCAGAGTGGATGTATCCAGCTGCGACGTCGGCCTACAACTCCAATATCGCCGGCTCAAGACCCTTGGTCCCACTTACGAAAACAACATGGTGGTGATGAGCACTCCCAATTTCAGAAGGCAATATACATTACATCCGAGCCGCAAACCCAATTTGAAATGCCTCACGCTAGCACCAAATACCTAGTTACCCGTTAGACTTACGGCTCTACATTCTTGGTCGAACTCTCCAGGGCTGTGTCTTAAAATCACGTCATGAATTTAACGAGCTCCCAACCCAAAATCAATCAGAATATAATAATAAAATATTAAAGTAAAGACAAAATATCAAAAGAAAATAAACATTACATCTAAAACATCTCAACAAGTCCCTAGACATAAATCGCCAGCAGAATCACCATCATAGTACCCAAAATCTGCATCATCGACGACTGAGTAATCACAGATGCAGCCCCGGTGTACACCGGACCCACTGCACTTGTTGCACTTGTTGCACCTGTTGCACCTGTTGCAGTAGAAACAGCCGCTGTGGCCATTCCACTAGGGTGGCTGCTAAGGAACCACGAATGAGTCGAGGAAGCAGAGATAGCACCACTAGATCCAGCTCCAGAGCCCCAGTGGGGGGTATACAACGAGGGAGCTGCAGTGGGCTCAGCAGCATTAGTCTGGGTCACCACGATGGTGTTCACGTATCCGGTACAGGTATCATCGTCAGAGCAAGATTCAACGACGATGGTCGTGGTGTGGACAGTGCCTACGTTTGAGCCTGGTCCTGCACTCTCAGAACCAGATTGAGATCCAGCTGGGACAGATGTGTAGACAGGGGAGACAGGGTAGACAGTAGTTGTGACAGCGAATGTTTGGGTGGTTGCGTACGAGGTCTTTGACTTCAGGGGGCAATCAGTCACAGATTCAGGGCAGGCAAAGACGGTGGCGGTGCGGGTAGCGTAGATAGTAGATGTGGTCAGCTGGGAAGCACCATTGTTACCACCTCCAATTGCTTTAGTAGGAGCGGCACCGTTGGTACCAGTAGCATCCGCCACGGGACAGACTGTTACAGAGACAATCAGGGTCTCAGTGGTCACGGATGTGGTCTTTGACTTCAGGGGGCAATTGGTCACTGAAGATGGGCATGCGGTGATAGTGGCTGTGCGAGTGCTATAGACAGTGGATGTTGTGAGGTCTGAGCCACCGTTTCCATGGCCATGATCACCAGCACCTCCAGTGGCAGATAGCGAAGCAGATGCTGTTTGGGTAGGGCCGGCAGTCTCAGTAACAGGGCAGATTGTAGTGGATACCAGAATTGTCTCTGTAGTCACAAATGTTGTCTTTGAACTGGCAGGGCAGTTAGGGACTGTAGTAGGGCATGCAGTGATGGTAGCTGTGCGAGTAGAAAAGACAGTCGACGTGGTCAAATCCAATGTAGAGGACCCAGAGCCTGCGCTTGACTGAAGCGCTCCGGATGTGGTAGTTGTGCCAGTGACAAAGACTGTTGAAGTGGCCAAATCCAATGTAGAGGAGCCAGAGACCACACTCGATTGAAGGGCTCCAGATGGGGTGGATGTAGGGATCGAAGCGACAACCGTAGTGCTACTGCCAGAGGCAGAAGTCAAGATAATCTGCGAAGAAGATGACCCGAGTCCAGTGGTTGTCAATTGTGAAGGTCCAGTTGAAAGAGAATCTGTTGCAGACACAACAACAGATGGCTTGATAAGAGGAGTTGAAGAATGAGGGGCCGAAGGGGTCCGAATAACCGACGGGGTAGGAACTCGACTCAGAAGAGGAGTCGAAGTAGGGATCGCGCTGGAAGCGAGAACTACCGATGAAGAACGAGCAGGGCAAGGCTTGCGACTGGGCATAGGCCTAGGGACATGAGACCAATGGTGGTGTTGATGGTGATGATGATGCTGCTTATGGTGTGTCGCCACAGCAGAAGGAGTGACAGTCACAGTTGGCTCCGCAAGAATTGTGGTGGCGAGACCCGTTTGCACAAGTAATGCGGCCAAAATCCATCCTCGAACAAGAAAAGAACCCATCTTTACCGTAACCGAAAGGATTGAACGATTAACAGGAAGATGTTTAGAAAGCAGCGAAAAAGAATGAATGACCCAACAATCAAAAATGAATGATTGATAGTTGGACTGGGTATGGGAAAAAAAAAAGAGTGTAAGAGTACAAAGTCTAAAATGAAGCGATTGAGAGGAAATGCTCACTGTATATACATCGTCGCTTAGGGTTTCCATACTGGCTGGCAACACGGGGACGCCGATAACAACAAAAGCCAGAAATTAAGCTAACGGGCTAAATACTCCGGTTCCTGGATTTTCATCTGCACTTGAGTTAAACTATCGACGCCATTAGCGCCTCCGGCTCGCTTGTTTGTGGCTTTTCTTAGATTTGTACATCCATGTACGAACCCGTGGTGAAAATAGCCGGCGGAGGCTCCCACCCAACACGAAAAGGGGAAGTATTTAGTGCGAGGATACTCCAACTGAACTTAATTCTCCGGATCATTAAAATAATATCTTGTGAAATATGAACATGTCCATCCGTCGCTTTGCACTCGCCGCAGGCCTTCTGCTCGGCCAAGTTTCAGCCAGCACCCCTGCAGCCAGCTCTCCACCAGCCAGTAGCCAAGTTCATGTGCCCATACCAACTTGCCGAACGGAGCTAGGACTTAGCTCGGTGAAGTCGGTACCTACTACAACTATTACCCGTACTATCCATGAGCATACCCCCGTCGTTGTCCTCACAACAATTCTGGAAACCGTCACAGTCACCCCTGCTGTGTCGACCGAGATAGTGACGGGCTATGAAACCACTATCATCACCTCCACAGCTGATGCAATTACTGATACTTTCTCAACAACCTCAACTGAGTTTGACACTGCAACATTGACTTTGACTCCTGCTCCTATCACCACAACCGTGGCTGAAGTCCTCTCGACTACCTCCACCAGCACATCCACCATTGCCACCTCTGCAGGCTTCACTCCGATTGTAGACACTCTACCTCCTGCTGTTACTTTCAAGCGCGCATTCGAAGAAGATGACGGTTGCGCTCCTTGGGTAGATGATTACAAGTATCCTCAAGCGGTCGTGTGCCATGAGAAGATCATCATCAAGACAACAACTGTCTCCACTGTCACCGGAGAACCCACCACTTCCACCGCTGCAACTCCTACCACCACAGTGACCGTCACCAACACCATCACCAGCAGCTCAGTGATTCTTCCCTCGGATGTCTCCACCACACTGAGCTTCAGCACTACCTCAACCATCACCGAGACAACATTTGCCGTTGGTGAAACAAGCACCGTCACCTCCACTAGCACTGTTCTAGCTGGCACAACTACCACATCCTTCTACGCAGCCTGCGCCACAAACAACCTCGCTGGAAGTCCTCTCTCTTCGGATTTCGGCGCGGCAGCCGGCACATACATCAATGCGGTTGAGCTCACCCACGTTGCCGGTCAAAAGATGACGGTTGGTAACACCCAATCTGCATATGAGTGTTGTGCCAGCTGCATGGCAAGTCCCACTTGTGTCTTTTCCTACTACTGGGCGTCCTCGCCCACCGTCAAATACTGCTATCTCTTTGCCGGAAACACGTGCTCAGTTGTTAATAACTATGGCATCGCTTACCTGCAGACCAGGGCGCAGAACGGTATGCAACTTTCCAATGGAAACTGTGGACGTGTGACGAGTAAATTTGACTAGTTCGGTGTGGATTCCTGTATAGATGATATAGCATCAGAGTTCATTTAATATTTATACTGTTTTAATGTTAGAACCTGTTCGTTTTGGCTGATATGTCTATGGAAGGCAAAAAAAGAAGATTATGTATATGTACATTGTACGAAGTATCGTAGGATTTGGTTCTATCCATGGATGTGAGATCTCGGGAAGTTCCGTTAAGAGGGGAAGCTTGGAAGAATAAAGATCCGTGCCACTTGCCTGGGCACTATCCTGGATGGGCATGTGCGCACGTGGGCATATATGTCATACTATATGTTTTTGGCGACAATGCGAGCTTTTGCAAATCTAAATAGCTGTTCTGGAGGATTGTTTTCAACAGTTCTGTTGGTTGGAGATTATCCACAAGTATGCGTTAGGCAACGGCAGCCGTCCCAAGGTTCTTTGCGCCTGGAGACAAGGCCTCTGATATATTTTGTCGGGTTTGCAGCATATTATAATGGCTGTGTACTGCGCATTAGACTGAGGTTAACACCCAAGGAAGTACCACCTGGGCAAAGTACAAAGAACCTTGGAACAGCCCGGGATCTCGATTAAAGGTGGTCTGTGCATTTGGTACCTGAATTTGAAAGTCAGTTCACATGTTTACAGAACATAGACTAATTTTAACTTGGAAATGTGCCAAGTCAAAACTAGTATGACGCCCAGGGGAACCCAAAGTGTTGGGAAAGGGCCCTTTCACATGCAAATCTTTTAAGTGGGGGCCAAGTCGAATTACATGTGATTAGTTTATTTGTTGAGGTTTGTAGATAGTAACAGCCTTGGAGGTAATGAGGTAGCTTTCAAGGTATAGATAAATAAAACATATTATCGTATTTCAGCCTTCGGAATATGTAGCAAGAAATACCTAAGATCTCATAAATGGCCAATAGAAAGAATCCGGAGACTACGATAAGAACAGAACCCCGATTTCCGGAGAACCCCACGGTGTAGGAAAGGTTAATCGTTCCATTGGTAGCTCGAAGCTCTTAGAATCTCAACAAATTTTCTTCCCAAGCTTGTTTACCCTCCCCTCTACATCGATTGTGCAGATTCCAATGACAACATCTCTACAATCACCGTCTTTTTCTCTCACTCTCTATTTAGTGAACTTTGCCAGCGTTTAGCTTTTATCGCGTGATTCTATTGCCCTCTTTACCGAAACAATGGCTATTCTCGATATCACTAAAGATTTGCCCACACTGTTTAAGCGACAGGTCCAGACAACCCCAGATGCCATCGCCCTTGAAGATGAGACCACGACATATACATATACCCAGCTGGATCAAGAAGTGGAGGCTCTTGCCAGTCGTCTACGGACATATGGAGTGAGCCGTGACACCCTCGTGGGTGTACTCCTGCCTCGGAGCGCACATTACGTGATTGCCTGTCTGGCAGCACTGCGTGCAGGTGGTGCCTTCCTTGTTCTTGAATTGGCTTACCCCGCGGACCTCTTGGCGGATGTCATCGAGGACGCTAATCCTGCCGTTATTATCACCCACAAGTCTGAGATCGACAAGATCAAAGCGCCCGTCCCGCTAATTGCCTTGGATGCGCCCGTTGCTGAGGTTAATGGACACGCCAAGGAACCTTCCCCATTGCCAGCAGATGACGATTTGGATCGCTTGGCGTTTGTGTCCTATTCGTCAGGAACAACAGGCAAGCCGAAGGGAATCGCCAATCCACACCGCGCTCCGGTACTTTCATACGATCTCAGATTTGCAGTGCAGGATGTACAACCAGGGGATCGGGTGGCCTGCAATGTCTTCTTCATCTGGGAGATGCTACGGCCGCTACTGCGCGGTGCTACAGTGGTTATCGTGCCCGACGAGACGAGCTATGACCCGGCAGCTCTAGTTGACCTGCTCTCGGCTAAGAAGGTCACTGAAACACTCATGACACCCACTCTCCTAGCCACTGTTCTTTCACGCTACCCTCGGTTCGGTACTCGTGTGCCTGATTTGCGCATCATCTGGCTCAACGGTGAGGTTGTGACTACCGATCTTGCTCGCAAGGCCATCAAAATTCTTCCCAATACCCGCCTGCTCAACTGCTATAGCGCATGTGAAACTCATGAAATTGCCTGCGGAGATATCCGTGATATGGTTGACTCAGACTCTATTTACTGTCCAGTCGGCCCATCGATTGTTCCCAGACACACCTATGTCCTCAACGAGGATGGACAGGAGGTAGAGGTAGGGACATCAGGAGAACTCTTTATCGGCGGTCCACTGTTGGCGCGGGAATACATTAACCTTCCCGAGACCACCGCCAAAGCTTTCGCTCCGGACACCTTTGATTCCACACCCGGTGCTCGTATGTACAGGACCGGCGATCTGGCCCGCAAACTGCCTTCTGGGTACCTCGAAATCACTGGCCGCGTCGGCGCAATGATTAAGCTGCGTGGATATTCCGTTGTGCCGGCAAAGGTTGAGAGTGAGATTTGCCAGTACTTGGCTGTCAGTCAGTGCGTTGTCACTGCATACGGTGATGGACTCGAGCGACAACTAGTCGCATATGTAGTCGCCGACAAGGAGGCCTCCTCCGATCGCCCCTCGGTCGTGATCAACGAGTCGGGCCACAGCCCCAGCGCGCGCCGGGCCCTCGAAAACCGTCTTGCACAATATATGATCCCAGCTCTCTGGGTTGCATTGGATCAGTTGCCTACCAACGAGGTCTCCGGCAAAGTTGATATGAAAAATCTCCCTTCGCCTCGTAGCTCCAGCCCCAATGGCAGTGAGCAAAGCGCAGGGAAGGACCCGATTGGTCTCAATGATATTGCGACAATCTGGGAGGCGGTTCTGAAAGTTTCGAAGAGCCTGATCAAGGCCGAAGATAATTTCTTCGATCTGGGTGGACATTCTTTGTCCCTGGCAGATCTTTCATCCAAGCTTTCCAGACGTTTCGGCTTCCGTATTCCTATTCCTCGTCTCGCGGAGAACACCACGCTTTCTGGTCACTTGGACACCGTGCGTGCTGTTAGAGATGGTCACACTGAAGAAGTACAAGCGAATCTTCCGGCAGTCTTACTGTCCGATGCCACACTGGACGAGGACATCCAGCCCACAAATACCGCGATCACTTCAATCACCTCGGCCGACACGGTGCTGCTGACTGGTGTGACTGGTTTCCTAGGCGCGTTCCTGCTCAATGATTTGATTGAGAACACCACGGCTAAAATCATCTGTCTTGTGCGTTTCAACGACCCTGAGCGGGACGATCAAGCCGCAGGTGTGGCTCGAATCCGCAGGAACCTCCTAGACATGGGACTCTGGCGCGATTCGATTCTGGAGCGTCTCGAGATCCTACCAGGAAACCTTTCTCGGCCTCGACTAGGTCTAGGTGAGGAAGAATTTGAGAACGTCGCGGCTCGTGTCCAAGTAATTGTGCATGCTGCAGCCACCGTCAACCTTGTTTACCCTTACGCTGCGCTTCGGGGAGCAAACGTGGGTGGAACCAGAGAGATTCTTCGTCTGGCCGCCAAGGGTGGTGCGACCGTACAGTATGTCTCTACCAATGGTGTATTGCCACCATCTGGTGTAAATGGCTGGCCCGAAACTACCATGCTAGACGTAGAGGATGTCCCCAAAAAGCTACTTGACGGTTATGGTCAAACAAAGTGGGTTGCAGAGCAGCTCGTTCTCAAGGCTGGTGAGCGCGGATTGCCAGTCAAGATCCACCGGTGTGGTACCATCAGTGGTCATAGTGTCACTGGTTCCGCTAATGCTTGGGATTTACTCACTGCATTGATTGTGGAATCCATCCAGCTTGGATACGCCCCAGACGTGGAAGGATGGCGTGCTGAGATGACTCCTGTGAACTTTGTCAGCAATTCCATTGTCCATCTTGCCACTCAAACTCAGGCGGATCAAACAGTGTTCCATCTTGGAGATCCTACACCAGTCGATATCCGATCAGTCTTTGAGGACCTCAAGGGGCTTGGTTATGAGACACAACCTGTCCCATGGGATGACTGGGTGGCCATGTGGTTTGAGAAGAGAGGCTCAAGCAAGGGTGGTGATGGTTCTTTTACCGTCGACATTCTTCGCAGTGGCATGCCGACTGTGGAGTTCCTCCGAGACATCGTGGTTCTTGATAACGCTTTGACCAGGCCTTTCCGGGCCGTCATCGAGCGTCCCAAGGTGGACAGCCTGTTGCTGGAGACCTACACTCGGCATTGGTTTGCCCGAGGATGGCTACCCCGGGCCCCATGTCGTCAGAGTGCCCTCAACCGACCTACTGCGGTTGTGAAGGGGCCACTCAGCGGCCAAGTCGCCGTGGTGACTGGTGCTTCTTCGGGCATTGGTGCGGCGGTAGCAGCCGCCCTAGCCAAGCAGGGCTGTGCTGTAGCACTTGGCGCTCGACGCCTGGATGCTCTTGAGGCCACCAAGCGCAAGGTCGAAGCTCACGGCGTGAAGTGTATCATTCGATCAACCGACGTCACAAGCAAGTCTCAGGTAGAAGCTCTTGTCCAAGCAGCAAGTGAGGAGCTCGGTCCAGTCGACATCTTAGTTGCATGCGCTGGTGTCATGTACTTCACCATGATGGCAAACACACAAATGGACGAGTGGGAGCGCACAGTCGACGTCAACTGCAAGGGTATCTTGTATTCTCTTTCTTCAACCGTTCCTGGCATGCTCTCGCGTGGCCGCGGCCATGTCGTCGCCATCTCCTCCGACGCCGGACGTAAGGTCTTCCCTGGTCTCGGGGTGTACTCAGCCAGCAAATTCTTCGTCGAGGCCACCCTCCAAGCCCTCCGCCTCGAAACCGCAGGCACTGGCTTGCGCGTGACGAGTATCCAGCCCGGCAATACTTCCACAGACCTGCTGGGCATGTCAACGGATGCTGAAGCCATCAAGAAATTCGGAGAGCCATCCGGAGCAAAGATCCTCGATCCTTCAGACGTTGCCAACTCCATTGTTTACGCTCTAACCCAGCCTGAGCATGTCTCTGTCAATGAGATCCTTGTTGAGCCTCGCGATGAGCCTATTTGAGCGATATCGGCCATTTCCCGCATTTTTTATTGGAGTTTTGTATAATTTGCTATCAAGTATCTGTTGCTAGTTGTGATTTAGGGCTTTTGATTTGATTCACACAAAATTGGACGACCACATAGAGGTAGAATGGATATATTGTATATTTTATAGAGTACTGAATACTGATTTCCACACGCGCTTTGCCCATGCAACCCAAACCCATATGCTCTCATTCAACAGCCTGGTCCGTAAGAAACCGTAACAGCCGGGGCACATCATCAACTTCCGCATCCAAAGCAGCCGATGGCCCCGGCCGTTCATAGAAAGCGCCTTCAAATTACTCAGGCCAGAATCCTCCGTATTCCCAGTCAATAATAGCAGCTATCTTCAACGTCCCAGGATCAACAATCACATTATGTTGCGAACAAATCGTTATGACAGAAACCATACTCCTCTCCCTGTCCTTCTCGGAAGCATGCAATGCCCGCCACGGCGGGATAACCAATTTCAACCCTCCAGGGCCTCCAATCCTGCCAGATCGAACCCCTCTCATAGTCTCCAAATGTCTGAATATTTCTGCCTTCACAACCCCCTTCTCTGTCTCATCGAGATCAGACATACTCACCCCCTCGACATACTCCGTGATCAGAAAATAGGATCCGTCGACCTCAAACGAGCCGTACAGCTTCGGTACGGGGATATCGGTGTTTTTATGTATAAATCGCAGACAAGCGGCCTCGTTTTGGAGTCGTTCTTTGCCCAGTCGTGGGATGTGGATTGTGCCTTTCTGCGTGCGCATGTATTCGCTATTGCGTAAGGAGCGCTTTATGAATGTTTTGTCTTGGTGGTAGTAGGCTCGCTCGGCGGTTGTTGCTGTCCAGTCTGGTTCAGCTGTGGCTTTGGTTTCTTGTGATGATGTTTCGTCGGAAACTGGAGGCATTGTGCACTGGGTTTTTATGATAGGGTAGTATCTGCAGACTTGAGATTATGGCTACATACGGAGGTTGCTCATTGTTTTTGTCTTCGGCGGCATTCTCGAGTTGTAGTGTAGTGCGTGCACCTGCAGCTGCCCCGCATTGGCGCCTCAGTACTACCTAGATACGGTGTATATTTGATGCTCCATGAAGCTCCATTCTATTCTCTCTCACATACTATACATATTTTTATCCCATTCAAGCAAAAATACGAAGAGGGTAGTTAGGCAAGTAGAATCCAGGATCGTTAAACCGCAGACCCCTATCCAAAGCCGAAATCGCCTCAATCTCCGCATCCGTCATATCAAAGCCCAGCACATCCAAGTTCTCAGCCAGACGAGCGCAATTATTCGACTTGGGGATAACAGCAATACCCCTAAATATATCAATAATCAGCATCAAACCAACAAACACACTCAAACAGAAATCTCAAACCCACCTTTGCGTAGCCCACCTCAACAAAACCCTCGCAGACGAAACACCATACCTCTCCGCAGCGACCCTTACAGGCTCCGCCTCGAAAAGCAATGGAATTCCCAACGCCCTCTTTGAAAACGCTGGCGGCAGCTCAACAAAAGACTGAGGTCCGAAACTCGAGTACGCCGTCACGGCAATTCCATTCTCCTGCGCCATCTGGATAAGTTCAGACTGGACTAGGTAGGGGTGATGCTCGATTTGCAAGGCGGAAATCGGATGACGCGCGTACGTCTTGATATCGTACAGACTTTGCGCTTGGAAATTGCTCACGCCAATGCTGTGCGCGATCCCGCTGTCCACGAGGGTTTCCATTGCTTCCCAGGTTTCGCGGATCGGGACATTATCTGGACTGACGGTGCCTGCTTCATCCATCCACCATGTCTGGTATATTATTGGTTAGTGGGGCTGAGGCATTTCTAATATTTCCAATTAGAGGTGATCATGAGGAGCTTAGGCTTACAGGGTACTCCCTCACTGCCGGGTCGATGTACTTCAGCGCGCAGGGGAAGTGCATTAGGAACAAGTCGATGTATCCCAGACCCCAGGAGTCATTTTGTTTTTTGGCCATTTTGATGGCGTGCTCACGGCGGTGGTAGTTGTTCCATAACTTAGTTGTGATGAAGATCTCGGCGCGGGTTACGAGGCCGTCGGCGATGGCGCGCTGGATGCCTTCGCCGGCTTCTTTTTCGTTTTGGTAGTCATATGCGCCGTCAAATAGTCTATATCCGGCTTTGATTGCCTATGGGATATTAGTATGCTAGCATGTATTTGGTCCGAGTTGATTGTAAGGGATGCTAGATGTGCTGACGCTGTATACTGTATCCGCGGCTGTCTCTTTGGGGACTTTCCATAGGCCGAAGCCTACGAGGGGCATTTCTTTGCCGGAGGCTAGGGTGATGGTTGACTGCGCCATTATTGTAGTTCGTTTTGTTTTCATTGGAAGACTTTCTTGCTATTTAAATACTTTCGAGGTGCTAATGAGGCTGGTGGTTCTAGTTGCCTATTTTGGATGTGGGTCTTGGTACACCCAAAAAAGGCATCGGGTGGCACCGGGGGGCTCAATTTCGGGTGGAACCTGTGGATGTTTGTGTTTCAATAGGCAATCACATTAGAGATACGAGATGTTTCTTCGTGGATGCTTCTTTCACTTCATTTCGTCACTTCATAAATTCTATATTGTACAATTTAGACCTTCTTGGTTTCGAGCTCAATCCTAGTCCCAATGTGACTACTCTCGATACTGACACTATCCTCAGTAGGATGCATCGACAGCGGATGTAGACCCTTGCGCCGAATCTGCGAGCGTGGTGCAATAGCCACTGGAGTGCTCTCGACAACAAAAGAGCGCACCGACTGCTCATCGGCAGACTGTGTGAACACCTCCTCGACTCCCTCAAGAGAACGAGCAACAGTCTCAGGATAAAACGCCCAAACAACAACCATCGCTGCCCAATTGAACGCGGCAAAGCAATAGAAATACTTGGACCCGAGGTTCGTCAGTGCGATAGGCGAGCACTGCAAAAATATAAGGCTAACACTCCAGTTCGTTGCGGTCGCCATGGACGAGCCGCGTGCTCGAATGGGCGTTGGGAAGATCTCACACTGGTAGATCCAGGAGATCATGCCAACAGCCGTGAAGAAAAACGAGAAGACAAAGAACATGGCGATGGCAGCTCGCAGAGCATAAGGGTTGGCGTTGGGATCGCTGAAATCAATGTACCGCGCGAGCGTGGCTTCAATACACAGGGTTGCTCCCATGCCGAGCAGTGACGGGATAAGCAGTTTGCGGCGCCCGACTTTGTCGACGAAAAGCATGAAGACTGTGTTCCAGAACAGCGCTAACGCGGCCCAGAGCCCGATTATCATGAGAGATGTTGATGGTGTAAGGCCTAGCGTTTTGAAGAGCGGCGGGCCGTAGTTAAGGATTACGTTTGTGCCTGAGCACTGGGTGAATACTTGCAAGCCACAGGCTAGCAGGGTCCTGGATCGCCAGCGTGAGGAGAAGAGAAGTTGGCGCCAGGATCGTATGGCGGATTGCTTTGCGGATGCTAGGCTATCTTGAATTTGGGAGAGCTCATGTTCAAGTAGTTGGTGATTGGTTGCGCTTTGGTTGAGATGGAGTCGGGTAAGGACCGAGCGGCCTTCGTCTTCTCTGCCCTTTCCGATAAGCCATCTTGGCGATTCGGGAAGGAATGGGGCGCCACAAGTAAGAATTATCGCTGGGGCGACTGAAAAGGAGAGTGGGAAACGCCAGGCAAAGGCCCCACCTCGAAGAGAACACCCATATCCCACCCATTGCTTGAAACCTGTCAGTTAGATCGTAGTAATAAAATCCCTCACCGCGATTACACTCACAGCAACCACGAACCCCAATCCAATCATCCATTGTTGCATACTAGCTAGCATCCCCCGAATCTGTGGCGGGGCAACCTCGCTCTGGTCCCATGTTAGATAAAGCTTAGCAACTGGACCGTGTCTTGACCTACGCAATAAACGGGAATAGTGGCGGACATCTTCCCGATTGCCAGACCGGCGATACATCGACCAGCGATAAGCATCGCGATATTAACCGCACCTCCCTGGAGACCAGCACCCAGAACGGTGAGAAAGCCCCCAATGAAGAGGACCATCTGGCGGCCATAGTAATCTGAAACATATGGGGCGAGGACAGCGCCCACAATTGCGCCTCCTGGTCACCACGATTAGGTCCGAATCGCGGCAATATCTGACGACGATAGGGTCTCACCGGTATACGAGGAAATAATGACGCCAGTGGCGGCCTCAGACAGAGTTGGAGATCCGAATTGGCGCAGAAAAGCTTCCTGCTCGATGCTAGAAGAGATCATGCCTGAATCATAGCCGAGCAGGAATGATCCCAGCGCGGCAAAGGCGCAGCAGAAGGTGACGAGATAGAAAGTCATAGTGTGTGTTGCGTGGCTCCATAGCCTTTGAAACTTGACATTGGAGGACGAGGCAATCCCTATAAGGTCGAATTAGAGAAAGTCGCGTTGATGTTGCTATACATGCCGATCCACCTTGGGGAAAGCGGGACGTGCCACAGGGGGGCTAATTGGGGATGGAATGCCATGCGGGATGCGAGGGATCGTCAGGTTCGGTTCACGGCTTAAATGGCCATAGGGATTCTAGTCCCGAGCTATTAGGAAGTAGTCAATTTCGAATGTTGACTACAAATGAAATGACATAAAGGGCTGTGGATGAGGCTTATCGTGGACCCTAAATATGGAAGCGATGTCTCACAATGGATTATCGTGTATAGGGTGATAGTTCATTTCAATGTTTGCATTCCCCGTGTCTCGCGTCACAGGGCTGTCAAAGCATTTTGACGTATGCTGCCTTGTTTCGAAGACCCCTCTGCATGGCTGATCCCTTCATGATGACAGCGCAGGGGCATTCAGCCTTGAAAGGGTCCAGGACGGACGGTGTTTGATGTTCCGTACTATATGTACTTTCGTATTTTGTACTTCGTACTCGTATTGCAATATTCATATTGCAAAACAAGGATAGCAACGGGGTACTATATTGATCCGAGATCATAATATTAGGAATCGGAGGAAGATGATTTTGGTTATTAGCTTAGTGATCACCCTTTCGGAGATTATAAGCACTATTTACCTAGGTACCGAGGTATATTGATTCAAGTGGCTAATATCGCAAGGCTAGTAAGGGAGTAGGTGAACACAGCAAGGAGAACCCATAAGACATAGCTATAAGATATACAATATAAGATTCCGAGTCAGTTCAATTTCAAAAGGATGGAAGTAATATAGAGTGATAGTCGGCATATCACCAAAGGCCGAGTCTAGACAAATCAGGCAGTGGAGACCGGGTTAAAAGCCTTAACGAGAGAACGGTTAAATATTCTGATTCTGATTGGTCATACACCAAAAATGCCTCAGTCAGAGGAGAAAATTCTGGAAAATGAAAAGAAAAAATTATTCGCACGGGAGTTTATGTATCGGTGTTGCGCATAGTAAAGCCCCGATATCCACCTATGCAGTCATGGCTGACCCGTGACTAAACTCGTTGGGTGAACTTCCTTGGATTTCAGATTTCATCTTTTGAAATATAAAGGATATTCCATGCTCGTTCCTTTGATTCTTGTACCTTGGGTCATTTTGAAGATGTTTTGAAGATATATTCCAACACACCGCTTTCGGGAATAATCATTTCATCATCGTCGATTATTATCTTCCATCTCACCTCGAGATTACCCCCTCTCAGACCCAACTAGTACACTTCAAATTCTAGCGACTTTTTCAAAGTGGGACTTTCAATCGTGTCAGATTTTGCACATTTATTCACCAGGTTCTTTTATCTTTGACTCTGCTTATCTTGCAAATCAAAAAGAATAGGCCGATCTATGATATTGGGTGAGATAGTGATATTCACCTCGGATCGCCCGCCAAGGCCACCATTTCTCTTTATATGAATCCGTGCACTTTTCGGACCTCAGATATCCAGTCATGGCGACTACGACGAGCCCTCATTCTGGCGAGAATGAGGAGGATCCCGCATCCATGAACGACTTCAAGTATTCCCATGATGACGATCAGCACGACCTTCCTACCCATGATGCCTCCACAGATTCCAAATCACTGCCAACACAAAAGAGACGACGGGTCGGCCGCGCATGCGACGAATGTCGCAGAAAAAAGATCAAGTGCGACGGCAAACAGCCATGCACTCATTGCACAGTCTATAGTTATGGTACGCAGAGCCCTAAGCATTTAATCTTGGGAAAAAGTCCATGTATCCTAACAGTCGTTTTGTAGATTGCTCTTACGACCAACCCTCTAACCGCCGTCGAAATCCCGCCCCGCAATATGTCGAGGCCCTTGAAAATCGCCTCCAAAAAGCTGAAGCGATCCTTCGAAGCGTTCTTCCAAATATCGACCTCGATGATCCGCAACTAGACGTGCATGCGACAGAACAGAAATTCGCAGCAAAATTCGCCGCCGCTCAAAAAGCAAAACAAGCGACCGAGGATGTCAAATCGTCGGGTGTACAAGACACGGCGCAAGAAGTAGGAGACGAAGGACTACTTGAAACCATGGTCGATAATTCGGGCTGCTTGGATCGGGATGACCAGGGCCATTGGGATTATCACGGACACACGTCGGGCGTTCTCTTTGTTCGCCGGCTGCGCAAACAGTTGGGTGCCTCAGAGATTGCGGGCCCCATGGCGCGATCGCGCTCCTCGATAAGCGCCTATATGACGGATAGTCCGAAGTCTATGTCCGAGTCGCCTCAAGATACAACATTACCTCCTACACATGACTTGCCTCCACGGGTGGTTGCTCGCCGCTTGTGTCACAACGCGATCGACCATGCCTGTTCCTTGATGCGATTTGTGCATGAGCCCTCGTTCTTTGCGAGTCTGGAGCGCATCTACGACACTCCCCCGGAGCAATTCACGAACGAAGAGAACTCTTTCTTGCCACTCTTATACATCGTTATTGCCGTCGGCTGCTTGTTCTCCGACGATGGAGCAGGAGAAGGTACCCTAGATGTGTCTGGGTACGAAGGCGCAATAGGTCAAGGGTGCGTCATAGTAAATCTGTATTGATCGATTGCACCGACTAATTTCTTTTGACAGGTTCCAATTTTTTAAGGCTGGTCGGCAACTGCTGGAGATCACCGACTGCCGTGACTTGCCTTCTCTCCAAGCGATCTGTTTCATGGTTCTCTTCCTCCAATCCTCTGCGAAGTTGAGCACATGCTACTCATATGTGGGAATTGCACTTCGTTCAGCACTGCGATTAGGTCTCCATCGTTCTGTTACGGCAGACTTCAACCCCATTGAACGAGAACTTCGAAAGCGCATCTTCTGGGTCGTCCGCAAAATGGACGTCTACGTGAGCACGCTCCTGGGTCTTCCCCAGATGCTGAGTAATGATGATATCGACCAAGAGTACCCAATGTCAGTGGATGGAGAATTTATCACTTCGGAAGGAATTATTCAAGCCCCGTCTGACTATACACCATTGATGGCTGGATGCAATGCACACACTCGTCTTTCCAACATTATTCTGAAGGTGGTGAAATATATCTATCCAGTTAAAAATGCTCGCTATCGCTCCAAGTCAGACCAGCGATACATGGTCAGCCACTCAAAAATTCGGGAAATCGAGCGAGATCTGCAAAATTGGATGGAGGAATTGCCTCCTGCTCTGCGACCAGGCACAGAAGTGTCGCCACAGCTAGAACGGTAAGTCTCTCAAGTCCACATTGCTGATGATTTGAACCTCAATTTGACTAACATTTAACTAGTATCCGGCAATTGCTGCGTATAAGCTATGCCCACGTGCAGATGGTCATGTACCGCCCGTTCCTCCACTACGTTTCTGGTGGTTCTCAAGCGCGTGGCGTAGACAAGCGGTCATATGCCTGTGCGGCAGCTTGCATCAGCGTTTCCCGAAACATTGTCCACATCACGACCGGAATGCAAAAGAGAGGACTACTGAATGGATCCTTCTGGTTCACCATGTATACGACCTATTTCGCCATCCTCTCTTTGATCTTCTTCGTGCTTGAGAATCCGGATTCACCTACAGCCAAAGATGGCGTCCTGAAAGATGCCATGGAGGGCAAAAATACTCTAGCCGGTTTGGCCAAGAAGAGTCTTGCTGCCGACCGGTGCTCTCAGAGCTTGATCGTAAGTTCTTATGCCCTCGATTTGGAATGGCCTTGACTAATCATATTGCAGTGCCTTTTCAAGACATTGCCCGATATGTTGAAAAATCGTCAGAGCTCCAAGACTCCTGTCAACCTCAAGCGTCCCGCGCCATCTAACGCTGCCGAACCTGAGTTGAAGCCTGAGGTGAAGCCTGAGGTGAAGCCTTGCTTTGAGAAAACGCTGCCACATCGGTCAAGCACTTTCCCAGTGCAGATGATGTCCCCGTCGGTTGTTACCGATGACCAGAACCGCCGACAACGAAGTCTGGACAATATCCAGCCTATCAGCAATCGCCCTACTGATATTAACCACCAGTCCACATGGGTTTCGACCACGCCTGAGCTGCTTACAGAAACCATGAGCACTCCGGAACACGTTTCCCCATCTGGAATGACGCCCTCCATGCCCAATCAAGAGCCATCAAGTCTAGCATGGGCTCAACAATTCACCAACCCATCCAATCTCCCAGATCTCATGCCAATGATGTTCCCATCAGACGACCCATTCGCATACCCAACACAGCCCATGTCTACCTTGGAGGACGATCACTTCCGACACGACCCTGCAGCGATGCCATCGCAGTATCCTTTCGATTCAGTACCAGGCATGGGGCCCAGCACATCAAGCGACCCCTCCAGCGCAGGGCTCTCCACTCCAAACTTTGACTTCACAAACCTCTCGAATTTCCCCCTCGCAAATCCCCCGATCAAGTCATCAGTGCCAAGCCACCTCCGCCCCTCCCACTCCCGAACTTCATCTCGCATCCACTCTCCAATCTCACAAAGCCAGACCCCGTCAGAGTCGATCAGCAGTCCAGACCTGGTCTCAATCCCGAACCAGAACTTCGTCTGGCAGGGCTACAATTTCCAGCCCCACGACCCAAACAACATGACAACCGAGTCCGCTCCGCAACAACCAGAGATGTCCGGCCCGAATGGATTGCCTAATTTCAGCATGGGCATGGATCAGAATATGGGCATGGATATGGATTTGGGAATTCCCTTTGATGATCTGTTTGGCAGTAATGCTGCCTATCGACCTGTCAATGGGGCGGAGGATTGGGCTCAGTGGATGAATCCTAATAGCACTTGACCTTGGTCTAGTGTGCCATATTTATTTTCTTCGAATGTTTGCTTTTTACGAGGATATGCTATCATGAAAAACCAAAATCTTGGTGTAAAAACTGTTGATACCTGGTTGGCGTTTTGAATTGGGCCTAGAGTCCCGCCTTTTTTTGTTGCAATTAGCTTTATACATAAATATATACCGTTTTATATATATCACTTGATCTCTTATTTCTATTCGAAGTTCAATCTCTTGATTCAATATAAGTGAAAGCGAGCTAACTGCACCATTTTGGGCGGAAGTACAGCATTAACTATTGTATGCATGTTGAATGGTTGACTGGATCAACCCTTTTTCCGATATCCAACAGCTTTCCCCTCAAATACTTGCGATCTTATACACTAGACATATCAAAAAACTAACCTCGTCTCAACATGTCTTCTGAAATCTTGAAATCAGCATGGAAAGTAATCCCCATGTTTCAGTCACGCTCTATTCCTCTCACGATTCAATTCTACACCGAGAAGCTTGGTTTTGAACTTGCCAGCGTGAAACCTGAAGAGGGCTCTTCCGAGCAGACATTTTGCTCCTTGTTCATTGGCAAAAAAGCAGACGCCAACTTCTACTTCTCCAAAGCAACAGCTGAAGACTTTACCACGTCCCAGGCAATGATTGCCCTAGGCACCTCGCAGTTAGATGACTATTACAATTATCTGAGATGTCTCGAAGATGTTGAGATTGTGGAAGATGTTGAAGATACACCGTGGGGGTTTAGGCAGTTCTCAGTCAAGGATAATGACGGGAATCTCTTGACTTTTTTCAAATTCCTCGAGGGGGGAAATCCCGGGCAAGACTGAGGTACCTTTCAAGTAGTTGGGAAGCAGGAAGGTGAGCATTGAGCTCGTCTCATACTGTCGCCAGTATATTCTGTAGATTTACAGTAAAAATAACTCGAGAATAGCTTCGTTCATTCATCAGTGCCTATTTAGCTACATATATGTAGCTAGCCAATACCAATATCCCCCAAAAGGATCTTGGGGACGGTGCTACTTCCATGGCCCTAAAAGCTACCGTGGACCTTGACATGAGAAGCAGATACCTCGTCCTAGCTAGGTACATTGATCTGCAACGACACCATAAAGAGACCCGGTACATCCGCTTCCATCGGAGGTGCACTGTACGATTCTTGTCAATCATGGGTTCTGTGTACTTACGAATAGACATAACATACCTGTGAATGACGCGGGCAAGCTAATGACACCGGGCCATGGACTCGGCCCCCCTGGGGAGTCAATGTGCAAGATTGAGTAGATGCTGAACATGTCTAATACTATATTAGCAAAATAACCCTATTCAGGATATCGTGTGCTGTCTCTTACACCACCGAGGACCTGCGCCGTTGCGAGAGAGGCTCCGAAGGCCAAGAGGGTCAGGAAGCTCTGATAGAAATGCATGATGGAGATTGAATCTATCTTAGTGGTGATTGCTGATAAATAAATTGTTTTGATTCCTCGATTTAGTTGAAATATCTGTGGTTTATATATTCAGATGTGCATACAAGTGTTCTCTTGGAGGCCTTGTATTACCTTTACTAGGACCATCACAGGGAACCATACTCCGAGATTTGCCCTATCCTCTATCCCTAGTCCTTGCCTCCCTGTCTCTTTGCAAAGTATCGCGCATACCTATCATCTAGATCTGTATCTATGTTCTGTGGATATTCATTTTTCGATGACGTTCATTAAGTGGTGTCCATTTACCCTCGAGCACGAACCACCCCGCTCCATTGCACAAAGCACACGCTTCTAGGATCGTTTGTTCTCAGCGTGTCGGAAATGGTGGAATGGGTGTCAGCATTCCGGAAGCATAGGGATAGCTCTGCGGAGGGTATTTCCTTTTTAGGTAATATAAAGGGAGCGGCGTAAATCCATGGATAGTATCCTATAGCGTAGTGGGCACATTGTTGGCTTGTCAGGCGTCATGTTGTCTGATAGGAAGTACTATATTAGAGGTTTGATAGTCCATGTCATCCATGATAGATTCGATATATATATATATTTCTTCACACCAGATTTGATCAGACTCGTCCAAGTAGTACTTACATAAAGTACATAATGTATACGCGACTTCCGGCAATATATAATATTGATGACATCTGCCCAGGCGTAGGCGTACTTGGAATAGCTAACAGTTTACGGTATTTCAGCATTTCTACCATTCTAGACTCGATTTGTCATTGCTGGAAGAACCTCCCGAGGTTGGAAATTGAATGTTCTTAGCTAATAAATATTTCATAACTAACTAGTTAAATGTCATAAGAATGGCATTATTAATGCCGAGGTCACTGGAATAAAACGACAAATGTATTCATTCATAACTACCTATGTAGGTATCCAACGACCTCGGGATGTTGGATGTCTGACTAAAGATGGCCGAGAGGATGGCCGACGGCCGAGGAGAGCAGATACGTGTGGATCACCTAGATATATAGCCCTCCGTATCCCAAACCGGCTGATTGTTAACAGAGCAGTGGAGATGATAGCCAAGTTTATACTCATGGACAGAAAGTCGAGCTAGGACCGTATATTGTAAGTCCTTTTTGTGGAGATACTATATGCATGGTAGTGGTTTCTGCATCCTTGTGTTATGGTAACCATATATCAAAAGGCAAAGCAAGAACAGGACTAGGATGAGAGCACAAAAGAGAGAGGCAACGAGAATAGTAAGATTAGACCATCTTTACTTATGTATTTTATTATCTTCGGCGATTTTCCGAGTACTTTTGTCTATCCCTGTACCTAGAGAAAAAGTCGCCGAAACGTGGCTTCCCTTCATCCTTCACCACCACAACATTGCTTGACACTTTACATAGTTACCAGCGTAACCCTTCTGTTTCCTCTGTGATCTCTCTCCATCTGCCTCCTACCCCGATCATCATGGCGTCTGGACTAATTTTTGACTACCGTACACTTCTACGGACCGCCCCACTTATAACCTCCACCTGTACACTCTGGTACTCTTTCGACCAGGATTTTTTCCTGAACGTCTTCCTCCACCCCGATCACCGTACCCGCAGCAATGAATTTCTGCCATCCTATTTCCGGGCCTTCTTCGGCTACGGTACCGTGCGCGTGCTAGCCCTCCTCACGCTGACCTTGACGGGAGGCGGATACAATATCTTGACGGAGCGGCGGTCGGCATTGGGTAGCTCAGCTTCCCTACCTTGGTATACTGCTGGCACGATATTGGCCGCTAGCCACCTTCTATTTGTGCCGGCTATTGCGCCTAAGGTCCAGGCTGTGATCGAGGATACATCGAAGGGCTCATCGACGAAGGACCTTGAGGGCTGGCTGACCGTCCACCGTGTGCGTACGTGGACAGTTGATCTGGCTTCGTGGGCTTGTTTTGCAGTTGGCATGTCAATTGTTGAGTGAAGCATTCAAAGGACAAAATTAAATAGAAGTGAATGTGTTATTCGCATAAGAACAGCTGGTTTTGCCTTGGCTCAAATAAACATAAAGTCTGCATGCATACTATACTCTGTAAATATCAAATCAAACATTACATCCTTTAAATTCTTACTGAACGAGCTGCAAGACTCGCAGGTAATTTGTCAATGTTTTGTTAATGAAGTCATATTCATAGCTTCGAGCTAGCCCATAATATGTTCGACCCACATATTTCGAGATTCTCAACATCCGGAACTTCCCTCTCCTTTGCATGGCCGTGCACTACAATACTACAATAGCCTCTCTTGATCATATTCCTCCTCCATTATTGCCCATAGACCTTCATCTCTAATTAGAGACGGATCAATTGTAGCATCCGAAAATATCCCCTCTGGTCGCATGGAGAGCTAACAATCCAAATCTCCCCTTGTACTCTGTACATTTACTTGCCTTGCATACCCCTGTGACTATTTATAGCCAAACCAATGGTGTCACTTCCAAAGTTTTCGACAATCACCTGGGCTCTCTACTTGATCCCAGTGTATATCTTTATCCTCGACCCGCTATTGCGCGAATACTTCCCGAGCCTGCTAGCACCACCTAGTGACATTGACGATGTCTTCGACGAGTCCGGCGCACCAGGACTAGGGATTGACCTCACCGACGACACCTTCATCAGCCCCGAAGATGGCGTACCGTTCAATTGCCCCAGCACAGAGGGCTATCGCGTGCACCTCCTCTCGCGCGAACCGCTAGTCATGTACATCGAAAACTTCATCTCCGAAACCGAAGCAAACCACATCTTAGACACGAGGTAAACCACCAATCTCAACCGCAACCAAACCCCGATAACAACGGATATACACCATAACACAAATAAAATAACCCCAGACTAAGCTAACCTGGAAAAACTTCCCCCGAATCCCAGCGTGAACAAATACACCCCTTCAATTGTCTACGACGGCAAAATTGAACGAGTAGATCCGACAAAGCGCCTCTCCGACCGTGCCCTCCTCGACCGCGACGACACAGTCCGCTGCCTCGAAGATCGCGCCCGCGCCTTCCAGGGCTGGCGTTCAGACCTGTACATCGAGCGCATGTGGGCGCAGCGCTACAATGCTTCCGGTCACTATCGCCACCACTATGACTGGGCTGGGTCGCTTGCGCGGGGAGGGGATCGGTTTAGCACGTTTATGGTATATCTCGATGCGGACTGTGAGGGTGGGGGGACAAATTTTCCGCGATTAAGGATGCCGGCCGGAGAAGGATGGTGTCGATTTTTGGAGTGTGACCAGCGGGGAGTGGATGAGAAGGGGTCAAGCAAGGTGGAGCAGATGGGTGTCACGTTTAAGCCTATTAAGGGTAATGCAGTGTTCTGGGAGAATCTTCGGGGGGATGGAACGGGGTATTCAGAGACTTGGCATGCTGCGTTCCCTGTTACGAAAGGAACGAAGGTTGGGTTGAATGTATGGAGTTGGTACCAGCCAAAGCGGAAGCACCGCTTGGGAAGGTAAGATGGTACTTGCGCACAGAAGCCGAGACATGCACGTGGGTTGCTTTGGGCTTGGCTGGCCAAGCCACCGGCCAAGCCAGTATCCAAGGAGCATCCGGAATGCTTGGACTAAGGCGTTTCGATGACATGTTTGGTACATATATTTGTATATCAGGAGTAGTCTGACATGTGTTAGACCGAGATGTTTTGAAGGGTACAGATGAAATAGACTTAGATAAGATTACTATGTAGACTATATAAGGTGACATGTATATAATATGAATACCTGTGTGGTTGCATGTAAATGCCTCTACAGCGACCCCGGAATTCGAAACCAACCGGCCCATGCATACCGGTCGTAACAAGGGCACTAGGCAACCGTATTAACTAGACGACTTGTCTCACAGCATTATTGTAAAGTTTATATATGTACAAAAGGGATATGAAATTTGGTCATACCAAGAGACCAAGACTTCAAGTCTTGGAGTCTTGGTCTTCGGAGCGGGAATTATTGGCAAGAGGAATCACTTGGCTGCCAAGAAGCATTGTCCATGGGATGTTTCTTGGAAGATTGGCTTGGCGAAATGAGCACGCCACTCCTTGTTTCACAGGGTGTTTATTTTCAGCTTTGTTTAGTTTTTAATTGTTAATATTAGAACATTAAAATTGAACATCCGGGGAGATTGTATACATATGTAAGATGTAAAACGGTTGAATTTCCCTCACTATTAATTTTACCTTGAACTTACGGTATATTTAGCACTAAACTCATTTGGGTATACCGAATGTACCTTGAATTCTCCTATTTAAGCCCCGGAGATATAGGCCAGTTATATACGAAATACGGAGTATCTACTCCGTAACCCCAGGCGTATATAAAATAGTACTAGTATCATAGTATTACTAGTGATATAGTATTACTCCGGAGGTATAATATCATAATATTCAAATGTTTTATATTAAAAATACCGTACTGTACCCTACTGTGCTACGTGTTAGCTCTGGAATGCTCACACACAGCCCCTCGTTCTCCATCGGTCCACCAGTCAAAAGCCATGGCGCCAACGCCTCTCGGGTCTTGGGGCCCGCATCAACTCTTGGCCCGGTCTTGGTCTGTTCGCTTCTCTCCTTGTCTTTCCGCCAGGCTTAGCAAAGCGGTATTTTCTGGGCAAAAGCTCGGCTCCTTTTCCTCTTCTGCGGAGAAGGCCCCATTTTCTCTCACCTATTTCCCCCCCCTTTTTCCTCTCTCTTGGTATACATATAGTGTGTGCACCTCTCATCTCTTATAGTTCGATCTTCTTAGTTTGTTTTCCTTTTCGCTCTCTAGGCTTTCCGCCAACACCAGATTATATTTCTTGGCATCATGACGGAGAACCATACCCCTTCTACTACACAGGCGACATTGCCAGCACCTGTTGCTGAAGCGCCGACTCAAACAACCCCAAATCCCGCCTCAGTAACTGCGACTGCTGCCGCCGCCACTGCAGCGGTGAACAGCCCCTCTATGAACGGCGCCGGCGAACAGTTGCCTTGCCAGTGGGTTGGATGCACTGAAAAGTCGCCCACTGCCGAGTCTCTTTATGTAAGTTTGATCAGTTCCCCAATATCTACATAAATATGCTAATATTCACCGTATAGGAGCATGTTTGTGAACGTCACGTTGGACGTAAAAGCACCAACAACCTCAACCTGACCTGCCAGTGGGGCACTTGCAACACCACAACAGTAAAGCGTGATCATATCACCTCTCACATCCGTGTTCATGTGCCCCTTAAGCCTCACAAATGTGACTTCTGCGGCAAGGCTTTCAAGCGCCCCCAAGATCTGAAGAAGCATGTCAAAACTCACGCAGACGATTCCGAGATTCGCTCCCCCGAACCGGGCATGAAACATCCTGATATGATGTTCCCTCAAAACCCCAAGGGCTACGCTGCCGCCACACATTACTTCGAGAACCCAATCAACGGAATCAATGGCCAATATCCACACGCACCGCCCCCGCAATACTACCAGCCACACCCCCCTCCTCAGGCCCCCAACCCACATTCCTATGGCAATGTATACTACGCCCTGAGCCAAGGACAAGATGGGAACCACCCCTATGACCGTAAGCGCGGATATGACGCGTTGAATGAGTTTTTTGGTGACCTGAAGCGCCGCCAATTCGACCCTAATTCATATACTGCGGTCGGCCAGCGCCTACTGGGCCTGCAGGCTCTTCAGCTTCCCTTCCTCAATGGTCCTGTGCCTGAATACCAGCAAATGCCTGCCTCTGTTGCGGTCGGTGGTGGTGGTGGTGGTGGTGGTGGTTACAGCCCTGGAGGTTCCCAGCCTCCTGGCTACCACCTTCCCCCCATGTCCAATGTTCGGACTAAGAACGATTTGATCAACATCGATCAGTTCCTCGAGCAAATGCAGAACACTATTTACGAAAGCGACGAGAATGTGGCTGCTGCTGGCGTTGCCCAGCCCGGTGCGCATTACGTGCATGGTGGCATGAACTATCGCGCCACCCACTCCCCCCAACTCAGCTCCCGCCAAGCCACGTTACCGCAACTTCAGCCCCCATGTCGGCCCACTCCCCATCGGTCGGCACCCCGGCTCTCACCCCACCTTCCAGTGCGCAGTCATATACTTCTAACCGCTCTCCCATCTCCATGCACCACTCCCACCGCGTGTCGCCTCCTCACGAGAGCGGCCCCGGTATGTACCCCCGCTTGCCGTCGGCCACTGTCGCCGACAGCATGAATGCAGGCTACCCGACCGCCTCAGGTGCTGCACCACCCTCTACTCTGAGCGGCGCGTATGACCACGACGACCGCCGCCGCTACACTGGCGGTACCTTGCAACGCGCCCGGCCGGCCGAGCGTGCTGTCGCCGAGGACCGCATGGACATCTCACAGGATGGCAAGTATGACGGCGAGCGCACTCCCAAGTCCGCTGCTCATATCTCAGAGAGCTTGATTGACCCCGCTCTGTCGGGCACTGATACCGATCACGACGTAGTCAAGCGTACTGCGCAGGCAGCCACTGAAGTTGCCGAGCGGGATGTCAACGTTGCCTGGGTTGAGAAGGTCCGCTTGCTCGAGAACCTGCGTCGTTTAGTTTCGGAACTGCTCGAGGCTGATAGTCTTGCTGCTGGATATTCAGTGCAGTCCTTCTCGGCTTCTCCCACGCCAGGACTTGATGCCATGGAGGGTGTTGAGACTGCCACTCTACGTGCCGCTTCTGAACAGCCCAAGGAAGAGTCTAGCAAGTCAAGTGAGGGAGTCTTCTATCCCACGTTACGTGGCTTAGACGAGGATGAGGATGGAGATTCCAAAATGCCCGAGTAAATTCTTTATCTATTTCCTGCCTTCATTGTGGCTATAGCTTTGATTCACGCCGTGACGACATTTGTTTATTGCTTCTTTTCCGCTCTACACCCCATTTTCTCTCCATAAGGTGTTCTTTGTTCTTTTAAGCTTGTTTTTTTTAATTCTTTGAACGGATAAGGTTTCCATTTCTTTTCTATATTTTTCAGGTTTTCATCTTAAGGGTTGTTCCTGTATGATTATTAGGGCTACTAGTATAACTCCATGTCTGTTTATTTACGGAAAGTGTTGTTTGCGTCTTTGACTCTTTTGGATTTGCATAGAACCTTGGGAACATTGAAATCGAATGTTACCTCCCAGGACTGTTGTCCTTTCAGATCGACATGTCAAACCCAAAGAAGCAAAGTAACATTCCAAGCTAAACCACATCCGGGGATTGACGCAAACGGGCAGATCTCATTTCTAACAAATCTGGGGATCTCTGTATATGAAAGGTAAAACATAATTAAGATATTGAGGTAGGTATATGTGCATGATGCATGGTGTACTCCGTACATAAGATGTAAATCTTCAAATAATTCAAGTTAAAGAAATGGGATAACTACATATGTAGATAGATCAATATAAAATACTATCCAGATGCAGATTCTACACGTTAACAGAAGTTCCACTCTCTCTGCACTCGGAAGCATCCCCAATCCCACGCTGAGCACGTGCTGGTATTGGTATTTCGGTCCGATCTCCGCCTATCGGTGAACTTTCCCTGTATGCATACGCTGTTATGACCACAACTCCAAACTGTTTACGGTCATCCCATCTTCTTTTTCTTTTTTCTACTTGTACGCTTTGTTTTCTCTTTATCTGTCTTTTCTATATTTTCTCTCTCTCTCTTCTTTCTATATATTTTTCTTGTTGTGGTGAACACGTTCTCCACGCGACAAGGCGGTCACCCCAAACAGACGCCATTGCGCGTGTCGATCCACCTAGGGATTATCGATAATAACATCTCCAGCCACACAATATCAACCTTTTCGATTGGGGGGAGTTTTTTGTTGAAAAAAAGAGATCCAGCCTCTTAGACTTGTTTACAGTCTAACTTTCTTTTGCTTTTTTGTTTTCCTTTATTCTGTGGTGGCAAACCCATGCTCTGACATTCTTCGTTCTCTGGTTCTACCTCTGAACGGTCTTCCGATTCTGGGGGCGCTGAAATCCGAATCTAATCTTGGAAGAGTTCCAAGGTTGACTTTGTTTTTTTTTTTTTTAAACTCCGTGTTATTTTGCCCTTTTTGCCTTCGGCTTGCCTCCATATTCCTCTCTAGTGCCCCGCGCTTGTTTGTGGAGTACTTCGACTCGGACTTGATTGCCTACGCAACGGGAAGGGAAAAAATAATCATTTGCGAATCTGCCGATTTCGACTACCAATATATCATACTGGAGAAAGAGGAACGACTTCCATAAGATATGCCGCTTACGAACCGCCGCCGCGCGCGGCGCAAGGAAATTCAACTGCAAGAAACGTCCGATGCAGAGGCTCCGGACTCTTCGCCCACCCGGCCATCCGCAAAGAAGCGCAAGGTGAGTTCAAAAAACAAAACGTTTAGTCCGAGAATATCTCGCGCAAACAGGAGCTAAGACCCATTTTCTTCTGATTTACAGGTTGACCGCCGCGCCTCCCCTCCCCAAAACGTCAAACATGAATCCGGCGACGAAGCCGAGGACTCAGCGGGCGAACAGGAACCCGCTACAAACCAAGACCTGGTCGATCTAGTCATTTCATATTTGAATACACCCCGCGAGGAATTGCGCGTCTCGCGCGACCACTCCAACACCAAGACTGAGAATACACAGCGCATCCAGGCTTATGCTAAGATTGCCGGCCGCAACTGGACCTATTACGTCAAAACCCTACATGTCAATATCGGCCGCGAACCGGACCGCGAACAACGGACCGTTGAACAGTCTAGCCCAGTCACGATTGCGGCTCGTGCGCTGCCAGATGTTCATGTCGATTTGGGCCCCAGCAAATTCGTGTCAAGACTGCATGCCGAGATCTTCTATGATGGCGAGGAAACGCCTGCCTGGCACATCCGTGTTAATGGTCGGAATGGTGTGCGCTTGAACAATGTCATTGTGAAGCGCGGCACTGATGCAATTCTTTCATGCGGCGACATCATCGAGGTGGCCAATACACAAATGATGTTTGTTACACCCGGCGACGAAGCCAATATCCAGCCCTGCTTTATCGAGCGTGCCCAGCGTATTGCTAGCGGACAGGAGCCCGATCCCGCGCTGGTTTCCTGGGATGCTTCGCAGCATGCCCATCCTCAGCCATCGCAGAACAGCGACGCCGCGCCACCATCTTCGTCTGGCGGGCCTTCGTTGGCGCCTGCTCCCAAGTTCCTCAAGCGCCAGGTGACGCCCCCGCCGCGGTCGCCTGATACCGCTGGCCAGCGCACGGCTAAACAGTCCCCGCTTTACAACCGAGGCATGATGATGGAGAGCACGGAGGAGATCGATTATAGCAAGGATTCCGCCAAGGACTTGAAGCCGCCATACAGCTATGCAACGCTCATTGCTCAGGCTATTTTCTCAAGTGAGGAGGAGAAGCTTACATTGAACAGCATTTACAATTGGATCATGGATAAGTACGCTTTCTATCGACACTCCCAAAGCGGCTGGCAAAATTCGATCCGCCACAATCTCTCGCTGAACAAGGCGTTCCAAAAGGTCCCCCGCCGGACCGACGAGCCGGGCAAGGGTATGAAGTGGCAGATCGCAGTAGAGTATCGAGAGGAGTACCGGAAGAAACAGACACGCAAGGGCGGCACGCAGTCATCTGCCCCGTCCTCACCGGCGACAAAGGAGCCACCCTCATCCGCACGCGGGTCCCGCGTTACCAAAATCGACACCTCGTCCTCCGCAACAGCGAAAAAGTCACCACCAGTTTCGTCCCCTGGCTTCAGCTCATTCCCCGTAGCTCCGGTGGAAGCATATACACCAGAGCGTGGTTCCAGGCTTGGTCGAGGCCTCGGCTCCGACCACCCACTGCGACACATGAACCCACGCGACTACGACGAGCCCTCGCCGCTCCCCTCGCGCCATAATCACAACTCCAGCATCTCCACCCAGGTTCAAAACAGCAGCAACAATCTGACCCGCGCATACGGCATGTCCGACAACGTAGCCGGATCCCCGCCAGTCCTCTCCTCATCCTACTACAACGAAGAACCCTCTTCAATGATCACTCCCGCCCCACAACGCCAACAACCCCGTCTCCCGCCCCCAAGCACAGCGCAGATCCCGTCAAAGTTCATGCCCATGAGCTCGCCCGCGCAGTTTTGGAAGTTCGCTGATATCGGGAGTACCCCTGCCCGCCCGCCGCCGGACATGAGTCCTCTGAAGGGCGAGGTCGAGGACCGCATTATCGGCGGGTTCCCGAGTAGCTCTCCCCCGCCGCCGAATCTCGTTAGTCCCAGCAAACCTGGGATGTCGAATGGGCTTGGCTCGGGTCGGACTCTGCCCCCGCTCCAGTCAGATTCAGGGGATATGGGACCTAATGGGAAATCTCATGTGAGGGATGAAGAGCGGGAAGAGGAGGACGACGATACTGGATCAGGGTTTGATCTTGCTAGGTATGTTTTTCTACTTTTTTTTTACCCAATTTCGCGCAGGAGCTAATACTATCTCCAGGGGTTTTGAACCTATCGGGTCATACCATCGTCAACTAGGCAATGCTGCCCGTGCAACTGCTATTTGATGCTGACTGTGATGTACAACATGTCCACTTTACAAATTGTGTCCATGTGTTTTATTACTTGCTTTATGCTTCATGCTTCATTACGAATGGTGTTGGTGGGGTTGGTCATTTTTATACTTGTGTTATGAAGGTCTACTCGATGACATTGTTATTGTTTTTGGGGGCAAAGATTGGAGTTCGAGTTTACGTTCGCTCGGGGGGAGGTTTGTGCACGGCGTTATTTTTTTGTCCTGCTTTGCTTCTCGTTCTAGATGGCCTTAGATGTATAGGGCTTCGATTCAGATGTATTATATCTCACAATATTTTTCAACTGCGGAGAGATCGTACAATTAGAGTTAATCTAGAGTTAGAGTTAATCAGATAAGATTCATCATTCAGCAACAGTCGGCCAAAAATTCTCCTCCAACCAAACAATCTGCCTCCACCACTCTAAACACCTTCCCCGCATAATCTCCAACTCCTCCGCCCCTTTGATCTGCCCCGCCATCTCATCAACAACATCGCCAATCCGATCAACAAATCCCTCAAACTCAACACTCGTCCAATTCTTTATAAACTGCTCCCTCAACGCACCCCCGTCCGCATCCTTCCTATAATCCTTCTCCCCATCCTCAGCCATACACTTAGCTGCAAACCTCCAAGACCGTAGATAACAAATCTCCGTAGCCCACAACACGGCCAACCCCTCCAAAACAGAAACCCCACCACTCCCAGCAGACATAAACATATCAATGTATGCTCTTGTCGTCCGACTCGCACAGAAGAAAATGGTCCCACAGCGCTCACCACTGCCCTGAACCCCAACTTTGCCTTTAACATCCCCACCAACAGCAGCAGGCTCAACGCCCCTTCCAGTTTCATTGAACTGAGGTCCAGGAACACAAACATCCCCGTCAGACGGCATCTGGCACTCCCCCTGACTAAGACACAGGCCGTGGCCAGGAGCACTGCTCGTCTCGTCAGTCGATGCAAGAGAAGCACCTCCGCCCGTGCTCACGTTCCCATTCCCGTTGCCCGGTGTGGGTCCTTCTTCCTCGCCACCTGAAATGCCAGGACAGCTTCCGGAGCCGGAGGTGGATATTCCCGCCGAGGTTGTGATGTCAGTGCCCAAGCCGCAGGAAGTGAGTGCACAGCCTCCTTCTTCCGCAGAGATGGCTGTTAGATCGAGGGAGTAGTCATTTGCAGTTTTTTCAAAGAAGGCGAGTTCTGCGCGGATGTTGACTAGGGCATCGATGAGGACGTTTATGGCGTTGAATTCTGGCGTTTGGAGGTGCGGGCCTGTTGAGGTTGGGTTTTGGGTTGGGAGGCGGATTTTTGAGAGGAGGAGGCCTATGAACCGGACGTAGGATTGGGCGTATAGTCGGTCTTGGGAGAGCCATTGGCTTAATTGGGATTTTGGGAGGGTGCCGCGGCCTGCGGAGGCGAGGAAGGGGTGGGTTGTTGCGCGTTTGAGCGCATTGGGGGTGCTTGCTAGCAGGTAGGCTGTTAGAGGGCCTTGGCTAGTCATTTTTTTCCTTTTTTGTTTTTGGGGTTGTTGTTTGTTGGAGGGGAAGGTTGAAGATTAAGATTGTGGGATAGGGGCGATAGTGGGATGAACATAGTATGTCGTCAGTAGGACATAACTAACATCCGGGGTATATCATTCCACGGTTACTTTTTGCAATCGTTTCTTGCGTATATATATCACTTACAAACAATAGCGAAAATTGATATCAGATCAGCGGAGATTTCATTCAGTTCAGACTATGAAAAGCTAAAACTAGCCATACATCCTTTTTTTTTTTGATATTTTCAACATTTTCGATCTCACGCATTGTGTTCGAATTGAAACAACTTCATACCTCACTCTGGGCCCATTCATCCGTTCAAGGGCATCCGACGAGATATGCTCAAACGATTCTCATAAGTGACTTCCAGGCTCAGGTCGCACTGTCACACCTACTTTCGTGGGGTGGGAATCGTTGCAGTTGGACACTGGTCTTAATGACTCCAAACGGGGCCTTCGCCAGCGTCGTCAGTGTTGTCATTGACTTCTTCACACATCGCAGACATGGATTTAACCATGGATTCAAACTTGAGTTCATCGCGCTTATCCTTGCATTGATCCTTGGGATTGGTCGTGACATCGGGCATATCCTTATGCTCGCCACTGCATTCCTCACTGCGTTTAACATTGGGCTCCACAATACTGACTTCAGGGCTCTCGTATCCCCATGGCCTCTCACCAGCTACTCTCAGCATCAATCGCACAAGAGCATGCAAGGTGTAGTACGCATCATTTCCCGCGTTGTGCAAGTCGAAACTCAAGATATTCAGCAATCCCAGCAGTGCTCGAAGGCCTCGCTTCTGGGTTTCACCCGCCTCAACACGGTACAGCTCTGCCACGTCGATGGTCTCACGAATGACTGAAGAGGTTCCGTTCAGATCGAGGAAAACCCGGCTTCCTGCTTCCTGGAGATGCGTGATATCACCATGGAGATCGAGACCGACGAGGATTACATTGCGCTTCTGATTCTTGTATTGGGGGACGTGTTCTTCCTTCAAGGGAACCATGTATGGGGGACGAAACGCAGCGTCCACAACGTTTGAAATCTGAGCACTTGGAATAAACTCGCTTTCACCGAATCGAAATCTACCAGGACATCCTTGGATGTAATCGTTGTTGACCCAGTTTCGGTACTCCTTCACACGCAGATGGCGGGAACGAATTCTGCGCAGCCACATATGTCCATAATCGCCAGGAACCACGCCTTGCAAATCCAACATATCCAGGGTCGAAATTCCGACCTCAGTCAGAGGGCCGTTCATAATGTCCATCCATTCGAGATCAATGCAGATGAAAATGGGGGCGTCTTGAAAAGCCCATTTGGCAGGTTTCAGAACATCAATCGCTTCAATCTCACGATTGGCAAACGATAGCTGTGGAACATTCGGCTGCCACGCAGGACGCAGACCAAAGTAGGCTTGCGCACGACCTAGGCACTCCAACCACTTCTTCGTTTGGACCTCTCGGATCGCTTTCTTGTTGTTGTTCTTTTTAACTTTGGCTGAGGCAACTGACAGCTTGACGTTCTTTTCAAATTCCTCAAAAACATGGGGCTCGACTAGCTGTACCCATGGTCCCCAGTTCTCCAGAGGCGAGGGAACACGATTCTCCAATTTAGCCTTCCGATCACTGGTGCTGCTTCGGCCAAGGTACACAGGTTGTGGCAGTTTCCCATTATTGATGTCGATCACGAGGCCTTCCTTGTCAACGCCCGTGAGAGTCAAATTGAGGTTCAGAGCCGAGTTGATTTCATCAAGCAGTGCTTGAGCTTGGAAAGTGGGAATCAGAAGAAATGGGACTTTGGAAATTGTCATTGGGACCGACAGGTAATACCTAGGTGAGTATTAGCGACGATATACTTTGCTAATTAGTTTTAGATTTCACAAACAAATCCCAGGTTCGATTCCAGAACTTATCGCCCTCATAGAACCGCTCATTGACTCTCAAGCAATTGTCTCCATGAAGATACTTGAATGGGAAGCGAGCCATAGTGACTGCCGGACTAAACGACGACGTAACCTGGATCGCAGTGACCGGCTCCTCGTCGGAATTCATGTCGAAATCACCGCCGCGCTCATCTTTGACCACGTCCGAGAGCTCAACGCGAATCTTCGGAGCACGACGGGGGTTGCGATCATCCTGGTTCTGGGTCAAATGATTGTCTTCCGAGTCAAATAGCTCTCCAACAACATATGAACGGATGTACGACAAAGGAAATCCGGGCTCCGGAGGGTATTTCATACCATGCTCCGGTTCAAAATCAACGGGGAGAGCATAACCACTTACGCCTTGCTTAGCTTTCTTGGTCTCGGCAACAGGATCAGCTCCATCCGCCTCACGGGCAGGTCGAACGGCTGCACCATCGCTCAGGTGGGTGTTCAAATATCGGAGACTCTCGTCTCCTTGAAGGAGCAAATCCAGACGCTGACGAGCATTCATTTTGAAACCAAGACAAAGGCTTAGCAAAACGGGGAAGTGTGAGACGAAGAAGAAGAAAAAAGAAAGGAAAGTAGCAAATAAATAAAATAAACAAACGCGCGAGGAAACGCACGCTGTGCTTTAAGATTGGAAAGTGCTCAACTAAGCAAAAACGACCGATTCAGGAAGGAGCGGTGTCTGTTACGAAGTTGGTCGTGGCTTCCTTAATAAAGTGGTAGTTGATATTGATGATGGATGTTGACAATAGATGTTCAGAAGATCTTTGACAATTCAATTGTGACAAATTCATAGTATATGAGTGTATTCAAAATCAATTTACCTCTCTGTGTCCTCTTTCTTCTCTTTCTTCTCTTTCTCTCTAATAGGGTGTCATACATGATAATGCTATACAGTTGATGCTGTCCGATGATTGACAAGGATATCAGTAGGGGATTGCTTTATCAAGTTTTATGTCTGAATAATTCTACCAGGAATAAACACCTCGAGCTGTAGTTTGACTTTCAAAAGCCAAATGAAACTGAATTACTTATCAAATTCAAAAACCAAGGCGGATTATAGATATGACCCTTGAATTTCAGGTGTAGACTCGTCATATAGTTAGTTATACAAAGTATGTAGTGATAGAAAAATCGAGACAGAGCAAAATATTCATTGGACTGACCTTGCTAGGTCTTCGCAATGGCGAGATGCCCATGGGATTGATCATATTATATACATACATACATATATATCTATACGTATTGATTACAGACAAATTTATATGCCGACTTCGTGATAACTGCCCAGGTGGGTTTGTTGTACTCCGTATGGAGTATGTATATATTCACGTGACTGAGAGCTCCCCGGACGGGTATCGGAATAACTATCATCCGTTGTTTAGGGACCTCGTGCAGCAAGTCACCCAGTTCCATCTGTTATTTGACGCCTAGACCCCTCGATGTCCGCATTTATCATTGCAGAATCGAGGTGAATTTGGCGTGTCTCAATATCGCTTGCAACTTCAAGGCGCAAACCCCCTGTCCACAAGCTATCAACATCCACCACCGTCTAGAACATGCCTATGACCGACGAGACCGACGACAGCGGAGGGGTTATCCTAGATGGCCCCTTCGATCCTGACGCGCAGGCTACAGTCACAGACTTTATTGACTACACCGAATACCTCCCCGCAGACCTAATCCGCTCTTTGACCCTCATCCGCGGCCTCGATGAACGATACCTTGACTCGGCGCAAGCGGTGCACCAACTCACTCAGATCTACGGCCAGCTTCCAGACCTTCCTCCAGATGACCGACCGGGCGCAATTGCACTGCGCAAAGATATATCTTCTCAGGTCGATCGTGCCATCAATGCGCGTGAATCGGCATATGCCGAGGCCTGTCGCCTCTACGATGTTGTAGATCGCCACTTCGATCGATTAGGCTGCATCCGCCAGAAACTCGAAGCGCTGCCGAAACCTGCCTCGGCAGAACCATCGCCCCCACCCGAGCCTACACCGAAGCGTGCACGCGGAGGCAAGAAGATCAACAAGGATGCCACGACGCGTATCACCCTTCGGTTGGATAATAATCGCAATCGGCGGGATAAGAATAGGAGGCGTGTGCTGGGTGCTGACGGAGCTTTTGATCCAGACTCTCCGCTTGCCAGTACTGAGCAGTCGGACTTGGAGAGCGAACTCATTAAATCTGCTCCCAAGCCCGCTCGACCGCCAAAGAAGGAGAAAGCACGTCGCCTGAGCTCGGGTATCGGACAGTCGACGGCCCAGGCTCTTGCGCAGTTGAAACCGCCGCCGGCTGATGCGAAATTGGGCAGCGAGGACCTGCCATGGCTGCGGTTGACGGAATGGGAGATGACCAGGCTGCGGAAGAAGATGAAAAAGAATGCCGTGTGGCAGCCGAGTGAAGTAATGATTCACCGTGAGCTGGCCCTGGCAAACCGCGGCTGGGAAGCGTACCGTGCAGCGAAGGCCCTGGCAGAAGAGAACGGTGGGGAGTTCATTGACTGTGATAATATTGAGGAAACTCGACGCGGGGAGGCTGCTAAAGATCTGGAGGAGACGAAGCTGAGCAATCGCGGAATGAAACTAAACGAAGCAAAGAAGTTGAAGCGCGAACAGTTGGCCCGTGAGCAAGCATTGATGGAAGGCGAAGGTGGTGTCGTGCTCAAGCCTTTGCCAAGCCCCGCCCAAGCACCCCCAGCCGCAAATCGATCATCACGGAAGAGGAAACGAGAAGAGGGCATTGTGGAAGCAACAGAACTTGTTGCTCCTGAGCATCCCAAACCAACGCCAGTTGCTGCCCCGGTCGTACCGCCCGCCCCTATCCCTGCGCCCTCTTCCAGGGCTGGCGCGTCTCGACGCAGATCCAGCCGAGGAGCCGTTCCACCCGTAGAAACTAACAACGAGCTCAATCTCCCAATCATCAAAACCCACATGTCTCCTGCAGTTGAGGCCAAAATCTCCCCTCCTCTTCCCAGCCCCACAGGCTCCGGACAATCCAACCGATCCCTTGCCCAACCTGTCACTACCACTACACCCACACCGCCTGTCACCCGGCCTTCATCGCGGCGCTCTGCAGCTGCCGCCTCAATCGAAGGAGGGGCCCTCAATAGTATCCCGACCGCAATAGCAGAAAGTGGACGCGATCGCCGCATCAAAAGCGCAACCCCTGCGCACAAAACACCCATCCGCGAGTCGTCACATGCACCCAGTGTTCCCGGCCCGGCCCGCCGGCGCAAGCGTCCGGCACCAGGTCCGATTTCTACTGGTCAGGATGGCGGCGCAGCAGTAAGCTACGGGCGCCGCAAAGCCAAGCCAGGAAAGAAGCGCCTCAGCATCCGCGACTCCCAGGATGTCCGTGTAGACGAAGATGGCGTCCTCGAGCAGATCGACGCCAATGAGCCCCGATACTGTCTCTGTGGAGATGTTAGTTTTGGAACGATGATCTGCTGCGAGAATCAGGATGTAAGCTATTTCTATTATGACACATTTCAACAGAATACTGATATCCTAATGCAGTGTGACCGCGAATGGTTCCATCTCAGCTGCGTGGGTCTGACTGAAGTCCCCTCCCGCACGGCTAAGTGGTACTGCCCCCAGTGCCGTGTCAAGCTGCACAAGGGTGAGGATGGGATCATCAAGGGGGGATCGCGACGTTAATTGGATTTGAATGATGTTTCTTGCATGATACCACGAGATGCGATTGCTGCTATTTTTCTTTTTCCTATCCTTGTACGGAGTACTGCCATATGGCCTTCTGGGTTTCCACCTTTTTCTCTCATATGTTTATCAACCTTGGAATTAGTATCTCCAACCGTGGGACGCGCTTCCGGGGCTAAACCCGGAAAATGAGAATATAACTTGACTCTGAGCTCCTCATACTTTGGTTTGTCCTCAGCCATATAGCAGTATAAATCGGCCGTTATGAATCAACTCTAGGTATACTTCCAGCGTAATTTCTGTCGACATGAGTCACCAAACACAGACCAAAATCTCCTTGGACGAGCGATATAAGAAGCTAAGCGATGAGGTGACCGCCGTTAAAAGGCGGCATCGAGCTCGCGGCTCATTTTACGATCCATTCTGGGACCGAGACTTTGAAGTCGAACGCATCGAACTAAAAAGGTTGAGACTTAGACGACTGATATCTCTCCGGGATTTTCCTATGGAAAACCCCAAGTGGGAGAAGACCACTGAAGCGCAGATCTTGCTTGAACAACTCAAGGCCCAAGAGGCACACTATAACTGCCTTAAGCAGCTCGTTTGAAACTCGCTGGAACTGAACCAAAACTGTAAACCGACCTTGGGAGAGAGTTATTGTCCTGAATGTCAGAAAATAGGAAGGCATACAATATGGATTTGGATCAAATGACTATGTATATACCTGAAACCTGAAAGTGTGCTATCTTCATATCGCTTAGCTATTATAACCACACTATTCGCTTGCATATAGAGGTCATTATTGATTTCATTCGCAAGGAATAAAAACTGGAATATAGAAAAAAAGCCCAAAGGAGTTCAGGAAAAATAGTACCTGCTTCTGATATAAAAACTAGCCCTTTGGCCTGTAAGGCTTATAAGGCGACACCCCTTCACTGCGCTCCTCTGGACTTTCTTCCATAGCAGGCAGTTCACTATAGCCCTTATCCAGCCGTGATGATTTCGAATATCGACTAGTATCCGGCAATTCTTGATATTTATCAGATGTGGGTTGTGAATGATAGAAATCCGCCGGCAATTCCACAGCAAAGTTTTTACTGTGTTCCTGTCCATATTGCAGCGGAGACGTATACCCAGGAGACATCGATCCCAACTGCACCGAACCCGTCGGCGATCTCGGTACCCGAGATGACGACGACGACCTCGACATTTGATCCGACTGTATCTGTGACGACTGCGATGGCTGTCTTATAATCCTGCTCGATCGATCGGCCGGATTATAGGTCGTCAATTTTCCATCCTCCATCATAGCCTGCAACACACCCGCATCAAGAAGCTCGGCTTTCTTAATCAGACGATCTACCAGTACCTTCGAAGCAGCCTTTAACTGAGTCTTGACAAAAGAACTTAGGGTGCGGTTACACTCGATCTCGATATCCTCGCGCAGATAGAGTCCAGTTTGCGGAGCGCCGTCTGCGAACCGTTTCTGTAATTCCGGTGGCTCATCGCGCTGGTTGCCTGCGATGCGCCATTTGCTTTTGAGGTCGATTCCCATGGGCGCATACATATGGGTTTCTAGCCCCCATGCGACGTTGTGGAAACAGCCGTTGAAGCTGATCTTGCCAGACCCCATCTTGCCTAGGCCCGGAACGTATTGCACTCGTTCCGTTATCTCGTACCATGTCGAGTAGTACTCGTCGGCAACGGCATCCCGTGGGGCCCTGATCGGCTGATGTGTGAGGACAAGTGGGTTCAGTGTGATTATTTCGCTATGACTGTGTAGGATGTCGAGGGCTAGTTGGCGGGGGACAGATGAGGGGATGGGCGTGATATTGGTATAAACCTCTTTTCGGCGCATCATTTTGAATGATTTGGTTTGATAGATACAAACAGCTGCAAAGGGGAAAAGATAAGCCTAAAATTGCAAGGCTGGATTGAAGTTGGGCTCGTATTAAACCTAGGCGTCTGCTTACTATTTTAAAGTTGCGGCGTCGCCGCTATCAGGGCTAGGACTTGCACATGACATTATGGTTTTGGGGGCCAAATAAGTTATATAGAGCCTTTTGACAACAGTACACTTCTCATTGATATAACATGGATCCATTTACATCGTATTTACTTCAGCTCCCACTTGTCGCCATCAGAGATAATCTCCACAGTTCGCTTCTCATCCAGAGACTTGCGTCCTGCATCGAGGATTGCTGTTGTGGCGATGGTATTGCGCAGAGTGGGCAGAGGGCGGGCGTCCAGTTGGTCGAGGGTAACACGGCCCTCGTTTACAGCTGTGACGGCATCGATGAACTTCTCGAAGCTGATGTAGCCGTATCCAGTCTGTCCGCTGAAGTTTCCTTCTTCGTCGGGAGCGTAGCGCATATAGAATCTAGTATATCGAGTCAGCATGGAATCATGATGCAACATTATCCCGAGAGTACGGCTCTTACGGGTTATAATGAATTAGACCCTGCTCGTCGCCAGTCACTTCATAGCCACGCTTGGCCTGGTTAACGCGAATCTCGCCGTTGGCAGCCATATCTGTTCCAATGTGTTAGAAGAGGTCTGTTTATACACTGTCGCTGGAGAATGAAATAACATACAGTGGAAGTACTGGTTGGAGTGAACACCCGCATTTTGAGGTGCCGTCCAGCTAGCAGTATAGACACCGGTGGCAATCTTCGCCGGGTTATCACGGCGGCGCCACTCCACCAAGAGGGTGATGGTGTCCTCAGTCTCGGGGACACATCCAAGCGCAGCAGCGGTACCCTGAGATGCAGTCGCTGTGACCCGCACAGGCTTGTATTCTGGGACCATGCTCTCGCAGACATCAATGTGGTGAGAGTTAAGGTAGTAAGAAATATCGGAATCACGACCAGCCCACGCCTTGAAGGTCTCAAGCTGGCTCTTAGGCTGACTCATGTAACTGTAAAAGTAGTTGAAGTCACCGAGGGTCTTTGCCTTAGCCCGGGCATCAGAGTATGCAGGGTCAAAGCGCTTGTGGTGCTCAATGAAGACGAAGACCCCGTTCTTGCGCGCGGCCTCAACTAGAGCTAGGTGGTCTCCTAGCCGCTGGGTTGCGGGCTTGGTGATAAGCACATGGATACCTCGCTCAATTGCGTACAGCGCAATAGGATAGTGGGTAGAATCGGGGGTGAAGATGGTGATGGCGGATCCCTTAGGGAGGGCATCAATTGCGGTCTTGTATGCATCGGGGTCGGTCTGGTCGTCCGCGGGGTATGAGGTGAACGAGATATCGAGGTTGTTGTAGACTTGAGAGATGTTACGGTGCAAGTGGTCACCTATTCTCGTGATTAGCTTCCTGTTTGCTTGCTTGCTCTTTCCTTCTTTTGCTGAACTTACGGATACCGGGGAACTTCTTGCCCGACACGCCCACCATGCTCAAGGCGCCCACCTTGCCGCGCCGGCGCAGGTCAAATAGACTGAGGCCCACCACACCGACCTTCTTGTCTGAGCCAGACGCACCACCACCGACGAAGCCGGTGGTGTATTCACCAGTGCCAACCTGCAAGTGAGTTAGCTTGGTATCTACTGTGGAGAATCATTGTCCATACCATTAAAACGCTAGGAGGAGCCATGATGTCTGTTAATTCTGATATAGTGATTGAATTCCGAGGGATTTCTGGGGATTCCTGGGGAACTAAAGGAAATTTAAAACAATTTACAGAAAATCGGGGTGTTGAATTGCTGGATATAATTCTTCCGGCGTTTGAAATGCCAATTCAATAGCCGTATCTTATCGGGTCATGGGATTTTGACACCATCCCGAGGTCTGATTTCTTTTTTTTGCTCAACCACATTCTTTTTTTCCAGGTAGAGAGATTCAGATGCGTATACACTGTTGCGCTTTATGTTCACGATTTTCAATTGTCAATTTATCAAATACCAGATTCATGTATGGCCTCGTCAACGCTACCACCGGCTGAACTGCGCGTTTATCCGTCTTTTTACCCCTCATGTCCCCCACAGTTTTGCGCTTGGAGCTGATTGGTGGAATATAATCCTCCGCCATACAAAGTCCCTCGGAGCATTCGCCGACGTGGGGGAGGGGAGAAGTATGCCTAAAGGGAGTTCATAAGAATGCCCGGCTGCCAAGTGCCAATGATGTTTTAATAATTGCTATATACCCTTCAAATTCCAAGTAGGTCATTATTTTTTTCAACATCAGTAAATATCAGTGAAACAGCAACTGACAGGAATACTAGAATCATGTCTCTCACCCCACTTCGCCCCGGCGTTTATGCGCCGACAATGACGTTCTTCGATGCCCAGACCGAAGAGCTCGATATTGCCTCCATTCGCCGACACGCTGTGCGCCTGGCAAAAGCCGGCCTTGTCGGCCTGGTTACTATGGGCTCAAACGGCGAGGCCGTGCATCTCAGCCGCGCAGAGCGCATGACCGTCACCCGGGAGACCCGGTCTGCTCTCGATGAAGCTGGCTTCTCCAATGTGCCCGTCATCGCCGGTGCCAGCGAGAACAGCATCCGCGGAACCATCGACCTTTGCAAGGAGGTCGCGGCTTCTGGCGGCGAGTACGTTCTGATCGTGCCCCCTAGCTACTACCGCGCCGCTATGGGCAACGATGAAACCCTATACGAATACTTCACATCCGTTGCCGACGGCTCCCCTGTCCCTATTATCCTTTACAACTACCCCGGTGCCGTCGCTGGCATCGATATGGACTCCGACCTCATCATCCGCATTTCCGAACACCCTAACATCGTTGGCACAAAGTTCACTTGTGCCAATACCGGCAAGCTGACTCGTGTCGCTACCGCTCTCGGCGCCATCACCCCCTCCTCCCCCTTGGCTCCTGCCCAACGTACCGCAGAGATCTCCAAGCCCAACGCCAAGCACCCATACGTTGCTTTCGGCGGTATTGCCGACTTCAGTTTGCAGACCCTCGTATCTGGCGGCTCTGCCATCCTTGCCGGTGGTGCCAACGTTCTTCCCCGCCTGTGTGTCCGCATCTTCACTCTCTGGTCCGAGGGCCGTCTTACCGAGGCTATTGAGGCCCAGCAGCAACTCAGTGCTGCCGACTGGGTTCTCACAAAGGCTTCCATTCCTGGCACCAAGGGTGCTATTCAGTCATACTACGGCTACGGCGGGTTCCCTCGCCGACCTCTCAACCGTCTTACTGATGCTCAGTACCAGGCCGTTGCTGACAAGATCAAGTCTGCTATGGATGTGGAATTGAGCTTGCCTGATGTGGCATAAGGGCTTAGAAATACAACAAATAGCTACATCTAAAGCTTAGTAAAATAATTCCAATGCATATATCAAGTTTCATGACCTCATAAGTTCGCACCGTTCGTTGACATCGTATGCGCCATCACACAGAAGCTTTAATCACTCCAGCCCACTTAGACCAATTCCATGGGACTGCGTTTTGAATGATCCTGTCTAGGTACTTCGTTCAAGATTATAATGTGTGGCTACCTGAGGCAGATATCGTAGCCTGAGGCGACATACAACGCAACAGCTGCATCATTCAAGTTTCCCGCTTTAAATTCTTCTAATGTTGGAAGCTTAACTAATTTCCTAATCTGGCATAAATCAATAAAATATACTTTGTTCCTAGTTCCACCGCGGAGTACGTCCACTGGGATAGTAAAGCCTACTAGTACAGTACTAGTAGCTGGCCTTGGAAGGAAACGGTCCACTGTTTAGGGCTTAGTAGGTTAAATTCACCTTGCCCAATTAGCCTTGCCTAGGTGACTATTTATTTACCTTCTCCCTCTCCTCTTCTCAACTACCTAAATATTATAACTACATATACACTCTACTTCTTCTTATTACTAGCCATATATTCCAACTCCCCATGTGTGATACTACCGTATATACGGGTTGTTCAATATTTCTACCTCGGGCAATCCACCAAAATGGACGATACCCCCATAAATAAAATCCCTCAAACTTGGTGTTTTATACTGAGGTGCCAGATACTTGAACTCATGCTTGCATCTATGAAGGAAATAACAACGTCTTTTATCCCACAGCAGCGTCTACAGCTTCTCCGGATTGACCTCAATCATCTAGATATTACTTCTGGTATAACTTCTCCTTCTGTTACGCGTTATTTCATGCCGCGAAGAAATACACCGAAGATAGATAAGATACGTGCAGATCCAAGCTGGGACTGGTTTCTATCTCAAAAAGGTATCTACGGCAAGGGAACTCTCAGTGCAAACTATCTACTTCGGCGTGTGTTCACGGACTACCAGGACTGGAGTATTCCAGAATTTTGTCTACATGAGCTGGATGAAGCAAAAAGCCAAGAAAAAGAGAATGATGAGAATTCTATTTTCCAATCGGCTCACCTTGGGAACACTAAAGATGACAAGATAAGCGATGGAGAGGACAACCCGAATAATATGGAAGCTAGCTTGAGTGAGGAAATAGACAGTGACAATGCCAAAGAAGGGAAAATTATGGATCCCCAAAAGCATGGTGAGAGTGATGAAGAGGACGACAAGAGCGAAGAGAGCATTGACGAGAGCTGCGAACGAAATGATGAAAGTAACGAGAAAGGCGAGAAGAATGAAATGGGGATTGTGAATGCTTTGGATCTGGATATCCGCAATTACCAGACGGATGACTGGAAAGTCTACTGGTAAATGGCACATTCTTATTCCCGGGGGAATGTGAAACTTGTATTATTCAGGCTGATCAATTTCATCCAGGTACCAAAGACTATACAATATTGATCTCCCCGACAAGAAACACGGAATCAGTATCGCCAGGTCAATGGAGCTAAATAACCCGCTCAACTGCCATGCGTGGGCTCTGGTAGATGTGACCTTATGCGGTCGTGATCGCCCCTCGGCTGCTGAACTCATAGCCTTAGTTAGCTGGGGGTTGAGAGGCATGTTTTGTCAAATAGAATCGCTCACCAACGGAACTCAGCCAGAGCATCTCAGTGAAGTTTTCCCAGTACGTTCGATGTACCCCTAACTCTATATCTTGTGTGAACAATGTCTTACTAATATCTTGCGAGATATATAGACCATGATTATAGTGTTCGACCAACAATGCTGTGCCCGTGTACTATATGGTTACTTTGATGGTAGATTTCAAGTCCAATTTACCCCGGTCTTGAATTTTAAAGAATTTACCGAAGTCAGATCGTCAACCTTGAATGGTTATATGGATCAAATTGACAAGAAAAAATACTACGACATGATGCACTCACTGCTTCGTTGGGCATGGCCTCTCGGCCATCATCTCACTACTATCGCTCGGCCCTAAGACCACAATAATTCTGGCTACGCGGGGAAGCTTAATTGAGCTCCGCAGTCCCGTATAGCTTTGATTGGCTTGGTTATATTGCTGAGTTCCCTTGGTGTCTCTGAGGGGCATTTGATCTTGATTTGTGGGGGGAATTCTTTATCTAGTTATATCGACTTTATTACATACAAACTACATAGGTAGTATGTATGTCTTGCCAGATGAAGAATTCCATGGTAGTTCCTAAAGTTGCAGATCTACTTGCTTGCCTTTGATAATCAATTTGATCAGTAGTAGTAAAGATGGTACATGTTCGCCGATTATGAGTACAACATCTGCTGCTTGGATTGTCAATAAAGGCACATGACCTTTGGTTTTGATGTGCTCTGGATTATTTTTTAAATCCAGATGGTAATTAAAGTACGAAGATAAAGTTCCGAGTGACCAGCCAATATTTGTGCCTCACTAACGTGGACCCCGGAGGCCGGGGCCAGGGGCCAGTGAAACCTGGGTGGCTTATCTGTTCTTCATTCATCATCCCATTAGATTTTGTCAGAAAGGAGCAAGCAGCAAAATATGGCCATATCAAATGAAAAAGCTTATTCCCTTGACTGATGTGACAGGGTTCCTCAGGTTTCAAAGGCGGTTAGATACCCTCAATACCGGATCTCGAGTACGATGTGCATGCAGTCCGCAGTGTGAAGAGGGGGGATGTTCTCCTGTCCAAAGTAGCATTGTAATCGCTACTGCAAACCCCAGATAACCAAGAGCCGCTAGTGAATATTCCCATAGTACTAGATCTGGTCACTCCAGGTGCCTTCTCTGAAGATATACTCAACTCAAGCTACGCGATCCACGCAGCGCCACCGTTCCGATTTACTCAGCCATACATTGTGATCGTGACGGTGCTTATTTCTATCGTCCTCGACTGTGGCTGCTGATCCCTTCAATGTTGACATACCTAGACCACACCCATGTAAATTCGCAGCCCTAAACCGAAGCCCTAATATCATCCCACTTCTTATCTTGGATAAGGCCAAATCGGCCCCCGCAAGCTCATAGGTGGAAAAATTACTAAATCGGAGTTGATACGAGAACCCGTCCACTTGTGAACGACCTAGCATTATCAGCTACGTAGCATGGATGTTATTAGAATCTTGCCCCACCAAATAAAGCAAACCACCCCACGCTGCTCCAGACCATTTGATCCCTTTCAGCGTATTCGTCTCTCGGGCGATATCGAAACCCGAGCCCTGCACTCTGATTTCCCTCGGTTGTCAGTTTGCCCCGTGGAGCGGGTCCACGGGACAATGTCCGACTGGAGGGAAACAGCAGTATAATGTAGCAATGCCACGATGGATTTGGATACTATATCCCGCGAAGGAAGAACAGGGAATGTTTCACGATCCCCGCTCGCAAGGGTCTAAATTTTAGTGGCGTTGATATACTCCCTCCACCCCGCTTGTCTCTTGGTTTCTACTTTTCTTTTCTTAATTTTTTTTGGCTCTCTCGTATATACTCCTTTGTTGTATCCCGGAGAATAGTCATTGACAAAGACTTCTTTGAAATTAATCATTCATTCCTATCACAATGCCCTACCCCGAAGAAGCTGAGGGCTTCCAGGTCGATGGACCTAATAGCTTTACTGAGTTCCACAAGCGCCACGTATGTGCTCTTTTCCATGTTCTGGCTAGGATATGCGCTTACCTAGATTGTGATGAATAGTTCAAGCTGAAGCCTTTCGGTGACTATGGTGAGTTAGGCTGCGCCACTATGCTTCTTCCCAATTCTAACCCAGTATAGATGTCGACGTTAAGATTGAGGCTTGTGGTATCTGCGGCAGTGATGTGCACACTATCAGCGGTATGTTATCCCATTGGAATATCATGTAGAAACACTGGCTAATGCATTCCTATAGGAGGATGGGGCGCGCAAAAGTTCCCCCTGTGCGTGGGTCACGGTACGAATTTCGCAAGAGAAAAACAAAAGCTAGTGCCAGATTCTAATAACCATTTTAGAGATCGTTGGTCGGGCAATCCGTGTTGGACCTAAGGTCACCCTGATTAAGGAGGGTGAACGCGTTGGAGTTGGCGCTCAGTCCTACTCCTGCGGCAAGTGCAAGCAGTGCCGCAACGACAACGAGACATACTGCCAGGTTGAGCCTATGGACACCTACGGCTCGAAGTGGGCCGACAGCGGCATCGTCAGCCAGGGTGGATACTCATCGCACGTGCGGACACACGAGCACTGGGTGTTCCCCATCCCCGACGCACTTGAGACCAACGCGGTCGCTCCTATGCTATGCGCTGGACTGACTGCCTACTCACCCTTGGTACGCAACGGTGCCGGTCCTGGCAAGAAGGTTGGAATTGTTGGACTTGGTGGCATTGGTCACTTCGGAATCATGTTTGCTAAGGCGCTGGGTGCCGAGACTTGGGCTATTTCGCGCTCTCGCGCTAAGGAGGCCGATGCTCTTAAGCTAGGCGCTGATGGCTACATTGCTACTGCTGAGGCCGGATGGGAGAAGGAGCACCTGTGCTCATTTGATTTGATTATCAACTGCGCTAACTCTTCCGAGGGTTTCGATCTTGCGCGCTATCTGTCCATGATGGATGTCCACGGGCGCTGGATCAGTGTCGGTCTTCCTGAGGAGGAGGGTCAGGTCATTAAGGCCCAGAACTTGATCTCCAATGGCGTTCTCATCGGTGCCAGTCACCTGGGTAGCCGCCGGGAGATGCTTGAGATGTTGCAGCTGGCTGCAGATAAGGGCCTCAAGGGTTGGGTAGAGGAGATTGCCATCTCTGAGGCGGGGCTCAAGGAGGCTATGCTACGCATGAAGAAGGGCGATGTCCACTATCGGTTCACTCTGACCGGATATGAGAAGATCTTTGGATGAAGGGGATATATTTCAGTATTGAGAATAAGTATATAGTCGGGGTGTCAACATACAAAACCAAGGAGTGGGGTTAGAGGACTGGTTAGGGGTGTTAATTCATATCGAGGAAGTTTTCTGATGAGATTGAAATCAATTATTTTTTTTTTCCAATAATAGTACTGGACTATTGATTTTCGCTTTTCCCGTACGCAACATTCTCTCAAGCGAATCCGGCTGAAAGGAATATACAAAGCGGTCGAACACCGAATTCAGGCTGGACTGCATTATGTACAAGTATGTACCAATATTAGAATCAGCCCAACAAAAAAGCCTGTCATTGCCTGAATATAGAAAAATCCCGAAAAGAGTACTCGCCACCGGAGATGGTGTGAGTAGTCGGTACTTAGATCCGCAATAGATTTATTATGATGATCCAAGTCACAGTTACTCCGCACTTCCGTTCTTCCGTTTCCCCCACAGGATTTGCCCCCCCGGCTCCTTAAAAATTCTGAACATGCAGGGGTGCGTACTCCCAAAGTACTCAATACTTGATTTTTATAGTAGACTAGTATGACAATCCTAGTACTAGTGACAACTTGGCAACGTGATGGTCGAACCAATCACTCCTCCCCAATTCACCGCCCGATAACTCAGATCCGGCCGTTCTAGCTTTCTGGAATTCTTCCGCCCTTTTTTTTATCTTCTCCTTACGCCTTCGTTTCTTTTTTTTTGTTGTTCTCTCTCTGTAGTTCATTCGTTGATTTTGTCTCTCTCTTTCTATCTTTCTTTATTACCTTGGGTCCTTGGAGTTCGCAAACTGTCGTTGATATATACATTTTGTTAGACTTATCTTACAGAACCCCCCCCCCCCCCCCCAAGATCAAACGTCAGATCGCTCGATAAACGATAAATAGACCGGACTCAACAAAAAGCCTTGTCGTTCTTTGTCCAAACAACCGCCATCATATATTCGTGATCAGATTCATTCAATTATCGTTTAATTTCTCCTCGACACAACGACTTCAGCCATGTCGCCACGAGAGACCAACGCCACTTCCACAAGGCGACGCTCCTCGTTGTCATTTCGTCCCCGCCCCCGTACTGCCGGCCACGCCGTGCCGATGTCAAAAGAGCTCACTTTGGACACATGGGAGGAGCCATACGTGATGGAAATATGCCAGGATGACCATGCGCCAGTTGTGGAAGTGATGGACCCGTTCCCAAACGGGGTCCCGCGGCGCCGTGGTGCCAAAAGTTTTTCGAGTTTGAAGCATCCTGTGGATGGTTTGGTCGCTCTCGGCCGCCGCCTGTCCGTCAGTCTTCGAAATAAGCCTTCCAAGCAAACACTTCCTATCACCGAGGACATCAAATTGGTTGCTGACGATGAAGACTGTCACTTCCACGATGTTTCGAACCATGCAAACCATAAGCGCATGGCCTCCGGTAGCTGGGATGCCCGGTCAACGAAAACAAATTGGCACCAGGGCTACAGCGTCAACCGGCGCCCTTCTTTGAATAGTGTGTCTGCCCTGCATAGTTTCTATGCCCCCACCGCCTCAATCCATGCCCCTATTCCGGGCCGTGGGCGCCAGGCACCTCCAGTTCTACCAACTCACATGTCTGCGGGTGCAGCGGCGCGTGCTGCAGCCGCAGCGCAGAATGAGGAAAGGGAGGCTGCGCGGGTGGCGAAAGCGGAACTGGATAACAAGAGACAGATGCTCGATATGAGGGTTCCACAAGACTCGGAGAGCGGTATTTGTATTGACCTGCGCGATCAATCGGATGTGTCAGATGCCGATTTGCTGAGCGTCATGCGACTTGGTAAGGATGAATCCCTTGATAGGCAGCGCGCGTGTTTTACTAACTTTGGGGGTTTTGTTTCTCCAGATCCTATACCTCTGCTTCCGGCTGAGATTACATCCCAAATTTTTTCATATTTAGACCCTGATTCCCTCATGGACGCGGAGCTCGTGTCTCGCACTTGGTATCGTGCGTCCTCTCCTCATGTTTGGAGACAGGTATTCCGCAATGCACATGGCCGACGGCCAGCAAGTGCGACGGCCTCTAAGGTGAAGATGTCATCTGGCTTGGGAAAATCAATCCCCAACCAGGATTGGAAGAAGAAGTTTCTTGTTCGGCGCGCCCTCGATCAGCGCTGGGCTGATGGTAAGGCTGCAGCCATTTATCTTCAAGGTCACGAGGACAGCGTCTATTGCTCTCAATTTGATGAGTAAGTTAACATTGATCCACTGAGGTTGTACATTGCTAACAAGTTTGCAGGGATAAAATCATCACTGGTTCCCGTGATCGGACGGTTCGTGTGTGGGACGCACACTATCCATGGTCATGCAAGAAAATTATTGGGCCACCCGCAGCTCGTACTTTCCGCCGTGGTCCAGTGAACAGTCCAACTGCTCAGGCTACAGGGAGCTCCCCCTTTCTGACTATTACCCCGCCATGGCCCACCCTGGATGAGACAACGGAAATTACCGCTCCATTGGAAGAAGAATCGATATACCACAGTGCGTCAATCCTGTGCCTCCAGTTTGATGAGGAGATCATGGTCACGGGGTCTTCAGACTTTACCTGTATCGTGTATGATGTCAAGGATGACTACCGACCGATTCGTCGCCTTTCCGGTCACCACGCCGGTGTGCTTGATGTGTGTTTTGATGACCGATACATCGTCTCATGCTCTAAGGATACCACCATTTGTGTGTGGGACCGAAACACCGGTGCTCTTTTAAGGCAGCTTAACGGTCACGAAGGGCCAGTAAATGCTGTGCAGCTACGTGGTGACCTTATAGTGTCAGCCAGCGGCGACGGTGTTGCCAAAATGTGGAATGTGATCTCAGGTCAATGTGTCAAGGAGTTCACCAGCAAGGACCGTGGCCTCGCATGTGTCGAATTCAGTGACGATGGCCGGACCATCCTCACTGGCGGCAACGACCGCATAATCTATCAATTCGATGCCAACACGGGCGAGCTCGTCAACGAGCTCCACGGACATACGGGCCTCATTCGATCTCTGCATCTCGACAGCGCAAACAAGCGTATCATCAGCGGTAGCTATGACATGAGTGTCAAGGTCTTTGACCGTGACACGGGTAACATGTCCATCAATTTCCCTGGCTGGACCACAAGCTGGATGTTGAGCGTACAGTCCGATTATCGACGCATTGTTGCAACGAGCCAGGACTCCCGGGCTGTCATTATAGACTTTGGATATGGTTTAGACGGGATTGACCTGTTGGAAGAGTGATCTATTTGCATTTCTTTATATACCGCTTGTTTTTCATCTCAGCGCTGCTTCTTCCCCTTTGTGGGTTTGCTCCGTCGTCATCATCATCATCATCATCATCATCATCATCATCATCATACATTGCTTGGATTATGGGAGTTGGATCTGAGGTTTCTCGGTCTTGGGTACAAATTGGATCAGATCCTGGAATATTGGCAAAATAGATTCTCGCCTTTCTTTGTTACTCTTCTTTGTTATACCTACACATATTGCATCAACACAAGAGTATATATACACTGGCATATATCATTTAGGGTGTTACCCCGTCATACATGTCTTTACCAACGCTAGGCTATACCCCCCGAACCTTGAGGATACGACAGCGTAAAAAGAAAGTGATAGTCTGACGACTAGATACGCGACCATTTCCCCCTTCCCTCTTATTCTAGCGTAATAGTTCTACGGGGGATTCTAAATGTCGGCAAGGAGTTAGACTAACCAGTCACTCATACAGTCAGTGTGCGGTAAACAAGCGGAAAAGATGCTTCCGCTGCCAAAGCCGTTGTCTATGATCCAGTGTGCCGCCTCTGACCCCGTACGATGAGCAAAAATTGGGTCACAAATTTCGTCAAATGACATCCTGAGATTTCAACTCGGTCTTCGAGGCGCCATGATTATGAGCAAGCTCGGAGGGCTGACCTCCGATTTTGCGCCAAAAGATTTTTCAAAACTTGAAGTATGTACATAGATGATGGGCTCCGCAATATCCCAGCTACATCATCAATACCCTTTTTTTTTTTTTGAATTTGACTTCACTGCTGCCGAAGCTGGCGTTACGCGCATTTCTCCATATGTCGGACGCATTGGGGATTGGTACAAAGCTAATACCTCGTTTGGGTCGGAGGGGGATATGGAGATGTGAAACGTGTTGATCTCCTTTTCCAAAATATTGTCATTTATATATACGGGATATAACAGCAGCGACCACCGAGATACCCCCCAGTGCCGACTGTTTGACAACATATTCGGTCTCGTTGGCCCAGAGTCAATTTCACAAAGTCAGTAACAATATCTATCAGCGGCTGATATCAAGCCCGTATGTTTCACCAGATAATGCTCTTGAAGGTGACTCCCAACTAAGTAGCTGGCCTTCCACTGTGCCCAGTTATGTACGGAACTATGATATGACTGGATTCCATGATGCTGTCACAGCCTCGGCTCAACGGCTTCTATGGAGATTTTACAACTTTCACATTCTGCTCTTCCGGCCGTTTGTGACTCGATAGGCGTCATCTGTAATATATAGGGAAAATACATCCAACCCGCCGATTCAGAATAAATCTAAGGAGCAATGTAGACTACTGTGCCTCGAGAGTGCACACCTGACTATTCAGTCTATCCAAGACGGGCAAGTCAGCAACACACCAATTACGACCTGGTATGCAATGTATGTGACACGCACGCTATCACATAGTTTCCTCCGAATGTTCTATAACAAACAAATCAGGTTCTTTCTCATCCAGGCAGCCTTGATACCTTCTATCTTTCTCGCCGTCTACAAGCACAACCCTGCTGCTTTTGAATGGCTCCGGGACATCGATATTGCTCGTCACCTACTCAATGAATACGCCGTCTACGGAACAGCGGCAGGTCACTACTCCAGCATGATCAACGGGCTCTTTGAAACCGTGATCGCTTCAACGGAAGACGAGGCTTGGAGCCCGACACACCAGTCGAACGTACTCAATAGTCTCTGTGATCAATTTCTACGTTCAATTCCGGATGGTGTTTCGCAGTAGCTAACAAGTACGCAACCCTTGAAATATACCAAAATAATATGGACATTGGAAGCGTTTTCATCTGGTATCATGTATGAGAATCACATAGGTCTCAACTATGTTTTTTTCTTCAATCGTAATCTGTATGACCCAGTGTAGTGTTCTGGTATGATCCCATATACAGCGTGTGTGGTCGAAGGTTAGCATATATTATCGGATATCTTGTATCGCGACAATAACCTCGATTTCCAATCTCTTGCGAGTTTTGTCGTCGCCTGAGGCGATACGGCAGCTAAGATCAATAGATCGACCATTTCTGCTTGTCAAATATAGCGGCGGGCAAGGCGGTAGCAGCAGCGGTCAGTCACTGAAGTCGCAACGCATGGGCCTACAATTTGATATTCTGGGCGACAGCACGATGTAAAATTTGATATATAAGATTTGACCTGTTGCGGTGGAATGTTCCTCACTTCACGATGTAATAGTTTCATGCAGCGAAGTAATATCCCAGCTACGATATGATACGTCACGTAAACCTGACACTTCAGGCATCAAGGCATTGATTAGTTAATCAATCTGTGATTCGCTAGAAAAGGTGGGCTAGCGCCAGTGTGATCCGTGGGATTTAGCATCAAAACAATCCCTCTGCTGTTTCCCATCAACCACACAAGCAGAGACTGAGAAGAAGTCCTGGTCTTGCGGTGTAATATCTTTCTCAAGTTTCTTTTCCGCTTAGCGCTTATCTCAGTCTTATTTTCCGCTTTAGCGTTTCGATTGACAACTATTCTACCCCACCATCATGGGTGAATCCAGGTTCGGCTTTTCTCCTATTCCCCGCCATCTCGCGACCAGATACAGCCTTACTGACGCCGATCGATTTATAATTTCAGACAGGAATTGCTGGCATGGCTTAACAACCTGCTGCAGCTGAACCTTACCAAGATTGAGCAGTGTGGAACGGGGTATGGTTGATCAATATTCTCTCCGACTTCAAAGGGCCCGCGGGGGTGGTCAATCTTTATATAGATCAGATGGGCTAACGTCTTATCTTGTCTGTAGTGCTGCCCTCTGCCAGGTCTTCGATTCGATTTTCAGTATGTAATCACCACGAATTGGCGCAACAATTGAGAGAAACGGATCCCGTACGGAGTGGAACATATGCTGACTGGTCTATTTCTTTGTTCAGTGGATGTTCCCATGTCCCGGGTCAAGTTCAACGTGAACACTGAATATGCTTACCTGCAGAACTTCAAGATTCTTCAGAGTATGTGAAGGCGGATTCCAGATCGGCCAATCCCCTTTTTTAACATATCCAATCATTCCAGATGTCTTCGCCCGCCACCAGGTCAACAAGCCTGTACCCGTCCAGTCCCTCACAAAGTGCCGCATGCAGGACAACCTTGAGTTCCTCCAATGGGTTAAGAAATACTGGGACCAACACTATCCCGGTGGTGAATACGACTCCGTTGGGCGCCGCAAGGCCTCCGGCGCCCCTGCCTCCGTTGGAGGAGCCCCCGCTTCGCGCGCCCCGTCTGCCAGTAGTGCACGCCGTGGAGTCACCCCGACAGCCGGCGGCGTCCGTCCCCGGGTTGCCGTTGCTGGGGCCAGTGGAGCAGCCGTTGCTGCCCTGCAGACGGAGATCTCGACACAGAAGGAAGCGATCGCAGGACTGGAGAAGGAGCGCGACTTCTACTTTGCCAAGTTGCGTGACATTGAACTGCTGCTCCAGAGTGCTATTGAGGCCGACCCCGAGCTCGAAAAGGAAGAAGATACGCTTGTTAAGCACATCCAGGGAATTCTATACTCGACCGAGGTCCGTTCCCTTGAATTATTCGCTGAGGAATCCCCAAACTGACGCTTATGCGCTTTCCCAACAGGACGGCTTCGAGATCCCCGCTGAAGGAGAAGAAGTTCCGGCTGATGAGCTCGAGACTTTCTAAACTTTCTAAGCGAAATGAGTTCTGGGCCCGAGAGGAGGAAAGACCCGTTATTAATACCCCCGCGTCTTTTTATTCTTTCTTGTCTTCCATTGTCAAATAAGACGAGCTGAGCACGTAGATACATTGGAGTCAAGTGCATACAATTTTTTTTTTTTTTTTTTGCAAGTGGTCTGATACTTAGGCTTAAAATAGGTTTATGGGGAATGGGATCGGCGAATGATTCTTAGTACTACGTACTCCGTACTCCATACACAACGTACAATGGGATTGGGTGGAGTGGTCTCACACAAATGAATTTCCCATATATAAAGTAATGTACGGAGTAGTAATATGTAGTAATGTCCAAAGTATTTACATTGAATTGAGACAAACACATATTTACAACATATGCAAGTAACCTATATTCCCCTTACCTTTGTTCTCCCGTTATATCCCATTTGACAGTCAGTCGATGATAATTAAACCTGCATGGTAAACTAATCCCAAAATAGATTAGTCTCCTTGGCTAGAACCTCATCTGGGCCCTGTCACTTTCTAATTCGTTAATCCGCTGTGGTACCTGCGTTGAGAGAGCTGGCTTTTGTTTTTGTTTTTTCTTTGCTTCTTTTTTTTCTTTCTTTAGAATCCAGGTCAGAATTCAATTCCAAACCATCTCCTAAAATTAGGGAGGGGAAAAGAAGAAGAAAAAAAGGATCTGCCGGAGACTAGTTTGACAATTCGTCAACACGGGTCGCCTACGGAGAACGGAGTAGACTAGGCTTCGATAGGGGATTGTCTGGTTCGGTCTGGGTCTTTTTCATCATTTTCCCCCATTTCGTTTCTTCTCTTTCGTGTCTTTTTGCTTTCTCTTTTGCTCTTTTGACTTTGAATTCCGTCCTCTCTTGACACTGTGAGAATTGTGCCGACAGTGTGACCATACACTGCCCTGAGAGATTGTCAACCCCGAGCTGCTTACCCCCTCATATTAAACGCTCCATATTTCTCTTTTCGGGTCCAACAGATATCCAAAAAAGAAAACCACAATATGGATTAGGACTGGAGACTGGACTCTCTTTTTTTTTTATTCCACTATTCTTTTGTCACTCTTTTACTCCAGGTATGTGTTGACTGGTATCAATTCAAGGCCCCGAGGTCGATCTGTTTGCTTACCTTGGGGCTTGCCCCCATTGAGTTCATACTAACTCATGCTTAGTCGTTTGTACGATTGCCATTCCTTCATAATTGTGTGCCATATCCCACAAGACTCTTGGAAAGCTATTCATCCGACGCTTTTCTTGATCTGATCGGTTTGGCTACACTTTTGCCAACATCCATTCATTCATACTGTCAACCGGGCCATTCCTTTCTCGGATCTTGATATCGATCTTTCCACTCCAACTTTGCGCACGCTAGAACGTGTTTTTCTTTCATTTAAATTTACGTTGACGTTTACCGACTACGTTTACCAACTTCAACCTTACCATCCCATTCTTCGCAATACTGTGAAACTTCAACCTCTGTGAGGATCAACGATACATTCTTTGTCTTGCTTCTTTGTCTTGATATTCCATTGCATATGATTGGCAATTTACGTGCACGTGTATGGAAACATTGTCAACATGGCTCATGGTCATTTCCGTCACTCGCGCATCAGCAAGATAATCAGCGCCAGGCGTCGCCTAGAAGCTGAGCTTGATGAACAGCATGCCTCCGATTTACTTGAAAAAGATGATCCATTTCAAAACCCCATCCTCACCACTGATATACTTCCGACTGAAAATTGCGACTCAAAAAACTCTATATGTCTTGAGCATGACATGAACGAATCCGATGCACTGCTTGAAAAGCGGGATGTGACGACCTCCGCCGACCCGAATGTTATCGAGACTGTATTGCAGATAGTCGATGCGAGCTCACAGACCCTCTTCAAGTCGACCGCTACTGACTTTTCGATGACGATATCGGATTCTACGGGTGCTATTTACACTCTACCAAGCTCGGACAGCTTGGCTGCAGGTGCGACTGCGACTGCGAGTGCCAGTATCTCTATAGATTTAGGACTATTGACCTCGACAACGCCTGCCTCTGCTACCCAGCCGACAGCTTCGCCACTATCTGAGACGTCTTTTTCAAGCATCTCCGCGAAGGCTACTCAACCTTCTTTGACTGTCTCCACGAACTCCACCCAAACTTCTTTGACCATTTCCACGAACTCCACCCAAACTTCTTTGACCTCCACAAATCCCACAAGTCAATTTCCGTCAGCATTAAGATCTTCGTCAGCCACAGTCATCAATTCGTCTGCATGGACTTCTACTCGTCTCGGCGCTTCTTCCACCTCTATTCTCTCTGTTGTGACAACGACACCCCAGGCGCACAATTACTGGTCGTATTCTAGTCCTAGCTCCGACTCCAGCCCCAGTTCCACCTATAATTCCAGTTACGGTTCCGATTCCAGCTCCTCGACGACCCCCACCTCCAGCACAGATTACACCACTTCTTCATCAGATGTATATGGAGGCTCTGGGCCCACTGACTCAGCGACTGGTACTGGAGCCGCGCCAACTACAAGTGAGACGCAAGCCTCCGGACCTGGTTCGACAAACAATCCCGCCACACCTAAAATCGTGGGCGGTGTAGTAGGATCAGTTGCTGGTATCGCTCTCATTTTTCTTCTTCTATTTTACTTCCTCCGCCGCCGAGGATTCTTGATGGGCAAAATAGGACGTCCCACTATGTTAGGTGACGCAGCAGCTGGGGCCGGAGCAGGGACTGGGTCTAGAGAAATGTCTCAAAGGCGTGAGAGCAACGACCCCCTCTTCACAGCCTCATACCTGGCCCCCGCATTCATGAAGCGCTGGCGTCAGTCCACGGCAACAACCCGTTCTGGAAGCACCATCGACTCTGTCCCCAGCGAGCGCGGGTTCCAAAAGATTTCCGGCAGAAAACTTCCTCCCGTATACACCCACGGCGGCGATGGATATGGAGGCGGAATAGATGGCGAGTCCCCCACCGTACCAGCATCGGGACCAATCGGATCGACCTCTTTCTATGCTCCGCCCCCATCCTCGCAATATGGCATGCCCCTGGATTCAAACTACACTCGCGAGGTTGAGGAGCATACCCCACCGACCCGACCCAACGTCGTGCATCTCCCTATCTCCAGTTCGGTCAACGTTTCCACTCCGGTCACTGTCACACCGGCCCACCCGGTTGCACAACCGCAGAGCGCAATTCCCTTTGCGCCGCCGCGGCCAGATGGCCTCGGCCGCAGTTTGCATAGTTTCGACGGGAGTCGAAGCAGCCGCTTTACTGAGGTTATTGAGTAATTTGTCAATGCTGTGATATGGGACATGTGAAACGATGGAAATGAAGTGATGGTTGGGAGTTTGTAGGCCCTCTGTGATATCGGACTACGGGGCTTGTCCCCGATCGTGGCTTTTTTTGTTGTTATTAATTTTTGTTCGATTCTACATTTTTTGTGCCATTGTAAAAGCACATTTCCTGTCTTTGATTGCCATTTTGTTATATTTCTTTTTTTTTCACTATTGATACCCCCCCCCCCCCCCTCTTTCTATTTTCTCTCTTCTCCTTTTTCTCTTGCTTCTTGTTCAAATTATCTTTTCTTCACTATCTTTTCACTTGATGTTGATGTCTTTGTCATTGTAGATATATTACTTCGTTCTCTTGGGATGACCATGTGTATGAATCAAGGCCTAGACAATACAAAATCAACTTGGATAATCTATGTAGTTTTAAAGTCATCGAGCTTCGTATATGAAACATTGTGCATTTCCCAGACGTATAGAAGGCTCCTGACAGGGAAATCACCCAAAATTTGGACTGGTGATGCTCACTGTGTCACATACCTTTAGGGTTTGCCTCAGGAATCCCACAGACCATGCATGCTGACCACGTGGCAAGGCCGGTAAGAAATACCTGCATTGCAAGCTACATCTGGGTAATGTCATTCTAGGACTGCTTCATCTGACATGTGAGATTTTTATCGTATTGCCATCTGAGACCAGCTACTGCCGCTGCAGTCGGATTTGATATTTCTTTCGCTATGAGTCAAAAGAGATGTTCTCCCTTGAACGCTTTGCAAAGGTTGCCTCACTTCCAAGAAAAATGCATTTCGAGTATCAAATGGAAGCTGGACTTTGGTGGCATATGTTTGGGAGTGGGTGCAGGTGCTATTCAGGATTCGTATCAAGTGAGGCTTGGGGGCTTGGTAGGTTTATATCTGTCCAAATCTTGGCATCACCTCTCGTTTATCTGAACTTACACGAGTGGAAGATCAAATCTGTGTCGTACTTTCTGTTCCACCCACTGTCAATTCCTTAGCTGTTGTGTTAGAGTACGCGTCCTTCTGCCTAACTACTCGAAAGCTGGAGCAGCCCCGTCTTGGGGTGAATTGGCCCGATATCACTGCTACCTATTGCACTGCCCTTCTGTGGGCAAGCTTCTTGCCTCTTAGGTCATAATAGAGCCCATGAGGCGCCCAGCTGGCCATGGGATGTATGAGGCGCACCGCCACATGTTTAAGCGCACCGCCACAATGTGCGCCACAAAGCGATCTTTGCTCCCCTGTTCTCCACGCCTACTTTCACCCTTCACCCAGGCTACCAACATCAGATTACTACATACGGAGCTGTGGCTTGCGAGGTTAAATCATTTCTTTCGTGTGCCTAGATGTATTGCCACAATAGCATCGCATGCCCATGACACAGTCTAACCGCTCAAGTGGACACTTCCCCGTCTCCAAGCAACGAACACGGGTGCAAGCCTCATGATGTGACCAGACCCTAACTCGCCTCCTTACTTGCGCTCATTGCTAAAAACAATAATAATGCCAATGGGATACATATTTTGTCGAATGACAATTATCAAGCGAAATGATTGGGTCCGTTGAGAATCGAGGCGCAGCAAGAAGGTCCCACTATTATTGAAAAACCCAATTTGATCGAAACGCCGTCACATTGGATAGATGGACTTGGCGTAGCGCTATTCGATGACTGATCCCATACCTCGCTATGCATGTAGCATGGAAAGAAACGGAGCTAGAGTTAGAGAAACAAAGCCCGGCGCTTAGAGAGTACATTCCTGGGGGTTTTGGGGTAAATTTCAATGAAGTTCGCCTTCTTCTCAAACGTGATACTATTCTCACATCATACACGGGAGATTTACGTAGCCCCTGTTCCAAGCAAACAAAGATTATTACCGCCAAAGGGGGCTGTGTGCTCCCAAACTAGATAGATAAGTGGCAATATCCTGACAATATCACTTCAAAAGCATATTATATTTTACTTTTTTGCGACTGCTCTGCTTTTCTCGAGTGGATATTTTATATCCCTCTTATACTTGGCTTTCTTTTCAAAGACCCTCGTTGCGAATTGCCAGAAGAAATTTGACCAAATACTCGGCGTCTGGGCATCCTTGGTAGTGTACACAGCCCCATCGAGAGGGGAAAAGATAACAAGGTAGTCTCGCAACTCCGACGGCACACGAGACGTTTTTAATATCAGAGATTATTGCATGAACCTCTATATGAGCCGTTGTTGCATTTGATTCGCATATTCTTCTGGAAGAACTTTGTGTGATTCACACTATGTCTTCTTCAAACAATGATACCTCCCGCCAGGGCTCACTATTAAGTCCTGTTATAGTGACAGATTTTTCGGGTAGAGAGGTTGGTCACTCAAGCCATCCTATACAAGCCTAAACTTTTTCGCTGATTATCTAATTTCATTTTATCTCCAGCGATCTATATCCACAGTCTCTTCTGCGTGGTCGGGTCCTACAGATCTAAATCCCAGCCCAACTTCTCCTATCTCACCAGATACAGCATGGAATGCACCGGACCCAGGCCGGCTAATGGTTCAAAATGCCTCACATCGACCGTCACAGTCGATCGATGGCGATACATTGCGTCCGCGGGCAGACTCATTCGCGTCTTCTACAGATACTGTAGTTCGCTCGCGGGCGAACTCTGAAGTAGACCCAGCCAATACTTCCAAAGCCGTCTACGACGATGTATCGCTGGCGGATGCGTTGAAACCGGATCCTCGGAATGAACTTGATTTCCAAGTGGAGGATAATCGGTTTGCGTTTTCCCCAGGCCAACTAAACAAAATGCAAAACCCAAAGTCCCTGGCTGCATTCCATGCTCTGGGCGGCTTGTATGGTCTGGAACGCGGTCTACGGACAGATCTAAATGCCGGTTTGTCAATAGACGAAGGGTGTCTGGATGGTACTGTCAGGTTCCAGGATGTGGCACCTTCGGCGGAACCCACATCTACAGAGAAAGCTCCATTACCAGCTGACACTTCGGCGCCGACGCCGGTCTCAGCTGGTAATGGTTCACCCTTCGAAGATCGCATTCGTATCTTCAGTCAGAACAAACTACCTGCAAGGAAATCAACCGGGTTGCTGAAACTATTTTGGATTGCATATAACGACAAAATCATTATATTATTGACTATCGCTGCAGTGGTCTCACTGTCCCTGGGGATATACTCGACCATATCAGAAGGCACAGGCGTCGACTGGGTGGAAGGAGTTGCCATCTGCGTGGCAATTTTGATTGTCACAGTTGTCACGGCTGTCAACGATTGGCAAAAAGAGAGACAATTTGCCAAACTTAACAAACGGGCAAGTCTTCCCTTACCAACTCCAAAAAACTGGACTCAGCTAACATCCCAGCAGAATGATGATCGTGAAGTCAAAGTCACCCGCTCGGGTAAGACCAACATGGTCTCAATCTACGATATCATGGTCGGCGACATCCTCCATCTTGAGGCAGGCGATTCCATCCCTGCGGACGGTATTCTGGTCACAGGCTATGGCGTGAAGTGCGATGAATCGTCCGCCACCGGCGAGTCGGATCAAATGAAAAAGACCCCCGGACAAGACGTCTGGGTGCAAATTGTCGACGGCAAGGCAACTAAGAAACTCGATCCGTTCCTGATCTCTGGTAGCAAGGTACTTGAAGGTGTGGGAACCTATGTTGTCACCAGTGTTGGACCCTATTCTACCTACGGACGGATCTTATTGTCGCTGCAAACCCCTAATGACCCAACACCGCTCCAGGTCAAGCTGGGTCGGCTGGCAGATTGGATTGGATATTTGGGTACAGCGTAAGTTTATCTTCCTACTTCCTTTTGCCTTTTTTGTACAAGTTACTGATGGTAATTGACAGGGCTGCTGGTATTCTTTTCCTCGTTCTGCTTTTCCGATTTGTAGCCGATCTTCCTAATCACCCGGACAAGAGCGGTGCTGATAAAGGCAAAGAGTTTGTGGATATTCTTATTGTTGCTGTCACGGTTATTGTTGTCGCTATTCCAGGTAAGTGCCAAGTTTCGTACTTTTATTTGAATTCTGGCTGACATCCATGTTCTTCGCTAGAGGGCCTTCCATTGGCAGTAACGCTAGCTTTAGCCTTTGCTACTACACGAATGGTCAAAGAGAATAACCTCGTCCGTGTCCTTCGCGCATGCGAGACAATGGGCAATGCCACTGTCATCTGCTCCGATAAAACGGGTACATTGACACAGAACAAAATGACTGTTGTGGCCGGAACCTGGGGCTCGAATCAGGGCTTCAGCCAGGGAACTGAAGATGAAGACGTGAAGAGTTCAATGACTATTTCAGCGGTTTCCCAGCAATTATCGGCTCCCATCAAAGATTTGATCATCAAGAGCATTGCTTTGAACTCGACTGCATTTGAACAAGAAAAGGACGGGTCCATAGATTTCGTCGGTAGTAAGACTGAGGTTGCGATGCTTCAGTTGGCCCGGGATTATATGGGCATGGACCTTGTCTCAGAGCGTGGCTCTGCTGAAATTGCCCAATTGATTCCCTTCGACTCCTCCAGGAAATGCATGGGTGCTGTTTACCGTGTTCCTGGTGCTGGCTATCGACTACTTGTCAAGGGAGCGTCAGAGTTGATGGTCGGCGCCTGTACCACACAAATTATCAATATTGATAGCTCCAAAGAGAGGCCCGATGTGGAGCAGCTTTCAGACGCACAGAAGCAAGGCCTCCTCGAGATCATCGACAATTACGCTCACAAGTCTCTTCGGACGATTGGCATGGTCTACAAGGACTTCACAGCCTGGCCACCAGTTGAGGCCAAACATACTGAGGACCTTTCAGCTAACTTCGAGAATTTTTTCCATGATATGACCTGGGTCGGAGTGGTGGGTATCCAAGACCCTCTTCGCCCCGAAGTCCCATCAGCCATTCGCAAATGCCACTCGGCAGGCGTCCAAGTCAAGATGGTGACTGGTGACAACGTTGCCACTGCCACTGCTATTGCGGCTTCTTGTGGAATCAAAACAGAAGATGGTTTAGTTATGGAAGGCCCAAAGTTCCGTCAGCTTACAAACGCGGAGATGGATGAAGTGGTTCCGCGCCTTCAGGTGCTGGCGCGATCATCCCCCGACGACAAGCGAATCTTGGTCGAACGGCTTAAGGCTCTCGGTGAAACGGTCGCTGTAACAGGTGATGGTACCAACGACGGTCCAGCTTTGCGGACAGCAGATGTCGGCTTCTCCATGGGTATTGCTGGTACAGAGGTCGCGAAGGAAGCGAGTTCGATTATTCTCCTGGATGATAATTTCAAGTCCATTATCACAGCAATATCTTGGGGACGAGCTGTCAATGACGCCGTTGCCAAGTTTTTGCAGTTCCAGGTCACGGTTAATATCACAGCCGTGATACTCACCTTCGTGTCATCTGTGTACAGCAGTGATAATACCAGTGTTTTGTCGGCCGTGCAGCTGCTCTGGGTGAACCTGATTATGGATACTTTCGCCGCTCTCGCCTTGTAAGTCCCCCCACTTGTTCTTTTATATTTTGCTTTTACTTTTTACTAACGTTTTGGAATACAGAGCCACGGATGCCCCGACTGAAAAAATTCTTGACCGCAAGCCTGTTCCCAAGCACGCTTCTCTCTTCACAATGACCATGTGGAAGATGATCCTTGGCCAAGCAGTGTACCAACTAGCCATCACATTCATGCTCTATTTCGCAGGTGACAAGCTCCTTTATGCCCATCTCAGCTCCGACCCCGAGATGCGCACGAAGCAGCTCTCCACCGTGGTATTCAATACGTTCGTGTGGATGCAGATCTTCAACGAATTCAACAACCGCCGCCTCGACAATAAGTTCAATATCTTCGAAGGCATGCTCCGCAACTACTGGTTCCTAGGAATCAACGCCATCATGGTCGGCGGTCAAATCATGATCGTCTACGTGGGCGGCCAGGCATTCGGCGTAACTCGCTTAAGTGGCATCCTCTGGGGTGTGTGCATTATCTGTTCCATTGCCTGCCTGCCCTGGGCCATCGTGCTCCGACTTATCCCAGACTACCATTTCGGACTTGTTTTTAATGCCGTTGTTGGCGGTATGACTGTTGTTTTGCGCCCGATTGCTAAGGCGTGCAAGGTGATCGGTCATGGTATCAAGTCATTCTTTAGGCCTGTGAAGCGTTTCACTCGCCGTTTTGTCGGCAAGGGGAAGTCAGAAGATGAAGTCGAGTTGAATCCCCAGCCGGCCGATTCTGCTGATCCCGAAGAAGCTCCTGCGAGAATTGAACAGAACAAGCAAAAGTCCCCTGAGCGTCCTGCCACGCCTACTCTTGTCGTGCCCCCTATCACAATTACGACCTCTCCTTAGTTGTCATTTTAGCGTTGATTTATTAGCATTTGGTTGGTTTTTGATCTTTTATTGTTGTGCTATTTGTATATAAGCACTGGGCTTGAAGAGGATGTGATGTGTATATATACCACCAAAAAAACGACACTCCTGTATTAATTATGAAATTTACTTCTCTCTACATGAAAAATCTTCAACAATTCAGTAGCCCTCTTTACTTACCAAAATACTTGATAATATAGAAAACATAGCTTCTAGGCAACTAGCTTGAAGGTGTACTATGTTTCTGCCTCAGGCCATAACACTCCGTCTACCAAGTGTCCAGCTCCGTCTCCCGTGGACTTCCCAATTGATTCCGCATTGCCCTGTCGACTCACCTAGTTCTCTTGTTTGCGATCAGTTAATCTGATATCTGTCTCTCTCAAACACACATTAATCTTTTATCCTGTCCCCATTGGATCTCATATTGCTCGGAGACATTCCCACGTCACTAATCTCCCCGCTTCCGCCCACCGCACCGATATACCAACAGGCAGCTCCCACAAAGCTTCCTCAACAACCCATTCGACTGGCTTGGCCAACAACGACTTGATTGAGACCCATTTCCACTATTTCCTCCCTCATTCAAACCATAACCGCCACCATGTCGCAAATCAACTACCGCACCATCAACATTGATGCCCTGGACCCCGAGTCCCCGGCCAACTTCCCCATGGAGTCCCTCCTCCCCGCCACACTCCCCCAAGCCGCAAGCGCCAGTGACGCCACCAATGCCGCGACACAGGTCCGCCAGATGCTGCGCGGCGGTGACCCGGAGGGTGCTCTGCGGACGGTCCTCGATACGGCGCCGCTAGGCGGCGACGACCGCGCTAAGGAGGTGCATCTTGCTACCGTCATTGATGTGCTGCAGGGCATCCGACAGGGCGAGATGACCCGCATCCTGGAGGGCGTGTGCAGCGGTGATGGCGGCGCTGAGCGGGCGGATTGCTTGATGAAATACCTGTACGTGGACACTACTGTTTCCATTGGTGGAGGAACTATCTTGTGGAAAGTTAGTTGTGGATTTGATTGCTGATTTATTGAATACAGGTACAAGGGAATGTCCTCGGCTGCTCCCGGTACTCAGTCGCCAAAGAAGGCAGTTTCGCCCGAGAACACTGGCTTCTCGCAGATCCAGGCTCGCAACTTGGCTGAAGGTGGTGGTGGCGGTCAGCAGATGAGCGTTCTGCTGAGCTGGCACGAGAAGCTGGTGGAGATTGCTGGTACTGGGTCGATTGTGCGGGTCATGACTGATCGTCGGACGGTTTGAGCAGAGAAAACAGCATCTGATGGAGGTTCGTTTCTTATGATTTACATTTGACTTTTTTTTTGTTCTCATCTTCTTGGTAGAGGCTTGCATTCCATACATCCCTGTGGATGACATCTTCCAGTGTCGCTTTAAGCGTAGTTTTACATTAGTATATTGTGACAAAATGTTGGGCTCTTTCTCTTGGCCCTTTTGTTTCCATTCTTCATGGTTTATCAATGTTACCTCCCTCAAGGACATCCTTGAGATTGATATCGCCGCTGCCGCGTGGCAGCGGCTTCCGCTGGCCCTCGCCTTCCTTCCATCCAATCATATAGATCAACCGGAACGTCGCTGGGATACCAGGCGCACCGTCCTCCATATGCAGAGAACGGTATATAGCCTCATTAGCCAGCAAGACATCCCGCGAAAGCGGTGCCGAGTCACGGTTCATGATCGCGTTACTCTCGCCCATCGCCTGCAAATCCTTCATGAGCGCAAAGGTATCCGGGAACTCGACCACAATATCCTCAACATCGACAGTAAGCATCTTGAACCCAGCACGGCCCAACAAGTTCCCGACATCTTTGACATCCGCCAGAGGCGACACATGCGGACTCACACCGCCGCGTCGCTCCATATCAGCCAGCTGTAGCGACCCGCGCAGCTCGAACAACGTATCGCCACCAAACATGGCTGCGATAAACGGCGCATCGGGCTTCAGTATTGTGTTCACCTGTTCCAGCAGCGCGGGCAGGTCGTTGATCCAGTGTATTGAGAGCGACGAGAGCACGGCGTCAAAGCTGTTCGGTGCGTATGGCAACGTTTCCAGGTCCGGAATAACATCCCGCTGGATGTCGATCTCCTTGTTAAATGGCTCGTTCTCGTCGCGGTGGAGCAGCGCGTGCGATGTCTCCACGCACGTTAGCTTCGAGATCTTTTCTGATAGTGGTGGTGTGATGGTTCCTTCCGGCATGGATGAGTCAAGATTGGGGGATGTGAGAGCTCGGGCGATGTTGCAGCTATTTGCACCTAGATCTAGAACGCTTGGGAAGTCACGTTTAATGTCCTATTCATGGCGAGAGAAGCTCTTGTTAGTGGATGTGTCTTTTTTTTTCTATTTCTGCGTTTGCTTCGTTGAGTGGCTTACCAGTAAGCGCTCACATAACCGCATTGCTACTTCATCTTTCAGGTAGTCGACTTTCCGACTCTCTTCGACATTCCGGGCTGCCCGATCTTTTTGGAGGTGTTTGGCTTTGCGGTTGAAGACCTCAAGCATTGGGTTGCCAGGCGTCTGGCTGGCATATTTTCGGATAGTGATTGTTGGGGCAAAGCATCGCTTTGAGACACTGGCACGAAACGTCTGTAGAGATATCATTGTGGCTGTATAATGGATATGGATGATTCTAAACCCTCAAGCATGCAAGTCTATGGGTTTGCGGCGATGGCGGGCAGAAAATGGCGGGATCGGAACTGACGTCGATTGTTGACGCGGAAGAGCTTCCTCTCCGCAGACCGTCGACCGTCGACTTCCTCCAATTGGTATTTTCGCGACATTTGGCCTGGTGTCAGTTTTTACATCCGAATTTTGCATATTGTGCATAGTACATTGAGCGTGATAGAACCATTGTAACCGCTGCGCAAGTAAGTCCTCGCCCGCCAACACGCTCCTCTCAGGGTCTCTCTGATTTGGCGCAACAAGGTTGGGATTCCGAAAATTAATATATTTTTACTCAAAAAGTCAAGCTATCCCATAGCTACGAATTCGCTATCAGCCAACTTGTTTACTTCATTACAAAATTCGGCTCTAGACCCCCACAGAGACGAAGCATGATTTGATCCAAGTACACGCCTCGAAAGCTACCACACACCATCCCGCTCGCTCCTCCACGTCAAGACCAAAATGTCGCGTCCTTTCCCATATACCTACATATCATGTCCCTGCGCCGACACTCCGGTCCCTGATCCAGCCAGGAAGCAAAGGTCAAGGGAGTCCCCGCAGAAATCGCCGCAGAAGCCACCACCTGAACGGGCAAACACAGACCAAGACAAGAAATTATCAGTAGAAGAGGAACAACAAGTAGTTGATGAGGACGAAGAGCAAACATTTGACCCCCGCTCTCCACGGTCCAATTTCTCGCTGTATCCGCCTGAACAGCTTCTCTACTGTGAGGAGTGCCACCAGATCAAATGCCCCCGATGTATTACGGAGGAAATCGTAAGCTGGTATTGTCCTAGCTGCTTGTTTGAAACACCGAGCAGTATGGTGCGAAGTGATGGTAATCGGTATGTACTAAAGGATGTGAAGGGTTGTGTTCGAGTGTCCGCTAACACGCGCATATCTATAGGTGTGGCCGAAATTGCTTCAATTGTCCTATCTGCACAGCCCCGCTGGCTGTGAGTACCATTGAGAATGTTACAGGGAACGGCCCTCAGCAGGGTCCGTGGGTGTTGTCTTGCGGATACTGTCTTTGGACGACGCTAGACATTGGCATCAAGTTTGACAAGCCGACAAATATCCGGAGTCAACTGCAAAAGATGACAGACTCCACTGCCCCGGCTGCTCTCAACCGCTCGAGACAAGCTTCTCGCACTTTTGGAGATCTGAAACATCCGTTGTCTAGCTACGCGTCGATTGACGAGCAATCCAATGCGCGCGAGCGCGGTGGAGAGGAAGCTGCACAAAAAGAAGACCCGGCTGCACCTCCAATGAGCACGGATGCCCGGTTCGCAGCCTTGAAAAACTTTTACCGTACACAGATATCTGAGACATCAAACTCGTCAAATGATCATCTTAGCTCGGAGTTTGGGTTCTCTTCACCCGGCGCCCTAAACCGGCTCATGTCTCTCTACACATCCTCGTCGCGTCTAAGCGGGCTATATGGTGGCAGCAAGAAGCCTAAATCCAAGCCACCCGTTATGCGCGAAGCCCTTACTGCAAGCGAGGGCCTTCAGGTTGTCCCAGAAAACAACGAGACGGACATGATTGCACGACTTCAGTCTCCAGAATGTGGCTGGGATGGCATGGCCTCAATAGAGCAGCGCGCAACCCAATTACCGGACGCCCGCTTCGTCGACGATCTCCTCCCACTCCCAGTCCTCCTCCGCACCAAGCGAGCCAAGCGCTGCAAGTCCTGCAAGCATATCCTCGTGAAGCCTGAGACCAAGCCGCAATCTACTCGCTTCCGCATCCGCCTCATTGCCCTCAGCTACATCCCCCTCCCAACCCTCCGCCCTCTAGCCCTTTCTTCCTCATCGGCCCTTCCAGCCATTGCCCCAACCACCGACCTCAACTCTCTCACCCCCCTGCGCCCAATCCACATCCTTCTCACCCTAAAAAACCACATGTTTGACCCCGTCCGCATTACCCTTGCAACGCCCCCCGTAACCCCAGGTCACGTTGCAACAAAAGTCACAGTTCTCTCTCCGCAGTTCGAGATTGGCGCGAACAGCGATGTCTGGGACGAAGCGTTACAGGGTGGTGCCTCTGCACCCGTAACGAACGACTCTCGCTCCGCTGTTCTACGCGGAGTCCCCGAGGCAGGCAAGGTGTGGGATAAGGGCCGGAACTGGACAACCGTCGTCTTGGAGGTTGTCCCCGGTACGTTGCCTGGGAGTAGTGCTGAAGGTGGTGATGGCAATCCTGATACCGAGACTAATGATGAGGATGTCATGGCGGTTGCGGCTTCCAGGCAGGATGAGGATGTGCTTGAGATTCCAGTCTTCGTGCATATGGATTGGGATGCGGATGCACAGCTTGATCAAGGGAATGTTGGGAAGGGATCTAAACCTGATGATAAGGTTACCAGGGAGTTAGCTTATTGGATGGTGCTGGGTGTGGGGAGAATCCAGCCTTCGTTGTAGATAGATAGGGGATGCTTATCGTCTTGTTCATATTTGCGTCGACTGGTTTGCATTTTTATACCTTTCATACCCCGAGTGTATTTGTTTTTCGGTTCATAAAAGCATTCACATACCATTGTCCAGCGAGCTTTCGATTTGATACTGTCAGGTAGACATAACAGCGGAATATAAGCTACTTCACTTAGACGGACATATATCCCATAATTATAGCTGGATGTCCACGGGCAATCAATCCAGAATCTACAAGCAGACTAGATACCAATCCCAGCCAGATAAAGCCATCTAGGAAAGGAGCAATGAAAAGTCGGAATTGTTGAATTGGAATACTATCAGATATTCCATCCCATCCTCATTAGATCGGGAGATAGAGAACTCAAACTCCATCGCCTCACCCAGAGCTCACACCGGACACAAAGTCAATGTAACCAGTGACTGGGGGCAAAAAAAGAAAAGAGAAAAAACCGTCAATGCATTTTTATGGAGATCATCTCTTTGGAACCCATCAATGGCGTTGAATCTAGCAACAATTCAAAACTAGACACAATGCCATTCTCCCACGCATCAGCCGAGCACATTCCAAGCCCCTAGCCCCAAAAAAAGTCAAAGTGAACAAAGAACTCTAAATTGTGCATTTAGAACTCAGCGCCGCTCTGGGGGAACTCGAAGGCAACGGAGCGGCCAGTGAGGCGGCGGTAGACCTCGCCGTAGGCATCAAGGCGGTGGTCGACACCACCACGCTCCTTCTCGTCGAGGATGACCTTGAGGGTCTTGGAGCCGTCCTCCTTGGTGCGGGTGCGCTTTCCGACAATCTCGACGGGGTAGACGAGGTCGGAGAGGATGGAGTCGTGGACAGCAGTCAGAGTGCGGGAGCGGGGACGCTTCTGGGTCTGGGTGGTGCGCGAGTTGACGGAGCGCTTGGGGCGGGGCAGGATGCGGCGCTGAGCGACGAAGAGAACGTGGCGGTCGGAGAACTTCTTCTCGAGCTCACGGGTAAGACTGAAGGTTCGGTGTTAGTTTCGGGTGTGTTCCTTGTCTTGCAGGGGGTTTTCTCTTGGTTGGCCCATTGGTGTTGTTAAGGGCTGGTGGTTGCTTACCGCTGCTGGATCTTGTGGAAGCCGTTCAGGAGGGGGACGGGGACGAAGACAATGATGGCCTTCTTGCCGTGGCCGACCTCAACCTAGATAGCGAGAATAATGTCAGATCGTTGTCCGGTTGAAATTGTCGTGCACACAGAAACTGAATTCCTCCTGGAAAGGCGTCTTGCTCTGCGAATTTTCATATCCATTTGTCTGTTCCCTCCTTTGCTGATGATTCCTCTCTATGTTGATAATTTTTGGCGTTGGTGGACATGAATTGAAACCAATCCACAAATCCGACCAATATACCCCGGAGCATCGAAAATTCCTCGAAAATTCACAGACGCCATTCCAGAACGATTCAATCCGCATGTCGGGAGCTTCGGGCAACAATTCTTACCTCGCGGGCAGAGACGAACTGCAGGGGACGAAGGCTGGCCTTCAGGTCCTGTGTGTTGCTCTCGAGGTCGAAGAGAGCGCCGGCGATCGCGGTCTCCAGCTCGGAGGGGTTCTGCCGGGACGGCGAGTTGGGGGCGATCTTGTTGATGGCAGCCATTATTGCGAGCGACGGGGTGCTGCGGGAAGTGCTGGTGGTGATGTCGACGGAGGGGAGGTTCGCAGATTGAATCGAATGGGAATTTGCTGTGGGATCGGCGCATTCGCTTAGGGTGCGCTATTTCCTGTTTGGGTTTAGTGCGGCCGTCTTAGGGCTCGTTGCTGATTGGTGGTTTGCCGCTGAAGGAGATCCACTATCCGACTCGCCTTTGGTTGACAACTACCCCAGGACCTCTTTTAGCCAAATTGTTCTACTCTTCACTGTTATATCGCTACGCTAGAAATCGTTTCTGATTGTCAATGCCAATATCGAAAGAATTTACACTCTAATCACATTGTCGAAACGGGGAATAGCACACTGTAGACTATAAGAGCACACGGAGTCTCTATTGGAGCTGGAACAAGCAGGAAATCAAAAAAAGAAAGAAAAAAAAAAAAAGCAAGAGGGACGCCTGTATCCATGGAAATAATTGCAAGAACATCTGCCAAAAAAGAAAATACCCAAATCAGCAAGCGCAACCCTCCTTGGCCGTGGCAGCGTTTCGATCACCCAAGTTGACTCGTGAGTCCTCTGCTGACCGAGCCAACGAAGTCTGACCAGTTCCCGCACCGGTACCGCGACCGGTCTTCAGGCTGCTCTCGGGAATGGCATTGGCAATTGCTGTGAAGACATCCACAACGTTGGTTCCGGTTTTGGCGCTAGTCTCGAAGAACAAAAGGCCCTCCTCCTCCGCATAGCCGGTAGCCTCCCGTGTAGAGACCTTGCGGGCATCGCCAGACACGGCATCCTGCACATCATCTTCCTCATTGGCACCTTCATCGCCATCCCGGGCCGACTCAGACTCGTTCTGTGCAGCGACAGCAGCCTCGGAAACATCTCCGCCGTCATTGGTCAAGTCCAGCTTGTTACCGACGAGGGCAATGACAATTCCAGGGCTCGCTTGACGCTGCAGCTCAGCGACCCAGTGCTTGGCTTTCGTCAGCGAAGAGGGTTTTGTAACGTCGTAGACAACAAGCGCCGCTTGTGCATTGCGGTAGTACATCGGGGCGAGCGATGCGAAGCGCTCCTGGCCGGCGGTATCCCATATCTCGAACTTGATCGTGCGCGTGGGAAGGGAGCATTTTTGTGTCAGAAATGCGGCTGGAAAGACGACGTTAGTTGGTCATCCTAGTGCAAAGTATCATTTGAGGGGTTGAGATGGCCCGTTTGCGGGGAACAACTCAATTTCGGACACAATACACTGTCCCTGGGTTCATCAGAAAGTATATCATCTGCCAGGGACAGTACTTCATATCTTGTGGGGGCTATGTCCAGAGGAAATCTTACCGCCAATGGTTGGTTCCTTGTTCTCCTGGAAATCATTATTCACGAAGCGGAGGACAAGCGATGACTATGAGTGAATAGTAGGATGTAATTAGCTTTTAATCGTGTGACATGGTGAATGGAGGAATAGTACCTTGCCCACTGCGGCCTCTCCTAGCAGCACAAGCTTGACACTGCTGCTCGGCTTCGGGGCATTTGCGCTTGCTGACTCGGACATGACTGAAGCAACGAAACAGTGAGATCAAAGTAACCCCAAGTCAGGCCTTCTGTGGATTATTCACCTTCAATGGATCAGCGATCAGGCGACCGGATGAGGTGGCAGGTTGATTCAGCTGGTAACTGCAGTTCGAGGAATGGGGGCTGCCTAGAAGTAAGACAAGAGCTGGGGCACGAGTCGCTGTTCTTGCGCTCGTATTGGTAAAATAATTTCAATCCTTGTCCAGGAATGAGAAATGCAAGGCCTGGTATAAACGTGACTGAAATAAGAGTGATTAATCCAGAAGTTGGAGCAAGGCGGAGGTTGATGATGATGATGGGGTGCCTCGATTGGGCTTAGCGCGGTTGTCAGTCACCAGTCACGGGAGGCCTGTGTGAGGTTGGAGTATATAATTGACATATGTACTTAGCATGTTTGTATTTGCTCATACATCGAGGTTTAATTTTTTGTTCCCCGCTCGTATCTATTTAAAGAGACTGGCATAAGAGCCAAATTTCTATGTTCAAGCATCATCACCTGGATTGTGATAGCTTAGCTTACATCATTAAATACACTGCACCCTGTGGACCGATGATGGCATGCAGATAACGTGGACATGGGCTGTCGGGATATGGAAATTTGGAAAACGGTGAGGCCGAATACACGTACTATGATTTGGTAAAAAGTAAGGCAACACAAGACAAAATATGTTCCTGGCACCTTGACACCTGCCGCAAATTGGGCTAGTGCCCAACTGGCCTGCAAGATGATGTCGGGCGCCAGATAGATGACCCTGGTCAGGCTCGGAAGATATCTGCCGATGCACCAACCAGGTCCGCATCAAAAATCGGGCTGTTGTTCCTGTCTCGGCATTAGTCGGCAAGCAAATCTGCCCGATGCTAGCGCAACCGCGGTCGGTCAGGTACAAGCGGAGTACGACCTGAGATGGGTACGAGTTTGCAAACTCGGGGTTACAGAATGTACCTATAAATGTATATGAAGCTATCGATGGTCGTTTAGACTAGTTGGATGGGGAATATAGAGAAAAGAAAATTCATTGGCGCTGACATCGTTTTGTGCGCAAAATATAATACACAGGCATCAACGTCAAAAATGTAAAGCGCGAATACTCATACAAATAAACCCGGGAGCTGTACCCATCCAATGGTAAAACAAGAAAAGCAAAGCGTGCTATTGACCGTGAGGTCGAGGCTCTAGGTGGTATCAGCCCATCCCATTCAATATTCCGTCCCGTCTATCCCAAAACGCCGGTAGATAACAAATGAAATAAAGGAAATAAACAGTAAACACAAAAGGCACTTTTTGAGAGAGATGGGACCGTGGTATCGAGTCGTATCAGAGGTGAAGTAGAAACGTGAGGTGAGGCGGAATAAAGTTCGAGGCCCGAAAAATAAGGATAAGGCGCGTGTGCGAAGACGAAAGATCAAAAGTCGAAAAAAGGGTGTCAACGCTTGGTATCCGAAAAGAAAATGCAGAAGGTCGAGTCAAAATTAAAAAGGGTATAATGTCGCGCGATGCCTGTAGCGAATAGGCAATAAAAACGTATGACCTGAGACCAGGACAGCGGGCGAAAAAAAAAAGATAGTGTTACAGATATCTAAAGGATTCGGTTAGTTTTGATGCCCGAAGGTGTGCTCGGAGTTGACATGTCTTACTAAAATCAGGTAAAACTCCAAAACGCATATGCGTCAAAAACTCCAGCCACTGTTGGGCGCCAGACCATCCGAAACGTGACCAAGTGGTGTAGAAAGGAATGTTGAGTATGACGAGGTTGTTTTCGAATGGATTTATTTCGGTGGTGGTGGAGGAACGCCAGGCTTCTTCACCCCAGTTGTATCGTAAGCTCCTCTTCCCATGTTGAAAGCAGAGAGGTCCCGAAGGATCATATTAAGATCTGCGGAGGCAATCATGATTAGATGCTGAAAGTAGGAAGAAGGTTTTTGTTGTGATAGAAATAGGCGAGTGTTCTTGGCCAATGTTCAATGACAATGTGAGGAATGAGATGAGATGGTTGGAGACTTACCAACTAAACTCGACGTCGACGCCAGGTTCTTATATAGATATTCCCTTGGGGAAAACCAACAGACAAACGAAGTACCAATCCAACCCCCCGTCAAAAAGAAATATTTTAATAAAAAAAAAAGGTCTAGACAAAAACCGGCGATGCAGTCGATAGATGCAACTGCAGTCAGGATCGGAAAAGGTGGTCCTTTTGAAGAATAGTCACTGGGACAATGCAGGTTCCAACAGAATCGTAAGGCAGGAATGTGACGAAATGGGCCCAACAAATGAGAATCGGTGGAGTCTCTTTGGAAGAAAAGCAAGATGGTAGATAGGTCGCAGCTCGTTGCTTTTTATTTAGAAGAGAGATCGATAAATAAAAATAAAAATCGATTCAAAATGATGTGCGCGAGGGTGGCTGCAGCGAATCCATAAAAAATCGCGATCCGGACCAAGAAAACGGGCAGAAGGGATATGAAGTTTAGACGGCAAGGGAGCAAAGGAGAAAAGTGCTCCGGAACTGGCTCCGGTCGATCCGGACAAAGTTCAAATCGACGTATCGCAAGGGAGAAGGGAGAGCAAAGGAGGGCGGTAGGGGGGTGTTTTTGTAGAAAGATGGTTATCAGGTATGTTCAAAGGAAACAAGAAGGGGGGATTGCGTTGATATAGACGGTTTTTATTGAATTTTTTTATTTTACAATTTTATCCTTTTTCTATTTTATTTAGAAACCCAATAAAATCAAATAAAACCATGAAAATCAAATCAAAATCCAAATATACCCAAATATACCAGAAATATAAAATCAAATTTCTAAAACAAATAAAAATTCCAAAAACACTGGGCATAAGCCTCTAGAGTGTATATATATATATATATATATATATATATATGTTTTTTTTTGTTTAGTACAGCGGCTCTCCCGTCCCCTGGTCCCGGGGAACAGGAACGTAAATGTGTCCCCCCCTTTCTTCTCCAACGTTTCTAATCTATAGGTTTGCCTATTTAGTATATTCAGTATGTTTAAAAATAAAGCGAAAAAAGAAAAGCGAAAAAAAAGCAAAACTAAAAAAAAGAAACTAAAAAGAAATGGAAAGGTACCCCTCTGATTCATCATAATGATATCTAAGATACATCCAACCCATGTCTTCACTACTGTCATGTTCAAAAGTCCAAAAACTCTCCGCTGCTATGTATCAACTAGCCGTAGAAGCTATCCACTATGAAGCTAGGAACCAAATCTCCGGGCAGCCTTTGTGCATAAGTGGAGAAAGAAAAAGAGAAAAACAGCCGCAGGAACGAGAAACGGATCCCTCCGAACTTTTTTATTTAAATTAATTTATTTTCTCGCGTGGTTCGGGCCCCATCGGGTCTGATAGTTCACCTATAGTATTCTAGGATTCTAGGATTCTAGTATTATAGTATTATAAGCAAAGTGAAAACTAATAACCAAAGGGGGTTATGACATATGATGCCTAGGTCCCCTAGCCAACCCAAATACTAAGGTATTTCGGCTACTGATTAAGGCCAGTCATCCGGTCTTTCAAGCAGTCTTCCGTGCAATAACTTATTAAGACCAGTCGCAAAATTCGATTCTGGTTTCAGAAGTCTTTGAATCCCCGTTCGCTCACAATTTACAAAAAAAAGACACATCAGAATCCAACTCAACATATCGCAATTTTGTCTTCATTCCCGTCGTCTTTGTCTCATGATACACTATGCGCCGATCAAGAGGGAAGGGGAAAAAAAAAAAAAAAGAAGGATTATCCTTACGATCCTGGGCTCCATCATAGGGGGTGGAGATACGCTAAACAAAAAAAGAGGCATTATTACGGAGCCCAAAAAAAAAGTGAATTCCCGTCTCGGTTACGTATGAACATTCTTTTCACCTTCTAGCCTTTTCTTTATTTCCCGGGGAGTTGGGTCAAGGTATACAAGGACCTTGAGTGTTATACTATATACTTGGGCAGGTACTCCGTACTCCGTACCCTCTGGAAACATTCTGAAAGCCCCACCCCCATAATCCGGACTTCTCATCTACGCCGTAGAGGCACGGGGAGTAATTTAAGGGTATCTTACTCCGTACGTCAGCTTCCATATTTGCCACACTGGAGCCGACATATTTCACCGAATATCCAGCCACAATTAATCCTCGGTAAGCACATTACGAGCTCCCAACAAGGTGAGGGGATTCGTAGGCGTGTTTCAGCCCCGTGTCCACCCCATGCCAAAGGAGGAAATTATTTTCCCATCGGCACTGAAATCTGGGTCTCTGCCTCGTGGAAATCGGGGGCTGGGAAGATCTACCGTACATTATAGATTGCAGTCTACCGTTTAAGAGATTCAAGATTCCCAACACAACTATATTTGATCTCATCTCTACATCCTAGCACGGTGGCTTACTCTGTTACACGGTTCTTATCATTGAAGCAAGACATTCCCTCACATCTTCCTTCCAGACTCCTCTTTCCTATATTTTCACATGCTCAAAATAGGGGACACTTCTCCCGTAGGATCATCCTCTAACCACTGGTGGATCAAAAAAAAAAAAAAAAAAAGAAGTCACGGGCCTATCTTGCTTAATATGTATTAATATTTACGTCTCCCGATCTAGAAATAATGTAAAATAAAACGCCATGGGAGGAAAAAAAAAGAGGGAAACGAGCTTCCTATACGGAGTAGTGGAACCGGACTGTTATTTATTGTATGGAAAGAAGCCGTCTCGATTACAGCTAGAACGCCGCTAGAAACGGGAGAAAGACAAAAGTCTCCATTTTAGTCTCCATCAACTCCATAGAGTGCTCCATTATATCACATAGTCAACCTTAATGGCCCCAGTTATTCCCCCTTTTTCCCTGTTCGGAATACCATGTCCAATTCAGGACCAAGATGGTGGTTCAGAGTAGATCTATGGAATTTCTACTCCGTACTCCATAAACAGATAGAAAGTCTAGAAGGTTGCCTAGGTGCATTAGCTCAAAAAACAAGGTTACGCAATTCC